GTAGCACGCGAAGCAAGAGAAGAAAGTACAAGAAAAGCATAATAGAGACAGTGAGCAGAGGTGTGAGACAAAGGAGTAATAAAGAGAAACAAAACAGTTTCATTGGAGATCATAAGTCACAAGGAGTGGATGCATCTGCGCTGGCCACTGAGAACGATTTTGAGCCATGTCACCAATTGTTTCCAACCATAGATTTTTACCGTCCCGAGGACCCCAGCCTGGAAGTCTACACCTTCCTACGTGGCTTAGACCAACTGTTGTGGATTTCATTGACTGATGCCAAGTTTTTGTTTGACCGCCGTTAGCTTTTTTCCAGCCTGACCCTATATCCGCTAACATTGCTCGTCGAGGGAGGCGATGACTTGGCATACGTAACGCATGTCCTAACCATCTCAGTCTTTGTAGCTTCACAACTTCGTCGATTGATTTCCCTCTGTTTACCTAGAACTCTACGCCTAACCTCAATGTTGCTTATCTCATTATGCCACTTTACATGGGGAATAGAGCGCAGGCACCTATGATCAAAGACAGCTAATCTTTTCATGTCTTCCACTCTCAATGGCCAGGTCTCACAGTCATAAAGGAGGACGGAGCGGACTGATGAGCAGTACACTCGCTTTTTGGTCGATAGTCCAACATCTCGTCTACGCCAGAGTCGGCGTAAACTAACAAATGCGAAACGAGCCCTTTGTATTCGTGCTGAGATTTCGTCAGAGATCAGCCCGTTGGCGTTGGCTGATGGTACTTCCCAAATAAGTGAAGCGGTCAACGTGCTCTACCACTTCACTTCCTATTTTTAAACTAGGCGTCGATGTAGTCCAGTCCTGTAACATCATCTTGCATTTGGCGGGAGCGAATCGCATGCCAAACATTCGTAGATTGCGGCTCAAGGTGTTTAGAAGACTCTGCATTTCGTCAGCGTCTTCGCCTAGAAGGACTATATCGTCTGCATATTCCAAGTCAACGAGATTATTCCCCGGTAGCAAGTCAACTCCTGAGTCACTGAAGTCACCTAGGGTTAAGTCCATTAACACATCTATGATGAAGTTGAATAGAAAAGGAGATAATGGGCATCCTTGACGGACACCACTAGTCGTCACCACTTCAAATGAAAACTCGCCGTAAGCCCTCACCTGGCTGTATGAGTACGAGTAGAGTGCCTTAATCAGTGCAATATATTTTCTTGGAATTCCCTTTACAGCCAAGCATCTCCAGAGAACTTCGCGATCGACAGAGTCGAATGCTGCCTTTAGGTCAAGAAATATAATGACTGTTGGACGCCGGTAGGAATGCCTATGTTCTAGAATCTGTCGGAGGGTGAAGATATGATCAATACACCCTCTTCCTGGTCTAAAGCCTGCCTGGCTCTCTCGTGTTTGGGCCTCCCGAGCACCACTCAGTCTACGCATGATTATTGAGCCTAAGACTTTAGATACTATATTAGTCAAGCTAATCCCTCTGTGATTATCACAGGAAGACTTGTCTCCCTTCTTGTATATGGGGATAATCAGTGACTTACACCAACCCGATGGGACTTCTTCTGATTCCCAGACGCTGCCTAGTACCTCAGTTAATCCGGACAGTAAGCTGTCTCCACCGTACTTAAATACCTCTGGAGTCACTCCATCAGGTCCCGCTGCTTTGCCTAGTTTCAGATTGGTGATAGCTTTAGTAACCTCAGTTAGTGACGGAGGACCTGTGTCTATATGCCATTCAGGGAGGTGTTGGATGTTCGGAAGGTTGAGCGTGGCTGTGGGCAAATTAAACTGCTCCTCATAATGCTCTTTCCAACGATCCAGTCGTCTATCCTGTGAGCTAATTATAGTGCCATTTTTTTCCGAGATTGTCTCACTAATGATTTGTCTTCTCCCACCCGTTTCCCTGATGAGTGTAAATAGTTGCCTGGTGTTGCCTATCCTCAAAGCTTTCTCCATTTCTTTGGCTTTTGTCGCCCACCACTGTTCACGGTATTTGCGGAGACTTTTCGTAAGTTTCCTCTTGTGCAGCTTTCGCTCCTCATTGAATTCGGAGCTCACCGGAACAGGCTGGTTCCAGGAGAAACAAGTCATGTATTGAGCAAATCGCCACACTAGGGATCATCATTGAACAAAGCTTGGAATGGCAGTTACCTCTCTATTGCAACTTTAAATTTTAAATACTGTCGATTTGTTAAGTAGTAAGAGAGGTTTTGTGTGCATTTCGGATTGTGAGGGCGTTTGTTACTTCCCGGCTGCCCACACCGTGGAAGTTGGTTGCGTGACCGCAGAGCCCGGGGGACAACTGCTTGAGGCCGGTCACACGCGGCCTGCGTTTGTTTGTTCTTTTCTGTTTTGTGTGCCTCAGTGGCATATTTATCACTCCTGCCCTGTGACACCCAGCAGGAAGCGCGGTCGTTGTTAATCCGGGCCACGGCGGATCCGGCATGAAATTTTGTGATTTTGTATTTATCATGATGTTGGATTGGGTAGCTGCTTTTTGTTTAACCGCTATCCAAACAACCTGCCTGGCATGGTAGGACCTCAAGAGACATAAGTCTCAACCAGTATAGCTTGAATAGATCATTGCGATGTTCATGCCCGACCACCACGTCAAGGTAGCAGCTTTCGGTCGGGAAAAAAAAACTTATTTGCATACAGAACTAGCCATCATAACATTACTGTTTTGTTGATTCTAGATTTGTAGTTGGAGACAATCATGTTTTTATGCCGAGAAGTGCTTTTATCCTAAAAGAAGCTATGCTCATGCATTGTGTAGTTTGGATTTTTTTATGAACACCTATTTCGCTTCTTTGGTAGACGGGTTTTTATACGATTTTAGGCGATAGTATTGGGATGTATACTTCTTCGGGTCAATCACTCTCAGACTTTCGATGTATTGTTGAAAATTCCTACTAAAGCATTTATTGAAAGTGAATTCAGTTTCTTCATTTCTTTGCTTTCCGAGTGGAACAATGAGGCTTCAAGCTTTGACTTTGACGTTTCAGTATCGACGGTGTTATCTTTTAAGGAGTGAGTTTGCTGGCCTCACACCCAATCCTTTCCTTCTTACCGGGCCTATTGTCAGCTGAGCAAGATTTAGAACTACTGCATCGGTCACGAGTCGAACCCTGGACCACATGTGTGGCTTATGCGCATCTTGCCACTGAACTACCACCGATACACATTTAAGGACCAATAGTATAAATTTGCATAAAATAAATAGGAGAAATCTATCTCTTGTTTCTATCCCTTTTGTTGACGAAACCAATGAGCACGCTACCAAACATCGTTGTACTATTTTAACCATTTCATCACTTCACAAACACTTTCATTCACACATCAGTAACACCTTACTGTAAAGTAATAGCACTGAGAATGATGTCTATCTCTGTCAGTAGAAATGGAAGCTCGGAAATCAGTGTAACTAACCGAATGTTCCCATCAAACCCTAGAATGTCCTTTTTTCTTACTTTACAGCTAAGAAAAGGTTGTTAAAAACTATTATCAATTTTATGCCATAGGTGTCTGTGTTTACTTGCCCACCTTAGGTGGAGAAGCGTATTAAATAGTGTGATTAGGCTCAAAGTGTTAGGGAAGGTAAGGCAGTTGATAAGGTTGTGATACTTTGTCCACTCAGGTGATTGGGGTATTTTACCCCTGCTGAATCACGCCATTTCTCGACTGACTATTAAATGAAGTACTGTTGGATTAGAAAAAACTTAAGGGCAATGAAAGCAAATCATGCTGTCGACCAACAAATTCACTGACTGTTGATTTGTATCACGTTAGGTGGTGTAGGTTGCCTGATTAAGGTATTCACTAGACTGTGATTTATTGGTTAAACACCCTTTTTGATGTGATGCAAATGTATTCACACTTCATCATTTTCTAAGTGTGAGACACTTTCATTGTTCGTGAAGGTATCATTCTTCCTACTGTTCACAGTAACATCACATTTGTTTTTCTGTCAAATGTGCATTCTCCAAGTATGGTAGTCTGGATTGATGTTCGGCTATACACAGTCCAATGCTCATTCGATTGTCTTTAAGATAACCCCTCTGTATATAGTTGTTTTTTTTATGTGGGCATTTTCTCTGTGAAACTAAGGCTTAATAATATAAGTATTCCACTTCATTTGTCTTCTGTTACCCAAGTATTGCTGATCCATGCACGACATTTGTTTCCACTGTTATATCTGACATATATCTGTATGTATTTCTGATTCTTATAAGAGTATCTGACTGTTGTTCTAAGATCCGTGCAGATGTGTAGGCTGTTTGGATTATGGTGATTGAAAGCAGTGGTCTGAAACGTTGGGTAATGTGGAAGGAAAATGATAGTAGTGACGAACAAAATTCACTGTTCTTCATCTTCAAAAGCTTTTAATAATCTTGGCTTAGTCACTTTATTATGCTTCTGTCTATTTCCTCTTCTCTCACTATTATTACATTTATCGACCCTACATATAAAGTATTTTTGAATGTTGTCCCATCATTACAGATAATCTTATTATTGCCAATAGACCGCTTTTAACACATTAACCGACTTTGTAAGGAGGGTTTTCAGAATACACATATATCTAGTATAATCTCACTTGCCTTTTGTAAATAACAAGTCAGTCTTTTTCCAAACCGAATTGTGCAGCAATAAAAGGTATACAGTACTGTTGCCATTATGCCGGGTTATGCATCGGTAAAGTCTATGTGCATTGATCTAGGCTCTTGTCTTCTAACCAGTGAGCCAGGGGGTTCGAACACTGCTCCACCTACTGATGTTTGGACAGCAGGGTAATGACCGGCCCCTCACACAATAGTTGTGGCTCATTGTCATTCGCATATAGTCTGTCATTTTTAGTATAAGAAGAAACTATGAAACACGTGTTAACTACCCCAAGTTTCATTTACTAATCTTTTTGTATACTTCTATAAGACTTGATTTTTCAAATGAGATGCAATAGCATTAATAATAAGACATTTAAGGCGAATTCATATTTCTTTTGCTTTATTTATTTTATTTCTACAGTTTTCAACATTTAAAAGGCCAGGTTTACCTACCTGGACAGAAAATTCTTTCATTAAGCCAACTGAACGTTGTTCCAGATTAGATACTAGCAAAAAGGAGAAAACTAATATCCTCAGAAGTCGTTCCAATGTGAGTTATGAAGGCATTTTCCGGTTCATTTTTCTACCATTTTGTAACTGAATTAAAAAGTATTTCCCTCATTGAGTACTAACTACACCTTTTTGCACAGGATATGACACAAGAACAAGACAGATTGTAAGAGTAGTAGTGTTGCATTACAATAATACAATTACAGTATAATTACAGTAATCGAAATTCAGCCCGTCAAACAGGCAGTATTAGTAATAGTATTGGAGCATTAGAAGTGTGCGTAAATCCACTATATAGTCAGTTCATATATTCATTCAGCAAATTCAAACATACGGCATTAACAGAGGTACACTTAGACACTGTTAGCTGAATTGGAACAACCAATGGAGATAGAATAATGAATTATTATTTGCCTAGTGAAATATAGGTCTTCAATAGCACATATCCATTTCATCATGCTCTCTGCTGGTCCTCGTTAGCTGGGTCCACTTCTACCCATAAGCTCTCATTTCATCCATATCCCCCCTAGATGCCCAACTCGCTGTTTCCCATTCACGATGTCACTTAACGGTCTCCTCAAAGTGTGTCCGATACATCTCCATTTTCTTCGGCACATTTGTTGGGTTATGGGTTCTTGGTTGGTCAGTCTAGTGATGGAGTTCCCAGCTGCTAACCCTTTCTATCCGGTCATCGTATCTTCAGTATGGAGCGGAGGCAGCTGTTAATAAAAGTCTATACTAAACTTTTGGGAATGCTTTTGTTGACAAGCCAATTTCCTGAAACATACGGAAGAGCTAACTTGTTATTAGTGTTGAAAATCCGAATCTTGTTCTTGAAGCTAAGTCTTGTAGATCTCCAGACAGATTTCACACTAATGAATTAGTAATCTACTTTTTTCACCTGTTTCTAAATTGTTTGATAGCTTGTGTTTCCCGTGACAATACGACTGTTTCGCAATAAAGGCAGCTTAGCTTATAATCCAACATTCAGTGACTGGTGCCGTTCTCTGTGTCAGTACTTGAATCCCGTTTCGCATTATTTCTGTTTTAACAAAAAGATACTGTAAAATCACTTTTTGCATTTATTCCCCTTGATGAATTTGAATAAAGCTAGAACAACAGTGGTTTGTGCAGAATAATATGGTACTACCATTGTTTATTTCGTTGGCTTCTCATCAGCTGCTGCTTACAGCCTAAATAAATTATGAGGTTTACGTACAGAAAAGTTTTAACATACTTGCAAATTTTACATGTTGTCAGTTGACAGAAAGTTCCACAATTAGTGAACAGTGCTCAGAAAATTGCGCTTCTATAGTTTTTGCACAGGCAGTTCAAGTCGAAATAAATGTATGCATATAATGGTAAAGGAGTTACGTAATAAAGACGAGAGATGACTAAGATGATGAGTAACTAATAAATTAGGTAACAATGTACTGAGTTCAACTCACATGTCATAGAAACAAGAGAAAAGCAAAATTACAGATTATAAAAAGGAAGTGAGAGTGAGGTTAAAGACGAAGATTACGTAATCAGATGAGAGAATAGAGACATCCAGTTACCAGTGCGAGGAAAGACTAATGACTGCTTCTTTGTGAACACATAAATCTGGTTTGAAGCGTTTAATAGAAATTGCTTTGGCAAACTTGAGGAGAATGGTGCTCTTTTGTCTATTAATAATTTTAAAGGATTTCCCGATTTGCACCTCATGACCTGTGTTGAGGAGATGCCTGGCGATGGCATTGTGTGAAGCATTTGTTGTCTTTAGACTTAAGCTTTTTGGTACATGTTCAGAAAACCGTAGATATGCCCTTCTTTCTATCCTTCCAATGTAACTGCTCCCTCAGATACAATTTTCTGAGCACTGTTCACTAATTGTGGAACTTTCTGTCAACTGACAACATGTAAAATTTGCAAGTATGTTAAAACTTTTCTGTACGTAAACCTCATAATTTATTTAGGCTGTAAGCAGCAGCTGATGAGAAGCCAACGAAATAAACAATGGTAGTACCATATTATTCTGCATAAACCACTGTTGTTCTTGCTTTATTCACAGTATAGTGGATGTACTTTTCGGAGTATGTGGAACATACAGTCCTTTTATTTATTGAATTCTATGCTGAACTTTCTATATTCGATTAATGCGTATAATCCCGTTTATAAACTTCGAAAGAGCATGAATAACCATTTGTGTAGACTGAGATAGTTTCATTTTTACTTCGTGGGTTGTCTTCAGCTGCGTAAAACTCTGAAGATTTAATACGAGTTATGATAAAAGAAAAAGTCTTGCCTTACTTTAATTCGTTGATAGGAAGGAATCGGTCTCCCAGCAATGATCAATGTAATGTCATAGTGAAGTAGGACATAGTTGTGTATGTTATTTTGAAGTGTTCCAAATATGTGTATCTTACTAGAGTAAATATTATGCTGAAAAGAAAATCCTGCTGACTGCAGCGAAATGAAAGATCAAGGTATTGCGTAATAAGACGTAACAAAATGCAGTGAGTAAAGCTCAAACGATCAAAAATTGAAGTCCAATATGAAAACCAAGTGAGAGAATAAAACAAAGTGACACAATAAGCAATAAGTTAGGAAAAAAGTTACGGGGAGTTTTAAGGTTTAACGACGGATTTCTCTTGGACACATAAATTAGGTCTTTGGTGTTGTTTTGCGATAGCCTCAGAAAACCGGGAAAGACTGCCTGTTAATTATTTTGAATGCTCCCAATGCGTCTATTCTATGTCCTACGTCTATCAGGTGTTTGGCGATTGACGAATCCAAACTATCTAATACCTTTTGGTAGAGAGTTCTTTGGTATATGTTCACAAAATATTGTGTAAACTCTTCTTCCTGTTTTTCTTATGTAATTTCTTCTGCGAATTCGCGTGAATTGGTATATACAGTTGTAAGTAACATAAGTGAGATCCTTTCCGATTTTTAATTGTGCTCACGAGTGGGATGTCGAGAGCAGAGAGAGAGGAGGAAGTGTTTCGCTGCAAGTTATGTCCTGACCAGTTCTGTACTTCTTTATTTCTTCTTTATTATACATTTTGAAAAGTAAATTATGACTTTTCCCAAAACATAAACTTTACTGTAATTTTTCAGTTTACCTCACCTGTATCTGAGATTCGTCACTATCCACGCTCATCTAGTGAACGTCAAACCAATAAAAATGAGGGAATAGACTTGAGTTGTTCTACTGCTTTCTTCATATCTGGGGCATCACAGGAAAATGTAATCCCTCCTCCACAAACTTTGAGCGAATCATTTACTGATCCACAGGAGAAGACATATGATGCTCAGTGTAAGTGTTTACAAATGACAAGTAGTCGCGTTTTAGTTGTTTTTTTCTAACGGTATGAAGATTTAAAGCTTTTTTATGGTGGTTTTCTCTCAGAATTTTCATGATTTACATTGTGTCTTCACTTTACAACCTTAAAAATATTCGATTTATTGTGCTATGATCATTGATGAATAACTCTTTTTTTATTACTAGATCGGTTTGTCTTTTATAATGGTTTGCTTCATTATTTCTCATGTGTAATGCACTTGTTACTATAGTAACAGTTATATAAGCATCCAACAAAGCTACATTCCATTCATCTTTATTTGTAATAATGTTGATGTATTGAGTGACCTAGTCGATATTCGTCCAAAAACAACTGCTTATTGGTCAATAAATTGACTTTAAAGAATAGTATCAGTTATCTAAAAGCATGAATGAGTTTGTCGTTAAAAGTTTTATCCTGCAGAAAACAAGGCTGGTAGTCATTTTTTGTCTTTCAACAAATTTTAATCTCCATAAACACATCTGAAATGGATATCTTAACTGTTTTGTTAATCAGATCTATAAAGATGTAACTGTAGAACAAAAGAGTATTCGACAACGGAGTTATTTATTGGCAAATGAATATATATATATATATATATATATATATATAGGCAAAATACACCTACCATATGTTACAATCGCAGCTTGTACATGTCTCCGTATCGTGCTACTTTGTCTTCCTTGCATACTTCCAATGCTGTCTTACAAGAATCATTCGTTTCCTCCCTTCGCCATTAAATCCATCTCTCCGCTATTCGATATCTTCGCAAATCATATACATATTTATATCCGTATGTATCTGCTGCTTACAAATCTTGTCAGTAGCACACACCATAGAGAGAGAGATAAATAGTGAACAGGCCATTAACCATTTTTAAACGAAGTCTGTTGCTCAGTCAATGAAAAACACTGTGATATTGTTTTTACTGACTTTCCTTCAAAGTATCAGACACATTGAGAAACAACCTTGTCCATATAAAAGACCGAATCCCTAGAGATTCTTCATCTAATTGTGTCTATAAAATAAACTGCTTGGAATGTGATGCGATATACATCGGACAAACATCTCGAGAAATTAAAATCAGAAGAAATGAATACTGTAGAACATCTGTTCGACTACCGAGAAATCCAGTTGAATTAGAAAAGCCTAAAAAATCATCAGCCATAAGTCTACACGCTATAAAATCAGGCCACAAAATTGGTTTTGACAATATTGAAATAATCCAGAAAAAGCATTTCAAAAATCGCTAGGTACGTCTAATATCAGAAACACTTCATATCAGTGATGGACTAAAAGAGAATTTGACCTGTTTACAACACCTCCCTCCCCCATAAAGTGACAAAATCAACACGAATGTGATAAGCAATTTCATTATGTAAACACATGCTGCCTTTATAACTGTACACACTTATCAAATCCAACAATCTACACCTAGTTTTGTTATATTTACCAATTGGTCAATTTGACAACTCAAAAATAACTCCAGACTGAGGGACGATGATTAAGTTGTTATATACAAGCTGAGATTTTGTAAATTCTGGCTTAGTAATACTTTGACAGCTATTAGCACTAAATAGCGAAACGTCAGTAAAAACAATATCACTTAGTTATTCATTCATTGGAAAATATAAGAAAACCTTTATTATGCTGAATACCATATATCCAATGCCCAAATTTTTTCAAACTGTTAAAAGTGAACTTGGTTTGGACATATCAAAGTTTATCGTTATCACTAGAATTTTGAAAAAAACACGTAAGCATTGCGGGCTCACCTAAGTTAATACATAAATAATAATAATAATAATAATATGATAATAACAATGATTTACTTTATTCCAAAAACAGTACTTGTGATACAGAATGGAATTTTCAGCATTAATCACAATATTGCATCTAATTTCCTCAAATTATAAGTAAAAATTAATCACACAGAAAATTTTCCACATTTACAATAGAGGTAGCGTCAAAAACATGCAGCATATAAAAAAATGGAAATAATAATGATAACAGCTAGGGTAATAATAATAAGAATATAAGTGAAAATTGCCGTTGGCTTGTGTCACACAGTATTGGCAATGTGGTATAGAAATCCTAACATGTTTAAAAATATTGAATATATAATAGAAATAATAAAAGTAAAACTTGAAGGTATATAAGGATGGATAAATAAAATTTTTTTCCTTCACGTTCCCCAGTGGAACATAGGGCTTCAAGCTACTTGCTTGAAGTTTCTGTGGCAGTGTTCATTTTACAGGATGGGGTTGCTAGCGTCATGCCCAACCTTTCCTCTTTACTACCATCATTTCTGGCTTAGCGAGGTAAAGGAGTGCGTCGTTGGCCGGGGATCGAACCCCGGACCATGTGCATGGTCGACGAGCGTCCTAACCACTATACCGCCAACGCACATATAAGGATGGATGGAGGAAATTATTTATTTACTAGATGAAAAAAGGTTAGTTAATTCTTGTCTGACACTATTTTCATCACATAAAATACGTGCCAAGTATGGTATCATAGAATTTCTATACTTAGACGTGCGAGCATACAGTTTTCTGAAGTTACTTCTTGTTCTACCTGAGGAGATGCAAGGTGAAAGCTGAGGGTAAAGCGGATGCTCCAATTCAGACAAAATCCCTCTAGCAAATTTATTGCACGAAGTCAAGTGCCTATCGACAACGACGTTAACTATGTGGTCCACTGGGACACCACTCACCCTACTGACAGTCTTCAGCATTCTACGAGTTGTGACATAGTCTTTTTTAAGCAAATCAGGAAAGAATAAGGGTGAACAATAAAGAAGAATAGGTAGGATGCAAGAGTTTATGAACTGTAAGAGGAGGGGTTGAGTTATACCCGAGTGTCTTAACTTCTTAATGTAAAATGTCAGGCGGAATATTTTACTGGAGATTGCTAAGACATGGGAAGACCAGGAGAGATCAGAAGAGAGAATGAGTCCAAGATACTTAATTTCTGATTTGATTCCTATATCATTGTCGTCAATCTTACAACTGCCATGAGAATCGATGACTTCTTTTAACTGTCTTTTACATCTTGAGCTGAAATTAACAGTTTGACATTTAGAAGGATTCAGTTTAAGACCGTTAGACTCAGACCATTTGCTGACTGCCGATAGAAAGCTATTTATTTTGGTACAATCTAGCTGGGAGTTAACAGCCATTGAAACCGTTAAATCATCAGCGTACTTCACAAAGTTTATTTCATCAGAGTGAGGCAAGTCATGCAAGAAGAAAGAAAAAAGAAAAGGAGAAAGGACAGCGCCTTGAGGGACACCAGCTTCAGTAGGCAATGAAGTGAAAGACTTCCCTTTATACACGGTGTACTGCTTTCTTTCTGAGAAATAGGAATGTAACCAGTTAACAGCCCAACATTCTGTTTGACTTGCAGCAAGTTTATTTAATAAGATGTCCCTAGGGACCGAGTCAAAAGCAGATGTATAGTCTAGGAAGGCACAACGAACAAATTTAGCCCCCTTGTCTAGACTGCAAGCAATCTTATGATATAAGACGGCAGCTGCATCTAAAGTGCTTCTACTGTGCTTATAGGCAAATTGTTTAGGGTCATTAAAGGATTTAAGCGAAGGTACAAGACTAAGTAAAAGTAATTTCTCCATAGTTTTCAAAAAAGGAGAGGCAATAGCAATGGGTCTAAATTTGACACATGCTCCAGTAGAAGATTTAGGTATGGGTACAACTTTAATGTCCTTCCAAACGGCAGACACAATATTACTGGAAAAAGACTTGTTAAACAGATCAGTGAGAGGGTGACACAGAATATCAGAACATTAAAAAAAATAATACTAGGTACATAATCGGGACCTAAGCTCTGGGAAGGGTTGAGAAACTTGAGGCACTTTTGAACATCATTTGTGTTAAAACCGGGAAATGGCTATTATTAACACAAGTGATGCTGGGAAGCATGGCATTTGAGGGAGAGTAAATAAAAGATTTGTTAAGAGTACATACATCAAAAGAATGTGGAATATTGTTTATCTGCTTACCACCAGTGATTTCCTTAAATAGTTTCCATATATTAGAAGCATTTTTGCAGGATATGAATTTCTGGTCATATATTACATACAACCTCTGCATTTCAGACTTAATTAAGAAGGTAGTTCTTTTTACACCACTTTTATCTTTCATCTTATACAGTTTTTCCTTCTCTCTACGAAGCTTTTTAAGTTGGGGTGAGGAGAAACGGTCAAATTTGACGAATAGTGTTTCTTTTGGACAGCAGATTTCAAAACAGAATTTCAGGTAGGATGTAATATTAGAGATATTGTCATCAAGTGAATCATCATTAAACAGATCCCATCTTGTGTCACTGAGGGGGTTTCTAAGATGATATACGTTCTCATTTGAGTAGCATCTGTGAACAACTTTCTTAGACAAGTTTGAGAAGGCTTTACTGTGTAACTTTCCGTAAATTTTGGGTAAAACTCGTACAATACAATGATCAGAATTGGAGAGTGGGGTTCTTTTACGAGCTTCGTATATTCCAGCATCATTTATAAATACTAAATCAAGTGAAGTATTTTGTCGAGTTGGGAAATTAACAACATTTTCATGGCCCAGCAATGTAATAAAACTGCAGTCACAGGAGTTGAAGTCGCCAGTCACTATAGATAGGAAGTTACCAAACGAAGCAGCAGCAAAAATATTGAATTCATCAGCGAAGATAGATAGTTCTGAGGGACTGCAACAAGGTGTGATATAGATATTTGTGACAAAAATGAAGCTATACTTAGATAAGTGTTTAGGTCGACATTTTACAGTTATACAATCAATATTGTCATTTGAGAATTTGAAGCAGACGTTGTTGGCAGTAGACCACTGAGAATTAATAAAAGTGGCTACACCACCACCTCTCTTCTTCTTTGAGCTGCATCGGTCTTGTCTGTAGATTGTGAACCCACTTAAGGAGACTAAATTATCGTCATATGAATCATGGAGCCAAGTCTCTTGAAGAGTGATTACACCAGTATTGCAATATACATTTGAGTATAATAGAGAATGCAAGTAGTTAATCTTGTTCGATAATGACCTGCAATTTGTGCTCATAATCACAGGAACAGTCATCTGATGCATTGGAGTACACTTTAATGATCTCTGCTAACCTCCATGATGCTTTATCTTAACGTTATTATATACTCGTAAATCAACAGGTTGAAAACATTTTAAATAATCGCGAGAGTAAGTAATGCGACTTGGATACATAATTGAATAATTAAAACAAAATAAATCCGAGGAAATAGATGCAATATGTAGGATGGAAATTTTGGTAGCCCAAGATTTAAGCAGGCCGCCTTTAAGTTATAGATAGCATAAACTTAAGATCATCCGTTTGTATCGCTTAATATTTAGCGCGACATAAGGTTCCTAAGTGTTAGTGTTGGAGTTAAGCACTTATAATGTTCCATCATTCTACATATACTTCAGTTATTACATAACGTGGCTTTATTGTGGTAAGTGTGAATTCTAAGGAGTTTGCTATTTGCTTTGCAACCATTGTGAAGGTTCTTCACCAGTTACAAAATGGATTCGAATTTCTACTACACGTAATTTCACACTGAACCTGTTAGTTTCCCCTGACCTCGAAAGTACTCCACATTAATTTCACTTGTATGCTTTTTCATGCCAAGAGTTTATTTCATGTTATTTGAGGTTTTATTTTTGTGTTAATATGTAGTAATATTCTAAATGTTATTGTTTTTCTATTATCATCATTTATGAAAAGTGAACGCTGCGAATAACCGACGTCGATCGTGTTCACAACCAGCAATGCTTACTCCTAATAAAGACTTACCGGTATTTGGTCGATTCCATGAAATGAAGGAACTAACTTCTCCTAGACGTTCCACATCTATTTCGAATAGGTTGTGCTCAGATATGGATTTAACAATGAATACTAATTTTTTAAACTCCACTGCAACTGCCTTTGTTTCACCGAAACTTGTGCGTTCACCTGCTCTCAAAGGAGGTAATTTTATGTGTTCAAATTGTGTTCTGTGGAATTCACTATGTATGTGTATTATCATAAAAACATTTTTTGTCAAAAACTCGACGTACGTCGGTATTTCCATAGTAGACAAACGAGTGAATCAAACTCAACTCCTGGCACATACAGTCCGAAACCTAGCCTAGTTTATCAGCTGGTAGTAGGTGCGGAAAAAATAGTAGGTTGAGTGCAAGGCTTGCAGCTCCAAGCCATAAAAACAATACTAAAACTTGAAGCCGTATATTCCACTTTGAATGCAATAAATCGAAAACCCCGACTAGTGTTTGCAAATGTCTTTTCATGACGTAAATTTCTACAGAGAATGGCTGCCCGTGTTGAACTAGTTTGAGTGCTAAACCCAGTACATTTGGTATCAAACTCAAGCATACGAAGTATCATGTTAGGAGTAAATCAACTGGACGCTTATGCGTACTGCTTATTTTCGCACACTTGAAGAAACGCATCTTCTTTGCAAATTTTAAACTTTTATTTTTCAACGTTGAAGGTAAAAACTAAATCACTAATCTCTTAGTGACTCCCTATATGATTGGGGTGGAGGGTAAGTCCACATAAGTAAACAATGGATCTACCTGGAGCCTAGAGATTAACCCCTTAATGTTTCGTACCAATTCACAGTGTTACGTGAATCCGTCCACAATCAAAATTCGATTGATAAGTACCATTCAGCATTAAACTCTTGTAATTTATATCAGTTGATATCGTGTAACTAAGTTGTATACTAGGAGATGTAAAATCTAAGTGAAAATGAAAGATCCCTTATCCAATAATCAGTTTACAGTGAATAACATTTAGATTATTTGAAATACCCTCTTAAGAATGTTTTCTTATTTTATCATAAGACCGAAAATAGCCATTGAGTCATAAAGAAGAAAAAATACAATTTAGCGAAGAAAATTTTCTTTATCGACAGAGTCATCTTCAAGAACTGTATTTATATTTACCAAAAACTTGTAGTAGTCTATTATTGATTAATAGGGGGAGGGTGTGACAATTAATATAGTTACTCAGAAGTAGTTTCTAGAGTAAAATTAAAGAAATATACCGTAGTCAACGATACAATGGATGAAAGGATTTGGAGTTTGATGAGGTTAAAATTGTTATCATAAAGTGCCAGTATAATACTTGGATACCAAAAGACAACTAATATGAAAGAGGAGGAACTACCATATTTGCACTATTTTCTCACCTATGCTGAAAGTGTGAGTTAGCAACCGACCTGATCTCATTCAGTATGAGTGATTATTGTTTCTTGGCTGATTTAAATCGGTCTAAAGTACTACCTATATCTCTGGGCTAAATGGCTTCAGTTTTAGTACACCTATGCTTTAATTTCAAGTTTAGGTGAAGATATGGTACATTAACCTAATCATTCAGGTATAGTTATGATCTTGACCCACTATGTAAAAGAGCATAAATTTGTTCAATAATCAACCACTTGGATAAACTTTACTAGATGCGTACTTGTACTTGAATTTTACGCCTAGGCGCCTTGTTGACGGCCTGGGCTATCAGAATTTCCATACATCAAAATGCTTAAACTCTTCTGCGTTTCGTATTATTTTAATCGTACAATTTTATATCAAATGCCCACTAGTTGAACGTGTGCACATATTTAATTAGCTTCCAACTCAACACTGTGAGATTCCCATAGGAAATGGAGAAAATACATACAGAATTGATTCTCTCTTCACATGCAACAAAGCTACGTTACGTGATATACTTCAGATTATTACTTTACACATGTAAATCCTGTACGAAGACGAAATACTTTGGAACGCTGAAAATTTTTGTACTAAATGTGTTCACATATTGTCTGAAATAAAGCCGTATCATTACACTATTAAAATTACTTAATAAATCCGAAAATCAGGTGGTCAGAAAAGATGAGAAATAAGGAACTCTGTCAGGCAGTGAACTAACCAAGAATTTATTGCCCACCACATAAGCAGAGGAAAATGGAAATGAATTGAACACGCAGTGAGGAGACCGTTGAGTGACATCACATGCCACACAGGCCCTCCAGTGAAACCCAACTGGAAAACGATTAGTTGGACCTCTGAGAATGACATGGGAAAGATTATGTAAGAGGAAAATGAAAGCTTATAGGCGGTCGTGGAGTCAGTCAGCTAAAAAGACACTGCAGAGTACAGAGTTAAATGTATATCTGTTGCTATAGCTCCGTGTTCCAGTCGAAACCCAAGGGGACGATAATATAATAATCTGTTGAATCAGTTTAATTTTACTTGCTGATTGAAGGTTAAAACAGATTGGAGTATTGATATTGATGCTCCATGCTTTTTCCCATCACATGGTTGATTTTACTCAGGTTCTTCATTTAGGAAAGGAAAGAAAAATAACATTCTGGATTTCTTATAACGTAGGAATAATGCGGCGATTCATGGTTATTAATTTCATTATTGTCGGTTTGATATTTCTTTTTTAGCTGCCCATTCTGTTACATCTACTACACATAAAAGAGATCAAGACGGAAATTTGTTCTACTCGAATGTCACTTCTGTTTTGTCTGAAATGAGTGTTTTCGGCTTAACACAATGGTTAAATGGTATTTTCGCCCCGTGTATCGCAGCCAACTGTTACAACGGACATGTAAATAGTGGATCTAAAGAGATTTGTGTATATGGATCACCTATATATCATTCGACAGTGAAAAAAGCTGTTGAATTACTAAGTTCAACTGCTCTCACAGTCCCTGGAGAGCGCATTGAGCGTGAAATAGACACTGGAAAGTTGATACCCATTCAAGATATATTACTTCGTGTTGATAAAGGTAAGAATTAATTTTTTTTCTTCTCTATTGATCGGCGATCTGCTTAAATCTTGGGCTACCAAAACAGAACCTCCACCATTCTATTACGTCTAATTTCTCGTGTTCACTTAGTTATAATCTATTAAAATGTGCTCTTTTATCACGCTTTGTTTACTCCCGCTAATATTAAAAATGTATACAACCTGCTGATTCGCAAGTTTCCACTCAACTTAAGAAAACATAGGATTCTAAGTGGCAATGTGCTTTAAAACGTATCCTGACACACCAAACGACTATTCCTGAGATTATGAGTACAAACAGCCACTCCCTGCCTAATAAAATTAACTACCTGCAATCTCTCCTGTCTTCTATTGCATGTCGCAATACAGGGGTGATACCCGTCTGAAAAACTAGGCTCCATCATCTATATGGTGATAATGTAGTCTGTCTTAAATGGTTACAGATTGTTTAGACAAGGTCGGTTCAGTTCTAAGAGGAAGTGCGGTGTTGGCGTCGCAACCGTTTTCAGTTCTCAGGGGTGCACTTCCAGTAATGTATGCTTTTAATTCTAAGGTGACCAAAATTAACTAAAGTTGAAACTAAGTTTTAAATACCTTGGATTATGTCTTTCCTGGTCTTCTTATATCATGTTAATTTCTAGAAAGATATTTCATCTAACCTAATAAGTAAGGAAGTTAGGACCATCTAGTAACATTATCTCCACTCTTATAATTTGTGAACTCTCTCGTACCCTACATATTGTTATTTATTGTCCCCCCCTTAGTTTATTTAATAAAGAATTTGTTACTTCGTGAAGAACACCAAAACCTATCGGTAGGGCAAGTGGGGTGTCGCTAAGCCAACTCATTAATACTGTTGTGGAAAACTACCTGAACTCATGCACAAAATTAGTGAGTATCATCTTGTCGGACTCTGAGCACCGTCTTTATCACTATTATTATTATTTCTCGTATAATGAATCTTTATTGTTAATTTCTGTCACACACACACACGTATTCCTTTTTTTGATAAATACAAGGTTCTCAACGTCGGATTCAAGACCTCTTATTGAGTAACTATGCTCCTATATGGCTTCATCTGACAGTCGATTCATTATCAAGTATTTCGTCAGGCAAACCGAATTCTTCGACGAAGTCGAACAACCTTCAGTCTACAGTTATGACAGACACTACTGAGACATCTAACGTGGAAGACGATAAAAGTAACAATACCACTAGTTTACCAAAAAAGATACACACTTATTTGTTTGAATCTTTTATTCCAAATAAATCAGTTTTAATGAAATCAGATTCAAAGGATACGAAATCGAAACAGGTCTCTCATACTGCTGCTTCAGTCAAAAACAACAAAACTTCAGCGAAACCCAGTAAGTGTATTTACAAATTCTTTTCTGAAATCAATGTGAAAAAAGTAATCTATTATTATTGCCATTCACACAGCTTTGTGAAGATGTAGAATTAATAAACTTGGATTTTATTTAGGTTAAGTGTTATCATGGTATGCGTATCATTGGTACTGCATTCAGGAAAAAAGAAGTGTGTTTGTGTGTGCATACGCGTTTGTTGTTAGTATGCTAGTTTTATTTGTTTTCTCCCAACTGCGAATTATATTTATCTCCATCCTAAAACTTGTGTTATGAAGTTTCTTTGGTGGTTTGATAGGTTAAGTGGTGTGGGGTTGCTAGGCCCACTCCCAATCCTCCCTCTTTACCCGGGCTTGGGACCATGAATCCCGACTTCCCTTATGGTTGATCAGCATTTTACCATTGATATATAAAGTTCTCCATTTCTTCCTATTCTCTGCATAATTCTTTAGCTAGCTTCACAGTTTCACATAAGCTCTCATATTCTCATACGATCTCCTCCATGCCACCCTGGGATACTCAACTAGTCGTTTCTCATTCGAGTTCCACTCGAGGGCCGCTTGCATGGCATCTGGTATCACTCAACATTCTTCTCATTGTATGTCCAATTCAGTTGCCAGCGTGTCGTAAAATTGTCTTTTGTCTCTCTTCGCACTCTTCTTCACTCCTTCTTTTCACTGCAGTGTCGATTATACTCAGCGTCTCTTTTCACGGTTCATCTTTGCACCAGCTCATCTGCCTCACCATCCCTTTCCTTTCTATTAACTTCCATATATCTGTAGAGATCAATTCCTTGTCTTCCTTCTTCTTTCTTCCTAAGACGGTTATACAGGTTTCTTTTAACATAACTTTCAGAGAGTTCCAGTGTTCTTCCATACAAGTTTTCCTCGCGGATGCTACATACTGTCTCCTACCTCCCTTTGATAGCTACAGTGAAGGTGCCTTTTGTAGTTCTGTTTTTGGGTGTTTAACTTGAATTCTGGTCTGTCTCCATCTTCTTTGAAAGCCTTCAACTTGACCCTGAAGATCCCTTGAACTAGATGATGATCTGAGTTCACATCTGCTCTTCTCAATTTTCTGTCTGTCAGTAAACGAGTGAACTATTAAGCTATATATATATATATATATACTGCATTTATTCATTATAATCTATTTATTCCTTACAGATGCACCAAGTCGTGATGTTTTGTTCAACCGTCATGTCGTTAAAAGATTCATTATATTTGTTTGGATTATGGACTACTTTAAAAGTCATATGTTGATTAAATATGATCCATGCCTATTTCGTGTTAAATCTCATATTAAAGTAAGTTATTTCTCTCTATTGTCACTCATCTGTCCTTTTACCTACAAATATGAATTAAATTTGTGTACAGGTGTCTTTTGAATTTTTGCAGAGTTTTTCGTGATTTTTCTGCCTAGATGCTATCGGTAAATAATACAGATAAATATTTTGATTGGTAACTAGGGTGTAACCAGTGTGTCATAAGTCTAGTCGTTTGGTGTTGGTGCTCACTGAATTCTACCAGTCAAGTCCTAAATGTGGTCACCCAGCTAGGCAACGTGCTATCACAATGCATTCTGAATCTATTTTAGATGGTCGTAGGTGATCAAGAGGAAACCGTGGACCTAGATATCGTACTTTTCGGCACTCGTCAACAAGGCGTATCCAATCATCTTGCATCAGTTGAGAGAGGATACCGCAATGTCAGATCGACTACCTTGGTAACAAATCGCAACCTTGACTAAAATCCAGCCAGCAATATCGCTAAAGACTAGATGTATAACGTTGGTTACTCCCTAGTGTCCAATCAAAATATCCATTACAGTCCCACAGGAGACCAATCGTCAGACCGAATAGCTCAGTGTTGTTAATGTCTCTGACTGTAACAGTGTCAACAAGGAAAAAATCTAAATCCATAGCTTACAACTGATTACCTCCAACCATCTGATACATAAATAATTTTTACACGAAGATATAAACATATACATCATTAGTAGTGAGTTTCTGAGTCCTAATTATGGCCATTTTTGTTGGACCTAAAAGTAGTGCCTTATCGCTTTAACTGAAACCCGTTTTTTTTAAAAAAAAATTTATTCCTTCACGTCCCAGTGGAACATAGGGCTTCAAGCTAGTGGCTTAAATGAAGCTTAACTTCAAGCTCCCTAGTACAGACGCTTTAATGATGTCTGAGGATTAACATGATGTCATTTGCTGGATGGTGACTGGCACTGGAATCCAGAATGCGCATTTCCTCCTGGATGTACCTGCGATCCTCAGTAAGTGATGTTCCCACTGAGACTTGAACCCTGTATCCATCCTTCCAAATGCCAAAGTGTTTATGTGCATATGTGCGTTTGGGATATAGCTTTTTTCCCTCTGAAGCTAGTACTCATTGATCCCTTTGTCTCTTTTCTTCATCTCATTTCAGTCGACTGCATCGCTGCTTATGCAGTTTGCACAGTATTTTTTGTATGGTGTGAATAATCTAGTTCGTCATATATCCTACTTAGGAGCGGAAGTCAAAGTGAATCAAACACAACTAGATGAGTATCAATTTAACGTTGAAAATTTGGCTGTTGACCTAAGAGATGGTGTCCGTTTAGTGTAAGTTATCGTTGTATAACTAACTAATGTAATGTGTGTATCCATTTTGATTTTTAAATATTGTTTTCTGATCTCAATCAATGCATATGACATATGAGTTATGGTTATAATAAAAATCAGCATTACACAACAAACACAAAAACTTATTCAATCAAGTTCACGATTTACAATTTACACAGTTCAAGGTGAGATTTCACTACTATCTCCTTTGGAAACCGAAATTATTCGTATCATCACAATATCTGATCTGCTTAATGTCATGAAAATGGTAATCAAGAAAGTAAACAAGACTGCATGATGATATATACTTTTTTTTGTACTGATACTGTTGATATGATAGCCAATGGAAAAAACGAAAGAAAAGAAACAAGGCAGGGTGAGTCATGTTTAGATGAGAGAGTAGAGTTTTCTAAACATGAAAAAGGTGACTCCTGAAAGTTGTATATTTTCTGTCATCTCCAGGGCAGTGCAAGATTCATCACTGTCTCTTTCTGCGTACATAGATTTGGTTTAAGTCGTTTGATGGCAATTGCTTCAGCAAAGCGTAGCCAGCTAGGTTTCTTTTGCTTGTTGATTATTTTGAACGACTTCAGGTTGTCTACAATATGACCAGTATCCAAAAGATGACGAGCAATAGCACTGTTTAATGCATGCTCGTGGACCTTTCAGTCTCAAGTTCTTTGGTATGTGTTCATAAATGCGGAAACTAACCCTTCTCTCTGTTCTTCCAATGCATGTGCTTTGGCACGTGCATGTAAATTGGTAGATACAGTTGGAGGTAACATGAGGTGGGAATTTGTTCACTTTTGATTGTTCTCAAACAACTAGTTGTTTGATAAACCTATACAAGCTTTGCGGCTGGATATGTTCTTTTTAGGCCAATGTTCAGTCTACATCTTATTCTACTGGCAGTATCATCACCTTTGAATGCAAGCTGCAGAAAGATAGGCTTTTTATCTGCTGTGCTGCTTTTCACTTTTTCAACATGACGTCTTGTCTATGAACTTTTGTGGGTAACCGTTGTCGCGTAGGCACTTCTCCACAATGGATAGTTCTTCCTCAATCTTTTCTTCTAAACGCAGTTTCCTCACACGATCAAATAATGTTCTCACTAATCCATTTTTGCACCTTTTTGCTCTATCCTTCTTAATGCCTCTGTCTGTCTGTCTGGATTCAACATAGAACTTGGCACCGAAGTGCAGCAGTTCAAGTTGCCACGTTCCAAATAGCACACAAAGGTAGACAAGAAGATGAGTGAAGAGAATCAATAGAGTTTCACAAGTGTAAGAGTGAAACAGAATGGGTAATGGTAAAAAGGAATATGAAAGATTACAGAGACTGAATACATCTGCGCTGGCCATTGACAACGATTTTGAGCCATGTCACCTATTGTCTCCAGCCATTGATTCATAGAGTCCCGAGGGCCCCAACCCGGGAGTCTGCATCTCCCTACCTGACTCAGTTTAACTGTCAAGGATTTCATGGATTGATGAGGCCATGTTTTTGTTTGGCCACCACTTACTCTTTTCCAACCTGCACCTATATCAGCTAGCAATGCCCGTCGGGGGAGGCGGTGGTTAGGCATGCGCAGCACGTGACCTAGCCATCTCAGTCTATGTAACTTTATAGCCTCGTCGATTGATTTTCCCTCTTTGCCCAACACTCTACGCCTAACGTCAACATTACTTATCTTGTGAAACCACCTAACGTGAGACAGAGATCGCAGACATCTATGATCGAAAGCAGTCAACCTTTTCATGTCTTCAACGCGTATTGGCCATGTTTCAGAGCCATAGACAAGGACAGAGCGAACTGATGAGCAGTACACACGTCCCTTGGTTGATAACCGGATGTCACGCCTACTCCAGAGATGGTGTAAGTCAGCGAAAGCAGCTCGAGCTTTTCGGATCCGTGCTGAGATTTCATCGCCAATCAGTCCGTTGGTGCTAATACAACTTCCCAAGTAGGTGAAGTGGTCAACATGTTCTATCACTTCACTCCCTATCACTAAGTTAGGGGTTGACGTCGTCCAGTCCTGTAGCAGCATCTTACATTTTGCAGGGGCGAATCGCATGCCAAACATACGAAGATTGCTGCTCAAGGTGTTCAGAAGACTCTGCATTTTGTCAGCATCCTCCCCTAACAGGACTATGTCATCTGCATATTCTAAGTCCATAAGACTATTCCCTGGTAACAGGTCGATTCCTAAGTCATTACGTTCAGTTAAGGATACTTCCATCAGCATATCTATGATGAAGTTAAACAGAAATGGGGAAAGTGGACATCCCTGTCGGACACCACTGGTTGTTACCAATTCAGATGACAATTCCCCATAAGCCCTTACACGACTACGTGAGTTTGAATAGAGTGCCTTGATTAGTGCAATGTACTTTCTTGGCACTCCCTTCACAGTCAGACATTGCCATAGTACCTTTCGATCCACGGAGTCGAAGGCCGCCTTCAAGTCAAGAAATATGACAATTGTTGGACGCCGAAAAGTGTGTCTATGTTCTAGAATCTGTCGAAGAGTGAAGATATGATCTATGCACCCTCTACCTGGTCTAAAGCCTGCTTGATTTTCCCTTGTCTGTTCCTCCCGAGTTCTGCTTAGTCTATGCATGATTACTGAGCCTAGGATTTTAGAGACTATGTTCGTTAGGCTGATCCCCCTATGATTATCACACGAGGACTTGTTTCCCTTCTTGAATATCGGTATAATGAGTGACTTACCCCAGTCTGATGGCACTGTCTCTGATTCCCAGACTTTGCCTAGTACCTCAGTTAATCTACAAACTAGTATGTCACCCCCATATTTAAACACCTCCGGAATAATTCCGTCGGGTCCTGCCGCTTTGCCTCGTTTCAAATTACTGATAGCTTTTGTAACCTCACCTACAGACGGCGGACCAGTGTCTATATCCCATTCGGGTACGTGGTGGATGGCGGGGAGGTTCAGTGTGGCTGTAGGCAAGTTAAATTGTTCCTCAAAGTGTTCTTTCCAGCGTTCAAGGCGTCTATCCTGAGAGCTAATTAAGGAGCCATTTTTCTCAGAAATAGTCTCACTTATGAATTGCCTTTTCCCGCCCGATTCTGTGATGAGTCTAAAGAGTTTCCTAGTGTTGCCTATCGCCGATGCTTTTTCCATCTCTTTCGCCTTTGTCACCCACCACTGTTCACGGTCCTTGCGGAGACTTTTCGTAAGTTTCCTTTTGTGCAGCTTTCGCTCCTCATTGAATTCGGAGCTCGCCGGAATAAGTCTTCTAGCATCTATCAGATCGGATGAGGCGGTGGAGATCCAGTGGTTTTTACTCACCTTTGGGTTTAGCTTATTCACAGCTTTTACAGCTGTATCTATGGCTGCCTGGATATTCTTCCAGGCTTCTCCAGGGTGAGCACAGCTGTCGAACTCAAATATGCGTTTAGCTATGCCTCTGAGACATAGTCACTTAAAGTGGAGAACCTGAAGAAACTGTTTGTCTTCAAACATAGGTATTTAGCTTCTGTCATCCGTGTTAAGTGTTATAATGTGGTGATTAATATTGAGGTTAGGTGTAGAGTGTTACGCAAAGAGGATAAGTCACTCGATGTGGTTGTGGAGCTATATACACTGATATACTGAAGACACTTGGCACACATACCAGGGCATTGCTCTCTTCATCACGCAATGTTAGATGATATAAGATTGGACTGGAAAAAAGTTACGGGTGGTCAGACCGAAACCTGGTATCAATCCGTTAGGCCTTTAACTGTTAGTTTAAGCTAACTACGAGGGGAGGTGTAGACTATCATGTGGTCGGGGTCCTTGAGACACGAAAAACTAGTGACAGGAGACTGTTGGTAAAATGGCTCTAAATCTTCCTCAATGGCGTAGATGTATTCACTCTCTAGAATCTCCCAGATCCATTAAACCCTCATGTACTTCCATGTTACTATTCTCTCTCCAGTATATTTCTGTTCATTATAGTTGTCTTGAATATTTTTTTCTCTTCTTTTTGTCTATCTTTGTGTGTGCTATATAAAGTGGGGCAATATGAACTGGTGTACTTTTGTACAAGGTTCTATGTTAAAACTCAGTCAGTTATTAGTACTATTGTGATTCTCACTTAGATTTTGCAATTTATTACTTCTGTAGAAAGCTTGCAGAACTGTTGATTCCTACACTATCACCTGCTATGTCTACTCAAAAGCAACCTACTATCGTTGTTGAACCTGGTAGTCTTATGTCAATGGTTCGATTCCCTGTTATAAGTCGTCTTCAGAAAATACACAATGTTGGACTTGCTCTTAAAGCTTTTCAACAGTATGGTGAGATTTCAATGGTTGACGGTGAGTTGGGGTTACTTTTTATTTAAAACTGAAATTTTTTTCTTGACTTTTTAATGGATTTGTCCAATTTAATTTGTTATTTGAAGTCCTGTAGATTTCACCTTGTTCAACAGCGCCTTATATTATTTCACAGAAGTAAAGTGAAATGAGTAATGTCTTACCTTCGGTCTTTGCTTTCCTGATCTACCAGATCAGTTGACTAACATGATGTTCTCATTGTTAAATACTGACATCTGTTGGTGAAGAGTTTTAGGTATATTACTAGCTATAAATACTGGTCTCAGATGTGATTGTGCTATCTGAGCTGGGTGGTTTAATCACAAAGCCTTCATTGTCCTTTTGTTTAGCGCTAGTATAAAATGGACGCATTTGAATTCTTCATAAATAATACAATTGTCTTTCTTGACGATCTTGATTGCAACTGGTCTTTAATTTGCACCAATGTTGGTTGTTTTATTGACTTGGAATTCGGTCTTTTTTATCGTGTGATTATGTATTGATTAGTTGATAATACTAATGTGTCTGTTGATCCCTGATTCGTCTGAATGTCAGGCTTGTATGAATTCCCTTGCATTTTCGATGTTCCTATCGTCTAAAATTTCTACATTTTCCGAGTCAAACTGTGTCCATAGTTATCCACATGAATATATATGAAGGGACACATGAAGTATCCTTTGACGGGTAGCTTATATTCCTGAACTGTGTTCCTCCTTTAGTAAATACAGCGCTTTTCAAAATTGATTCAGTTTTCTTTGTAGAGGGTGCTATTAGTTGTTTTAGTCTGCACTATTATTGATTAAAGCGATTGTGTTAGTTTGTGTGCGATATATATTCCAAATGGTCTTGGTATTCTAGCGGTTATTTATTTATATATATAGTGGGATGAATTTCCTTGTGATTTCTGAGGATCGTTTGTTGCCGGTGATTTGATTCTAGTTTAGACACTTTTTTATCGAATTGTAAGGGTATCGATTTTACTTGAAGACAATTAATAGGTGTTTCTCTTCTCTTCTCAGGACTGGAGGACTGCAGTGTTTTTTTTCGTTTTTGAACAGTGTTTGTACACAGTTTCCTTTGTGTACTGTTGAATTATCATTGTTTTAGTTGAGTATTTGGTCTGTGTGGGTTGACTTCTTGGATAAAAGGTGATCAGTTATGAAAAATGATATGTCTGCTTGGACTCAGTTCTCGGTACAGATCTTTGACGTTTTGTGACGGTTGATAATACTACACAATTGCTCAGGCTGAAGTGGTATGTGGCTCGGACGTGAAACCCAATGGCTGAAAGCTGAGGGCTTAAACCATTAAGCCAACATCTGTACAGTTCCTATTGTATGCTCTATTGATTAGCTTCAATCCACTTACTTCTCCGATAATTCATTAGTTGAATGGTAATCATATGAACCATTTTCTTTGGCTCACTGACAGTGCAATTAAACAAATACATGCAATATGCTTATTTATTTGGTGTTGAAGACACCTTTTAAAATTATATTTTAACGTTTATTCTGAAAAATATGTGTATAGGAAGTCTAATTGATCCTCGGGATATTGTTGATGGACATCGGGAAAAAACACTGACCTTACTTTGGTGTATATTGCTGCGTTATCAAGTCCTCGCCCTACTTGATCATTCTGCTCTTGAAAATGAAATTCAACTTCTTGAAGTTAAAGTCAACTCTCTTGGCAAAAATGTTGATGAAGTGAATAACTTTAAACCGAGCACTGTTGCAAATAGTCCAGATGAAGATAAATGTGATGCTGCCCATTTCAAATTACTCTATTGGGCTTATTTAGTTTGCCAGCTATATGATGTAACAGTAAGTCTTTCGTCATTTGATTGCCTTTTTAATTGTTACAACTATTTCCTGGAGTTCTAATGTAAAGTCATGACCAGTAGGAGTGTGAGGACAAATACTTACTGATGACTTTGACTAATAGATATTCTACACGTTGCGAGCCGTCCGTCAAGGATGCCCATTATCCCCTTTTCTATTCAACTTCATCATAGATGTGTTAATGGACTTAACCCTAAGTGATTTCAGAGACACAGGGATTGACTTGCTACCGGGGAATAATCTCGTTGACTTGGAATATGCAGACGATATAGTCCTTCTAGGCGAAGACGCTGACGAAATGCAGAGTCTTCTAAACACCTTGAGCCGCAATCTACGAATGTTTGGCATGCGATTCGCTCCCGCCAAATGCAAGATGATGTTACAGGACTGGACTACATCGACGCCTAGTTTAAAAATAGGAAGTGAAGTGGTAGAGCACGTTGACCGCTTCACTTATTTGGGAAGTACCATCAGCCAACGCCAACGGGCTGATCTCTGACGAAATCTCAGCACGAATACAAAGGGCTCGTTTCGCATTTGTTAGTTTACGCCGACTCTGGCGTAGACGAGATGTTGGACTATCGACCAAAAAGCGAGTGTACTGCTCATCAGTCCGCTCCGTCCTCCTTTATGACTGTGAGACCTGGCCATTGAGAGTGGAAGACATGAAAAGATTAGCTGTCTTTGATCATAGGTGCCTGCGCTCTATTCCCCATGTAAAGTGGCATAATGAGATAAGCAACATTGAGGTTAGGCGTAGAGTTCTAGGTAAACAGAGGGAAATCAGTCGACGAAGTTGTGAAGTTACAAAGACTGAGATGGTTAGGACATGTGTTACGTATGCCAAGTCATCGCCTCCCTCGACGAGCAATGTTAGCGGATATAGGGTCAGGCTGGAAAAAAGCTAACGGCGGTCAAACAAAAACTTGGCATCAGTCAATGAAATCCACAACAGTTGGTCTAAGCCACGTAGGAAGGTGTAGACTTCCAGGCTGGGGTCCTCGGGACGGTAAAAATCTATGGTTGGAAACAATTGGTGACATGGCTCAAAATCGTTCTCAGTGGCCAGCGCAGATGCATCCACTCCTTGTGACTTATGATCTCCAATGAAACTGTGTTGTTGTTCGTTATTACTCCTCCTTTGTCTCACACCTCTGCTGACTGTTTCTGTTATGCTTTTCTTGTACTTTCTTCTCTTACTTCGCGTGCTACACGGTGTGTGGCGACTTGAACTTCCGCACATTTGTGCAAAGTTCTATGTCGAAAACAGACAGACAGACACGTTGCGAGTTAGCGGAAAGAAAGCTTTCACGGACCATTAGACTCTGCTCTGGAGCAGTCAACAGATTTACCTCTTAACCTATAGACTTGGGTTTGATCCCCAGTGAGGGATAGGTGCATGCCACTGAAGAGGATGGAAGGAGCTGTGCATTATCCCCTAGTGTTATACGGTTCTCTAACTGAAGTCATTTCGTCATACAATTTGAAATCTATGAAATTCGTCATATGAGTTTAGAATTTCGGCACTGTGATGGAGTATAACTCCATTATAGAGAAGATTTTATTTTGATAAATCACACAGTGTTGTACAGTAATGTTAACTGATGACGTTTCGAGCGCAAACTGTTGCTCATAATAATCACATCAAATCACCCACACAACTTTTTACTTCATTTATTTACTACATGTGAGTGGAATTGCTTAAATATATGAATAAAAATCAATGTGGGATAATTTACATTCAGAAATATGGTTATTAGCAGTAGTTTGTGCTCGAAACGTCATCAATTAATATTACTGTATAACACTATGAGACTTTATCAAAATAAAATCTTATCTATAATGGATTTATACTCTACCACAGTGCCCAAGTTTTATACTTATATCAACATACCATTCAGTTATTGGGTAGTTAGTTGTTGTTTAATATCATCATACTATGTAGTTCTCCAAAATAAAATAGGTTTAGTGAAGTTTGTATCTGTTATGACTGAAGTGAACTGAATAGATCCATCGCCACATTGTGTTATGTGTACGCCGGTTAATTTTACTATAACGGTAATGAACTCGACTGGTACGCTAATACGTCTATTTGTCCGTTATACCTTCCGATTCATTGAGCCACGCAAATATCATAAAACAAAAGCCGACCTCTGATTGTAAAACACTGTACCGTACAATTTAGGGAAGAAAACATGACATTTACACATTTTCTTTACCATAATAAAGTCGGCTCATTCAGGTTGTATGCAGTGAAAGCATACCAACGAAATGAAAATGGATCATTCTTATCCTGCTCCCCATGTCTTCTTGTTACTTTGTTCAAAATCCTGATTCTACTATAGCATGAAAGATGACAAGGTATATATCACGGAAACAAATCTGTAACTAGTACATGGTACTGTGGGTAAGACAGTAATTCACGTGAAAATGCGGCTATTTGCATTGAATTTTAGGACTTTAAAATTAGGAGTCTAAATTCTGATAAGACCCAGCATAAAATAGTATATTATCCTTTCTCACGAATCATGTGACTTATCTTATGATCGAGTTACTATGTGAATGTATAATTTCTCACGCATATTGTGATTTAGTGTGTGATTGATTCATCGTCTTTTGTCTCACCTTGGTCTTTGTAGGATAGCCAACCAATGAGAATAGCCATTGCTAGCCAAAAAGAACAATCCATTCTCAGGGGTTGTGAGCCGGATTTAGAGGTTTTGTGTGCATTTCGGATGAGAATGGATTGTTCTTTTTGGCTAGCAATGGCTATTCTCATTGGTTGGCTATCCTACAAAGACCAAGGTGAGACAAAAGACGATGAATCAATCACACACTAAATCACAATATGCGTGAGAAATGATACATTCACATAGTAACTCGATCATAAGATAAGTCACATGATTCGTGAGGAAGGATAATATACTATTTTATGCTGGGTCTTATCAGAATCTTAGACTCCTAATTTTAAAGTCCTAAAATTCAATGCAAATAGCCGCATTTTCACGTGAATTATTGTCTTACCCACAGTACCATGTACTAGTTACAGATTTGTTTCCGTGATATATACCTTGTCATCTTTCATGCTATAGTAGAATCAGGATTTTGAACAAAGTAACAAGAAGACATGGGGAGCAGGATAAGAATGATCCATTTTCATTTCGTTGGTATGTTTTCACTGCATACAACCTGAATAATCAAAGATAATAGTTTCATTACAATACTAACATACTTTAGATCATCAAAAATAGAGTGGAGCAATCATTCAGAATGACCATGATACAGAGGTGAATCAAAATGTCTAGTCTGTATGTTGGGAAATACGGTTGTGTTTGAGTATGTAATGTGGTCGAAGTTTTTCGAGGAAGACAAAGTGGGGGAGGGAGTGAGGGTAGCCACAAGAAGTTTAGATACAAAAATCACAAGACTACTTCAGGCAGTAAATAATTGTTGGTAAACAACTGGGACATAATAAACTGTTGTAAGGTATGCTCATTTTATTCAGTATCAGACATATGAAGTCTAATAAGTGATCGTGTAACCAGGTAAGAGTGAAAAGAAACCAACATTAACATACAATAAGGGGTGATGCAGTCTTTTAAGGTTAAGTGATGAGTTACCAAGGTAGAAATACATAAGTCAGGTTTAAACCATTTGAGAGCGATGTCTTCAGCGAGCTTCAAGAGACTTGAAATCATTTGTTTGTTTATTATTTTAAAGGAATTCAAGATGTCTGGTTGATGTCTTGTGTCAATCAGATGTCTCGTGGTTGCACTGCTCAAGGATTTACATCCTCTTAATCGCAAACTGTTGTGTATGTGTTCAGAAAATCTATGACAGACCCTTCTCTCTGTTCTTCCAGTGCATCTGCCTTTGGCAGCTTCATGTAAATCGACATAGACAGTTGGAGCTGAGAAAAGGAAGGGTATCTGCCGAATTCGTGTATGACAGAATCATGACTGGTTATAGGATTTCATCATGAGCTGACATTGGTTAGAAAACCATTGGAAAACCAATACTTGAATATCGATGAGATGCTCACTGGTGACTGGCCCTATTCAGGTAGGTAGCTATCTGGGGTTCTTGTGGGAAGTCGTGACCTGTAGGGTGCAGCAGGTCGGATGTGAGGACAAATACTCGCCGAAGACATTGGCTAGTGGTCGCGCTATGTCGTGAATTGACAGAAGTTAGCATTCATGCACTGGCCATTGGATCCTGTCCCAGTGGCTTAATGGTCTACGAACTAGCTCGCCTTGTAACCAGAAAGTCGTAGGTTTGAACCCTGTTGGTTGGTGCGTGCTGATGAAGAATCCCAAACTGAGCTGACGAAACAGCTGTCCAGTACTCCCTGCAAGTTTTCCAATGGTTCTCTAACTAACGTCAGCTCATGATGAAATCCTTTAACCAGTCAAATCCCTACAGACCAATACTTGAGAATCATGATTATTGTTTGACTTCAATGGTTTGCTAGCTAAACGCTGTTACTCAAGAACTACTTGCAGTTCTATTCGTTTGAAAATGAGCCACACCTATCACATGAAGGCAAGTGGTGCCACCTGACTTCTCAAACCTCGGTAGGTAGAGTACGTTTCGAACTTATGACCTGCTGATTGGAAGTCGAGCGCTTAGACCACTGAGTCACAACTGTACTTGATTTGTTGACTGTCCCTCTATGAATATCTGATTGAACCTAACCATATTTTCATTGTGTACTTGATGAATGTATTGTCTATTATATTTCAATCCAGTATAATTTCTTTTTTCTGCAAATTGTGTGTGTTAGAGATGTACGTGCTTACGGAGTCTTTCATTGAAATAAGACAAGATAGCCGTCACTTGTACAAATGTTGAAAAATTAAATTAACAGTTACTTTGTAGATATCATGTAAACACCTCCAGGTTGTGATTAGTGAAATGAAACTACACAGCATCAGTCTCTGTCTAAATAGCCTGGTGGTGAAGTCACTAACTTCTGCACGGATTGTTCAAATTGCATGGTTGGGGGGGGGGAATATGAATGTTCTCGTCTTTACAAATAGGCTTCCAATGAATATAGAACCTTGATTCAGGGCTTCCAGTTGACTCACTCTTACTCAGTAATACAGAAAAGTGTATCACAATGTGCAATATTGTTGTGTTACTTGGCTAATCAAACATATAACACACCTAGTCAACATTTTTTTAATCAACACTCTTAGGAGTAGATAGCTACATCTGTCGACTGGTTTGTCAAATTCTCTTTTCCAGAGAAAAGGCTAACTTTTATACACACACGTCGATCTAAAATTCTGCTTTGCACAGTTGCTCATGTTTTTAGTTCGATACATTTACTTATATTATGAAGCATCCTGTACATTTGAGCTCTACAATGACTCTGTATTTTAGAGTATTTAAATTTGTGGTAATAATTGTGAGTATACTTCACTTAGTGTGTAAAGCCATCATTCTTTCGCTGTTAGCGTTTCAGTCTTAATTGTTTCACAAACACCCTGGTATAGCAATAAATGAAAAAGCGATTAAAGATACTCATTAATTGCAAAAGGCAGAGATTAGTGAACGTAGAATATTCTTTTCGATAACTTCTTCATCAAGTTCTACAATTATTTATCCATTACAATAAAAGAATTATTGTTATTGAATGATTAACTAAGTTCCGTAGGTTATAGATCTAAAGCATCCGTAACTAGCACTATGCATAAATGTGACACTGGACTCAACATCAGATAAATTAGGGAAAATAATATGGAATTTAAGGATGTATATCTTTCGCAGCAGGCCAGTGTAGCAATAGTGACTGAACATGTTTCTTTTCGTACTCAGTGTTCCGGTTGCTTCAAACGAATTGCAATAATTTTTCCCCTTTTGAGGTATTCAGTATCTATAGCGGCATTTGGCACCCGACAGACGATAGAAAAGGATTCTTTAATGCTACCCTTATGGTCTGTTTAGACCAGATCTTACTGGCTTTATCACTATCATGTGACTGTTTCTTATATTGATGATCAGTTCATTTCTAATTATTATTTCATATGGCATGTCTACAACTGATCATTGTTTTAATTTTTACCACATTCAATTTTCTAGATTACCAGTTTGGATGAATCGTTTGCTGATGGGAGAGCATTATGCTATCTACTGCATCATTACTTACCAACTATCCTACCTCAAGGTTTAATTCGTCAGTTTACAACACAGTCGGCCAATTCGTCCATCCCCATTCCAAATTCTATACTTATACGGAATAATTTGTTTAATTTATCATTGTTTCAAAGAAAAGTATGTTAGAATATTTTTTTCGTTGAGTTTCACTAATTGTTGTCCTTCAAATGTCTCCCATTGATTATCAATAAGTTATAAAAATTAACCCACTGATTTTGATTTCAGATCAGAGTCTTTTAGTGCTATATATATATATATATATATATATATTGTGAAAAAGGTCTTAGAATATCACTCTTTCATAGCCCAAGTGAACATTTATTTGGAGGTTGACTAGAAGTTGAAACGACTTGAGAGTGTTTTCAACAAGAATGTAATCTGGGATTTTAAGAATATTATTTATATTATTATTATTATTATCCCCTAGAGTTCCGAGTGGAACACATGGCTTCATCAGCACATCGCCATTTCACTCTGTTCCCTTCCTGAGGTCCTCTTTAAATAGTCCCTTAACTGCTCATAATCTCTGATCTCCTCCATGTCACCCCCAAACGCCCCACTCGTCGTTTCGTATCCGGGTTCCACTCGAGCAGTGGCCCAGCGTGTGATGTCATTCGACTGTCTCTTCAGCGTGTGCCCAATTCATCTCCATTTTCTGTGGCATATGTGTTGGTCAACAGCTTCTTAGTAAGTTGATTGCTAGGGTTCCTCGTCAGCTATCCTTTCAGCTGTCCATCTAGCCTTCAACATGGCGCTAAGGTAGTCGTTGATAAAAGTTCGTATCAACCTGCTGGAAATCCTCTGGGTAGCGTGCTATATCTGTGAACTATGCAGAAGCATTGAGCTGAGACTAGTGTTAAAAATCTGAATCTTGTTTAAAGTGCTGACTGATTTCGAATACACGAGGTTCTGTAATGCTTTTCCAATCCTGCCTGACTTTGACATTCTTATCTGTGCCGCGGATTTTAAGATTTTAAGCATCATACTTGCCCAATCTATCTGTGGAAATTTTGCCAATTTCTCTTGGTGTTATAAGAAATACATATTTCAATAATATCAATCGTTTATATATATGTGGAAACTTTATAATTTCATAATGAAAAATTATGGGTATGAAAACTCAGTAAGATATTCAACCAGATAATACACAACTCTGCTCATGAATTAACTAGTTTGATTTGTTAAACTCTGATCACTTCTGGGTTCGGAGGCAAAAAAACGTGGCACTGGTCGGTGATTTGATTGCAGAATGCTCGCCAACCACTCACGTTGTCCGGGTCCGATTCCCAGACGAAGCAATCATTTACCTCGCGCAACTGGTAGGGAAAGGAAGCTGGGTGTAGGGCTAGCTACCCTTCCCCTTAAGGAAAAACAATACCACCGCTATTGGAACTTCATAACTCGAAGTTGAAGCCACGTGTTCCATTTGAACGCAAAAGGAATAAAACAAGACATTCTGCAAATCATGGTAAACTATGATTTAGGTAACACTGTTTCAGTCGTGGGTGATTGTACGCCTTTCAGAAGGCACATAACTCAATTGATTGAGTTGTGAATCATTTTGTTCTTGTTAAAGCGCGGCTAGTACTTAACACATAGATGTATATGCATATCTACTACAATGTTTTGGTGTACTAGATTAATATCAAACTGTTGTTTCTTCTTTACCTCTAGCTTGCAGTATTAGGTGATGTACCACTTCTTTTAACCAATTACGCAACAAATCCTACTCCATTATTGACCAGTGCAGATAGTATTCTACCACCAGGATTGGTATTGACCACTTTAGCGTATCTTGTGAATAGATTAGTCGTTGGTCCTGAAGAGAAACAAAAGCTACATCTACTTATTCGTGATAATGCTGCATGCATTATTCAAAATGCATGGCGTCGTTTTCAAGATCATCTGAAATTCTCAAATTTTAAATTGGTACCTTATGGAAGGTATGTTTGCAATGTGTTGTTTAAGATAATTCATTGTTAATTCTTTTTACTCTGATATTGTCCCACTGTACCAATTCTGTAAAAAGTTAACTGTTTTGATAAATCTTAATTGTCTTTTTTGTAATAGCTGCACCTGCGCTCTGAATTAGATTATTGTAAGATTGGAAAGCAACATGGAAAAATCTATTTTTTATTCAATCCGTCTGTTAGTCGGATTATTTCCGCAGTTCAGTAGTGATTTCTTATATCTAACCAACTGTTTAAGTGTGCTAACGCCTGTCTTGGCGAACAGTGTCTATAAACTTGGAAAAGGGTTTAGATAGGTGGTTAACCGGAAACACAAAATCTATTCATGAGGACGTTAGTTATTATCTTGATTTGGCTGCGTTCCCTTAGCTGGGTGATGTAATTGTGTAGCTTCTAATGTCCTTCTAAACAGTATCTCCAGCTCCAGCTTCAATATGAAGTGAACTTGTTTGAATTATCAATGAACGTCATAATTGTCTCCTAGCTCAGAGAACATAGCCACATCGAAATCATCCAGTTGAGCTACAAAATTCTATTATTTCGTTAATTATTATTTTGAACAGTGTAAAGAGAGTCCTGGAACCAATCGTTGGAGATTCCCCGATATCCTGATATCCGTCGTCAATCTCGTAGATGTATCCTTTGGTTGTCATCCTCCAGATTCTGAAAATGCTAACTAATCCCCACTTATTCTTTTTCTCCTCGACACGTTGTCGTCCTTCGTGGTTTGGTTGCATTTATTTTCTCCATTTTAATGTAGCCCTTCTTAAAGTAGTGCAGCTTGAACTAATGCACTTTTGTCCAAAGTTCTGCGCTATTTAGTCATTCAGCACAACGTATAATCGAAATTGTTTAGTAGTATGCGCGGATATAATGAAGGTCATCATTCAGCAGTAAGTGATGTTATCTGTAAACAGTGAGCAGCTTTCGAGTGACTTATCAGTTGTTTACTATTCACTTGCTATTAATCATGAAGAGGTAGCTGGAATATAATTGTGTGATCAATGATAGTTCTGTTGGTGCTTCATAACTCTATTTTATGATCCAAGCGATTGTTTGACTTAGCTGCTTAATCAGATTTAGCTCACAATCGTGCTAACAGACGCCATTATCAATATATGCGTAAAACTTGGACACTGTGTGGTAGTAAGTAATTGCATATCACTTGCTACAGTATGGAGTTTCCTGGAGTTCTAATGAGAAGTCGTGACCAGTGAGGTTCAACCAGTCAAACGTGAGGGTGGATTTCCCACTAATGGCATTGGTTGGTGCCAGTCGCGCTAAATCATGAATTGATAGAAGTTAGAATTCATGGGTTCATTGAATCGGGTCCCAGTGACTGAATAATATGCGACCTTGCCTTCTAATCGGGAGGGTCCTAGGTTCGAACCCTGACAGTGGGTGCGTACTGTCGATGATTCCCAAACTAGGATGAAACAGCCGTCCAGTACTCCTTGGTTTTCAATGATTCCCTAACTGTTATCAGTCCGTGATCAATCCGGTAGAAACAAATCTAATCTTTACAAACCAACTATTGAAAATTCCATATTAGTTGGTTTATTAAATATGTCACACAGTATTATTTACTGGATGACGTTTCGAACACAATTAATTATTCATAATCATATCACTTAAAGTTACACGACTTCCAAACCTGGATTTTATAGTTTTCTTTGTTCTCTCTTATTTGTCGTAGAGGTAGTAGAATTTTCCAGATATCTGGGACAGGTCTTGAATCATTCCTATTACACGTGTTTGCAGTTGATTCGATAAACAAAGCTCCCGTTATCAATCTCTCCCTTCACCCTGTGCCATTAGATTTTAAAACTGTCATCCTATCCCATCCTGTTGTACAGTTGTGTGCAATTGCATGTAGTGCCATGGCTGAACTATTCTCTAGATTTCTTATCTTATTCTGGTCAACTAATCTAGATTTTGCTAGGTTTTTATACTCGGCTAGTCTGACTGCATCTGTTCTACTAGTTTGACCTATGTATTAGACCTGACAATCATTGTAAGCAGGGTATGAAATAAACTAAATTGTTTTGTTTTATTGGTTCTACAGGATCCTTTAACCGACAAGGCGTGTTTCTAATTGAGTTTGTGGGTTTAAATGACACTTCTACTTATTTTGATTTCTTTCCAAGCGTCATCCATTAAATAATAATGTTTCAATGTGTAATACATCTAATAAACAAACTAATATGGAAGATACCATTATCCTTCTCTTTCTTGACACAATCCTTTTGAGGATAATAAAAGTGAAAACTTGTAAACTTAGCTTGACGTGACGTATCCTTCGCTGTGATGATTCTGTCATTCTCTTTCTCCATATCTTCATAATAATCTCGTGTAAAATTTGCATAGTGCATTTACTGGTTTCAGTGTGATGTTGAAATCGTCATGATAGTTAGACAAATTTCTTCTTTTCGTCCTACTGTCGCACTGATATCTTCCAAAGTGGTTTATAAAAGGAAATCTATTGTTGTTAGGTTGTTAGAACACGATAACTGGAACAGACTTTTAGTCTACCACGTTATGTGCCATACTTTTTGTATGAGGACAAATTATACCATTCGATTGTCTGGGCTAAACACTGAATCTTGTTGACTTGATTTCGAATGCTCAAACCAATACCCTAGTAGTCTAGTGAGATAACATTTTTGCTTTTGAGAAGATGGATTTAAGTTCGACTGGAGAAACCATTAGTTATTAGGAAGGCAAGCACATCAAACTGACAGGAAATGCACCTCCCGGATTCGAATATTGGCTGTCACCATCCAGAGAGAATTACTGCTTGTGTTGTGTTTTTTTCTCATGTTAGCGCAAATACATCAATTAACTTTTTTGTTGGTGAGGAATATGACCCGAAATCGAAAGAGATTAGGAAATCGAACAGAATCAAAGTACCACTGGAGCTTGAGTTCCTTTGTGAATCAGTTGTTTTAGTTTATGCTTAACTTGATTATTATTATTATTGTTCCCTTGGGTTCCTAGTGGAACATAGGGCTTCAAGTGCACTTCTCCACATGCTTCTGTCTTCTACTATAGTTTTCACCTGCATCCATGTTAGTCCATACTGTCTCAACTCCTCTTCACACGATCTCCTCCATGTCACCCTTGCACTAACGTCCCACTCGCCGCTTCCCTTTCGGGTTCCACTCGAGCAATGGCCTGACGTGCGCGCGATGTCACCCAGTGGTCTCCTCAGCAAGTGTCCAACCCACCTCCACTTTCTCCTACATATTTGTTGGGCGATTGGTTTGTTTGTTCCCATAGTTTCTTGTTGGTGATTGTTCCCGGCCCGGCCATTTGATATTCAGTATAGATCCAGCGAAGACAGTAGTTGATAAAGGTCTGCAACCTGTTGGATTAATTGTAAAAAGATTCGACAATGTTTAATATTATCATTTCCGTCTATTATTTTATTCCTCAAAACGGCCTATTTTGATCTCATTTTGTTTGAACTGTCTTTTTTTCAGAGAATGGAGGATGCAGAGAAGAATGACTAGAGTAAGTTAACTCAAATCTATCTGCATTTATTATTATTTTTTTGAAATAGTCTCTTTTATATATATATATATCCCAATGGTTATTATTGATTTCCAAGACAAGAAACGTGTTTTGTGTTCACACTATTCGAATTCAGCTCATCAGCATGTGTTTTTATATTTATTTAGGTTTTGATGTGAACAATATAGTCTTAACTATAATCACCTCTACACATGTTCCACTTAAAGCGCCAGTACTGTTGCATCATAATTGTATTGTTCACTGTAATAATACATCAACTTTTCTAGCCTCTTTATGAACTGATGCATGTCATACAAAAATTTTCCTCATGCTGATAAGATGCATACTGTACAAATGTCATCCCAGTAATAATAACGCATCATACATTAAGCAATGATTGATGATGAAACGAAGATATGGGCCTTCGGTAGAGTATTCAAATCAGGGGCTAGTGAATTGCTAGTCTAGTTTACGAAATTCAGATTTTAACTATACTTTCAGTTATCAACCGTTACATTAGTAGCAGTCTTCTATGTCTAGATCGCTCCAGACAGTCTCATCATGGATGGCACGTTGTGATGCTTCAATGTGCTCATTTCACGTGATGTGATATTATTATTCCGTTGGGTTCCGCCGACTGGAACATAGGTCTTCTTCTGCACATCTCCATTTCATCCTGCTCTCTACTGTTTTCGTTAGCTGTCTCCACAATTGCCTATAAGATTTCATTCCTTCTTTACGCGATCTCCTACACTTCACCATTGAATGACCAACTCGTCATTTCCCATTGAAGGTTCTACTCTACAGTGTATCTGGTATGTGGTGCCCAACTCAACAACCAACGCGTGTATCCGATGCATCTCCATTTCTTCCGGAATATTTTTTGGTCAGTAGGTTCTTGGTTGGTTGGTTGGTTGGTTGGTTGGTTTATTACTTGAAAGATTTCCTTGTTTCTAGATTAGTCCTTTCTGGCCGGCCACCCGATCTTCAGGATGAAGCGAAAGCAGCTGTCGGTGGAATTTTACAGTAGCCTATTGGAAGTGCTTTAGGCGGTTCGTGTTCCAGGTGTCTGAACCATATAAAAGCACTGAATTGACATTAGTGTTAAAAATTAGTCTTTTTTCTTATGCTGAGTGCAATAGACGTCTTGCTTTTTTAATCCCTGCTGGCTTTGTTATCCTCATCTGTGCCGGCAGTAGTTGAACCGATGCTGCATAGGTAGATGAAAGAGGTGATTTCCTTTGGGTGTGATATGATACGCCATTAGTATCGTTTTGATAGCATGGTTTTATGTAAATACTATATAAATATTGTATTATATAAATACTAGGTAACTTTCGACGTTAAAATTCTACGAATGATCCGAGATCTTACGGTCGTTTGAGTGACTATTCGTGACTATCGACATCACTTGTGGGGTTACCCAAGGCTAGATTGATAACTGTAACGTATTCTGTTGTTAGATTATGAAAAGTGTTTCATCATTCCACGTATTGTACAGTCTTTATCTATTCAAACAATCTGTGGGAAATGTTCTTTATTTTTCAGGCATGCATTAAGATTCAAGCTTATGCACGTGGATATCTTGCGCGTAAATATGTTGCACAGATTCGATTGGCTAGAAATACTGCTGCAACTGTAATACAGTCTTATGTTCGTCGATACTTGGCACAATGTTATATTAAGCTTTTACATAAATCAGCTACCTTAATTCAGTCTACCTGGCGTGGATATGTGGTACAACGAAGTTACACATCAATAAGAACGGTAATTCACTTTACATTCTTCTTTTTCTTGAACGTTATTATTAACTTTATTCTTAGTGTTTTCAATCATTTCAACAGTAAAAAAAATTATATTTGTAAAATGTCAGCGAGATTGAAATGAGTGATTCCAAAGTTTCGTTCGGCAATCTGGTCCGAACTTCTTCAGGGAAATTAATTGAAATTAACATAACAGAGGCTTATATATAAAAGGATAAATCTCTTGTTTTTAAAAATTTTGTCCAATCATGACTCATAAAACAGGTATCAAAGTGTTTAACAAAGGTAGACCAATAGTTGTAAGTCCGAGGTCAAATTTTGATCACAGCTCATACAATTTTGTTTATTATGCTTGTTGATACTTGTTTTATGACTCATTATTGGACAAAGGTTTTAAAAACAAGAGATTTATCCTTTTATATATATACCTGTGTTATGTTAATGTCGATTAATTTCCCTGAAGAAGTTCGAGTCAGATTGCCGAAAACAGGAAACGTTGGAATTACTCATTTCAATCTCGCTGAGATTTTACAAATATAATTTTTTACAAATGTCTACACTCCTCACTCGGTGCCAAATATTTTAGAACTATTCTGTCAAATCTTGACGACAGTTCATTTGAATCATTTCAACAGTATTTGTTTCCTTGTAATTTAAAAGTAATATGCTGTGTGTTGTTATTGTTTTGTGTTCCTACTATTAATCTATTTCACGCATAACCCAAACTCCATTTAGTATAATCATTAGTAATTGTAGGTCATGTGACAATAACGTAACACTATAAGGACTTAAAATCCACAGGAGTAACTTCAGCTACCTTCAGTTGAATGATCACATGACCACTCGAAACAACAGACATATCAAAACACAACGCAGTTATCATTCAGCTTATGTTATCAATCAGCTCTTCTTTGCTCCTCTCTAATAGTCCCAAGTTGATATCTGGTTGTTGATCAAAGAACGTGTGTAGTGCTCAGCAGTTCACTCTGCCTCCCTTAAAAGATAAAAGATGTGACCGTTGAATTTGAAAAATATGAAAAGGCTAGCTGTCTTTGATCGCATATGTTCGCCTTCTATCTCCTGTTTTAAGCATCACAATATGGTGAGTAATATTGAGGCTGGGAGTAGAGTGTTTGGTTAAAAAAGACTTTCCCTTGGTCAAAACCAAAACCTGTCATCGATCAATGAAATCTTTGACAGTTGTTTTTAGCCAGCTATTTAGCGAGATCTAGACTGCCTCAGTGGAGGCCCTCAGGATTCTAAACACCAATGCATGGAGAGTAATGCAGTATTAAGTAATTGAGCATTGAAACTACAATTTGATCTACTACACTTTTTAGCAGAGTTCTATATTTAGACTCATCCAGTCAGAATATTCCCAAGGCTAATGAGTAGTATTCATAATGAAAGTCACTATTCTGGCGTACTATAAACGTGTTCAAATCAGCTAAGGTTGTTGTTTCATCATGACTTATTTTATGCTGGGATTTCCATGATCTATCAATAGGCTCACATGTAGTTATCGATTTAATCATAGTTGATATAACTTTTTTTTAACACGACTGTAATCTTTCACCACCTGTAATGGTAAAGCCCATATGTAAGCTGTACTTGTGTCAATATTTTGTTCTTATTTTTGTTTCTTCTCTGCAATCTAGTTCTTTATCATAGTCCAAGCCTACTCACGAGGTTTCTTGGCTCGTAGATATGTTGCACAGTTACAAGCGAAGAGGAATGCAGCCGCCATAGTAATACAGTCGTATTTCCGAAGATTTATTGTCCAACGTGATGTATGTAATTGGCACAAATCAGCTATCCAGATTCAGAGTGCTTGGCGTTGTTATCATGCTCGTCGAGTATATCTCCAACTGAGAGAGGTGGGTGGAAGTGTTTTAGGACAATGCTAAGGTTGTGGTATCATTCTTTATGCATATCATCATTCAATTAAATAAGAAGAGAGTGTTATGGAGTTCCTCCTAGATGGACTTTGTGGAATGGAACCGTTAAGAGTCTTCAAGTTGTCCTAGGGAAATCTGATTGGCTAACTTTTTTCACTGTATGCTCTACAAGTGATTTCTGCGTATGGCCGTAGAGAACAATACTTTTTAGTTACATGGTTAATTATGTTTCAACATCTCATGAAACTGTGAATTGGAACCCCTCTGCGTAATACGATTTTGAAAATATTATTGAATGATGATGTTTGTGAATTTCTTATTGTTAAAAACACTGACTTGCTGCATTGTGAGGCACCGATGGACGCATAGCATTAATTTGTTCAAGAACTGAGTTACTGCTAGGACCTCAGCATGTGATTGTCTTAGTGGACCACCGTCCACCAAGCTACTGACTTAAATCCTTATCCACATAACAATACAGTAACGTCAGGAGCTCTGTTCCCATGGTTTGCGATGACCGAAACAGGTTCACACATCATTCAATCCTTTCGGATTATGGAGCCCATGTTTATCAGGAGTTTAAAATGAGTGTTTTCTAGCTCTTCTAGGTGAACCAGCATATCTACCAGTCTGATTGCAAGCATGAGATGTTCACATTCTCCCTTTCACTTCTGCGTTAGTAACACCCGCAAATGTTGAAGGCAGTGAATAGGATTTACCTTTCATTCAGAGGTTATGAATGCATGGTCACATGAGAGCATTTTTTGGCGAGGACTGGAGCCTACCCACCCTTTGTCGTATCAGGTAGTTATGGGGTAAAGTTGTAGCAACAGAAGACTAGAGCCATGCAACAGATTGTCTATTTACGAAATCAACAGATATTTATAGATTTCCATGTACATTATTATAGATTATTTTAAGGAAACAAACACAGTCTTCAGATTGGTTGTTTCTCTCTGAGAGTTAATCTTTCGTCTCTTTGCAGCTGTTTCTTGAAGTTCAGATTATCTATCTGTAAATTGTATCCACCTACGCAAAGTCTGCTGTGATTGGTTGTTGAGTCAGTCTTTGTTCTTATTTTTCTCATGACCAATATTGGGGACACAAACATTGACGTAAATTACTATCTACGAATTTTGGCTAGCAGCCAGCTCTCACCATAATGTTTATAAAATAATTTCTGGAATGTAGGCATTGCATATGAAGTTTCCAGCAGAAGTTCAAGAGAAAATTTAATGAGGCTTAAATTCCCTTTACTTTTGTCGAAATAAATCAACTTCGTTGATTTGTTCACATAGGAAGTTTTCTAGCCTACTACCTTAAGCATATTCTTTCGGTTTCTTTCATACATATATATCACACTTCATATATCTCTGCAATCTACATCGCTGTTATTTTTGCTTTCAAATCACTTAGGCATGTCTAACAGTTCAGCGATATGTACGCGGTTATTTTGCTCGCAAATACGCTTTAGAAATGCGTAGAAAAATGACTTCAGCAGCTATAGTATTTCAATCACATTTCCGAGGTTATTTGGTTAGAAGACTAATTTTGTGTTGGCATAGTGCAGCAATTCACATCCAGAAGACTTGGCGCTGTTTTTATTATCGACAACGTTTTCTGTCATTGAAATCGGTAATTTCCTTATCCAAAAAGTGGAATTTTTATGCATTTATTGATGAACATTAAACTACTCCCTATGCAGAAAATTAAGGATAGTGTAGAGCATCCTCAAAGGGTTGCACAGTTCTACTTGTATTTACTAAAACGCATAGCAGTCTATTACTGACTGTGTAATATAACTGACACAATTACTCACAAGTGATTCGTACACATAAAAAGAAATCACGTAATAATTACTGACACAATGAAAATAAGTGGGTTTAGAATTTCATAAGTGTAAATTGTTGGTAGATGGCATTCAAGATGTTTTGGTGTCCTCCTGTCAAGCATGAAGAAGGTAAGAACAGAACACGTAAGGCTGATAGTAGTGATATACTTACCAGAAATAGAAACAGATCAGTAGAACAGCATGGTGGAATAAGAGACTGACAAGTGTTTCCTGCCTTCTGAGTGGAACATATAGCTTCCGGTTTTAAAGTCTCATTAGCGGTGGTGCATTCGTATGGAATGGGTTTGCTAACCTCACCCTTAGCCTCCAAGGGAGTTAACTAGGCCAGGTTTCTGTCTGTTTTCGACATAGAACTTTGCACCGATGTGCGGCAGTTCAAGTCGCCACACTCCCTGCTTGTAGCACACAAAGCAAGAGAAGAAATGCATAATAGAGACAGTAAGCAGAGGTGTGAGACAGGAATAGTAATAACGAAGAGCAAAACAGTTTCATTGGAAATCATAAGTCACAAGGAGTGGATGCATCTGCGTTAGCCATTGAGAACGATTCTGAGCCATATCACCAATTGTTTCTAGCCTTCATTAGTTTCTACCGCCCCGAGGACTCCAATCAGGAAGTCTACACCTTCCTACGTGGCTTAAACTAACTGTTGTAGATTTCATTGACTGGTGCCATGTTTTCGTTGACCCCCTCTAGCTTTTTTCCAGCCTGACCCTATATCCGCTAACATTGCCGTCGAGGAAGCCGATGACTAGACATGTATGCGTAACACAGGTCCTAACCATCTCAGTCTATGTAACTTCATAACCTCGTTGATTGATTTCCCCTCCTTACCTACAACTCGACAGACGCCTGCCCTCAATATTGCTCACCTTATTATACCACTTCGCACGGAAGATAGAACACAGGCACCTATGACCAAGAATAGGTACTCATGATTTTCATGTCTTCCACCTTCAATGGCCAGGTCTCACAGTCATAAAGGAGAATGTAGTGGACTGCTGAGCAATACATACACCCTTTGGTCGACAGCCAGATATCACGTATACTAAGCCAAAGACGGCGTGAACTGGCGTATGCGAAACGAACCCTCTGTATCTGTGATGAGATTTCATTAGCGATCAACCCACTGGCACTGGCTGATACAACTTCTCAAATAAGTGAAGCAGTTAACATGCTCTACCACTTCACTCTCTAATTCTAAACTAGCAGTCAGTGTAGTCCAGTCCTGTAACATCATCTTACATTTGGCGGGAGCGATTCGCATACTAAGCATCCGTAGGTTGCAGCTCAAGGTGTTCAGAAGACTCTGCATTTTCTCAGTGTCTTCACCTAGGGGGACTATATCATATATTCTAAGTCAACGAGATTGTTCCCTGATAACAAGTCAGTTTTTGAGTCGCTGAGGCCAGTTAGGGTTAAGAAAATTAGTAATGCATTTATGATGAAATTAAACAGAAATGGGGAGAGTGGGCAGGGCATCCCTAATGGACACCACTAGTCGTCACCACTTCAGATGACAACTCGTCGTAAGCCCTCACCTGGCTGCATGAGTTCGAGTACAGTGAGTACCTTGTTTAGTGCAATGTATTTTCTCGGCATTCCATTTACAACCAGGCATAGCCAGAGTACCTCTCGGTCGACAGAATCGAATTCCGCCTCTAGGTCAAGAAATATAATGATTCAAGTGTTGGTTTGTAGGGATTTGATTGGTTTCAGGATTTTATCATGAGCTGACATTAGTTAGAGAACCATTGGAAAACCTGGGAGTACTTGACAGCTGTTTCGTCCTAGTTTGGGACTCTTCATCGGTACGCACCCACCGGGTCCAGTACTCCCAGGTTTTCCAATGGTTCTCTAACTAATGTCAGCTTATGATGAAATCCTGAAACCAATCAAATCCCTACAAACCAACACTTGAATACCAATGAGATGCTCACTGACGACTGACCCTATTCAGGTAGGTAGTTACCTGGGTTCCAGTGGGAAGTCGTGACCAGTAGGGTGCAGCTGGTCGGGTGTGAGGACAAATACTCGCCGAAGACATTGGCTAGCGGTCGCGCTATGTCGTGAATTGGCAGAAGTTAGCATTCATGCACTGGCCATTGGATCGTGTCCCAGTGGCTTAATGGTCTACGAACTAGCTCGCCTTGTAACCGGAAGGTCCTGGGTTCGAATCCCGGTGGGTTCGTACTGCTGAAGAGTCCCAAACTGGGCTGACGAAAAAGCTGTCCAGTACTCCCTGCAAGTTTTCCAATGGTTCTCTAACTAATGTCAGCTCATGATGAAATCCTGAAATATAATGATTATTGGACGCCGGTAAGAATGCCTATGTTCTAGAATCTAGGCCAGGTGTAGGAGTGCTTCGGTCGAGGACTGAACCCGGAGCAATCCATGAAGAGTGAGTGAGTATTCTACCATTGAATCACAATACATCTCTTTAATATTCTGAATAGCTTAATTTCCTCAGTTGAAATACCACTCATCGTCGTTGTCCAGTTCAGATGGTATTTGGCGAAGATCTAAAATCGCCATGGTTACTATTTTCATAATTTATTGGCTACATATAGTGTACAATAAGTGGTACTGTAAAACAGTTCCTAATATTCTAACCCAAGAGTTGACAGCTCTTTTTCTACACTCACCATAGCATATTTGACTGATTGTTTTGTGTTCTTTATCTTGCCACATATTTCTGACTTATTTTCTCCTGTTTTGTACGTATTAAACTTGCAACCTAGCATTGATTCTTTTTTCTTTAAATAGACATGCATCTCTGTCCAACGGTATGCACGAGGATATATGGCACGTAAACGTCTTGCAGAAATACAATCTAGACGAAATTCAGCAGCTATAGTTATTCAATCCCACTTCCGTAGATATTTAGTCTGTCGTGAAATCAATTTGTGGCATAGTTCAGCACTACAAATACAAAAGTGTTGGCGTTCATATCGCCATCGTAAAATCATTACACAATTTCAAGAGGTAAATATTTTCTTTTGATGTGAAAATAGAAATACCTACAACCATAATACATAACATGGTTGTTATATATATGTATATGTATATATATTTGTACAATTTTCCTCTTTTTAAATTTCCACACTTACTTTTAAGAGGAAACTCCTCATCTGCTATCCAATTCCTTCAAACGTTCTATCTCCTATGTTGAGTGCTAGATAATGAAGGAAGATCAATCAATAAAACTGCGGATAGACATCGGTTGAGATGGTTAAGACACACGTTATGCATGCCAAGCTACTGTCTTCTTCTTTGACTAACAGTGTTAGCTGACATAAGGGTGTGTTTGAAAAGAGTTGAAGGTCGTCAAACCAAAACCTCTCATCAGTCAATGAAGTCTTTAACAGTTGGTTTGATCCAGCCCCATAAGTAGTTATAGACTAAGGGGGGTCCACCAGAATCTAAAGACCAATGGCTCTAAAGACTGTTGGTCAAAATGGATCTTAGTGATGCAAATGCATTTACTCTTTGGAGGCTACCAGATCCATTAGACTGTCATGTATATATTTCCATGTTACTGTTCTTTCACCTGTACATTTCTGCTCATTGTTACTAGTTTGAATTCTTTTCTTTTATCACCCTTTGTGTGTTAAATGAAGTGTGGCAACTTAAAGTGTTGCAGAGTTTCATGTTGACAGTCAGTCAGGTTTACTAAAATGGTGAATTAGTAATAGTTCAAGCCACTGAATTATTGACCTCAAAGATTTCCAGTATATTTTGCACCTATCAAGTGTAAAATGTTAGAGACAGGTTTAAACATATTCACTTTTTGTAATATTTAATCAAAGAGGGAAGTAGAGTAATACTTATATTGGCTATGATTCAGTCTTTTCGGTGATACGTCCGACTTTTCTTGATTTTCTATTTTATGAAACATACATGTATATGTGCGGACTGGGAAATCTCGTTGTGTACTGGTCTGTTTATAGCTCTTCCGGTTGTTATTTTACTGATAATTTAAAATATTTTCCTTAACATGTTGGAATGAGGTCAAGAACCTAGGTGTTCCGAGACAGGAGACGATACATCACGAGTCAGTGTTTCCCACATGACCTGTAAATCAGACATTTAACTCTAATATTCATTAAGGATCACGTCACTGAATTGCTATTGGTGCATGTTGTCCAGTCAGAACATGGTTTGTTATATTTGAAAGTAGTAATTGAGTGGTCATGTGGAAATATAACTGTGTAATTAGCTGTAATTTCTATTCCACTTGCCCTTCCCATACAGCAATAAATGTTTGCCTCCTCAATCAATCTTTGGTATCTTTCTCAGTGTGTAGGCGTAATAAGTCTCAGTAGCCTTTCGTGGAGTTGACCCTAACTAACCTTATCGGTTTAGGAATTGATTGGCTTCCAGGGAACAGCAATTTGAACAGGAATCTTCGAATGTGTGACATGCAATTCGATCCTTTACGAGTCTGTAATGCGAGATGGCTAGGACACGTATCGCCTTCCTTGATGTGCAGTGTTAGCCGACATAGTATTAGGTTGGAAAGGAATTCGGAGTGGTCAAACCGAATCCTTGCACCAGTCCAAGAATTCTTTGACTGTTGGTTTGAGCCAGCCACATAGGGAGATGTCGGCCGCCTGGTTGATTGGGTTCCTCGTGATTCTACAAACCAATGGTTGGCTGGAGACTGTTGGTGGTGTGGCTCGAAATCGTCGTCTTTCGCTCAGATACATTGGTTCTGTGGTCCCGCATATCCACTAAATCGTGATGTTTTTCCATGTTATTATTCTTTCTCCCTAGCATTTCTGCCTTTTTCTCCTTTTGTCTACTGTTGTATGTTACATTGAGTGTGACGACTTGAACTGTTGCACTTCTGTACAAAGTTCTACGTTGAAAATCAGTCAATAAGTCACTCTTGGTTTACCATCGATGAGGTTTACCGGTGTGTCAACCGCTAATTGAATGCTGACCCTCTGCGTAGTCAGCGAACATTCGACCATTGAATCATCAGCAAATATTCGGAGTAAGCATGATTAATTAGGGTGTGTTGCATTCTTTTAAGGACCATTGTAGTTCTCAACTTCATCTCGTAGGCTTTTTAAAGTAAAATTCATCTGATGTTTTACAGTTAATATTGTTTCATACAATTATATTTTGGTCAATCACAGCAAACTTTTTGTTAATTATAGAGTATATTTCTCATCTTCATCGCCCCAAATTGATTTTATGCCAGAATTAAGATATGAATTTCCTTGATTGATGATCAAAATGAGTATTTTTCTAGTTTGTCACTAATTAGTTTTTCACCAGCAGTACCATTCATTATGATCACTTTTATCTTCTCCTTGTAGATTGTTTCACTGGTACTAACGCATCACAATGCATCTGTTAAAATTCAAAGCTGGTGGCGTGCCTGTTATCTTTCACGATTATTCAATAGACAACGTCTTTCTGCTCTACGAATTCAAGCCGCATGGAGAGGTTTTCGACTTCGTAAACATCTATTGACTTTGACACAACCGTCGGAAATTTCCACCAACACAACAAAAGTATTATCACATCAGACAATTAATCGAAAAGGCAATTTTACCGCCAGTATTCCACTCAAGTTAAAATCTGCTCCAAAAACTGGTGATATTAAATCTAAACCTCAAAAACAGAAAGCCTGTTTATTATCACTTTCATCATCTGAGGCGACATCTTTACTAGCTATACGTTCACGCTTGAATAAAGCAACACAACGTGCACGTATTCATCCAAATTTGACATTGGCTGCAAAAGCTCGAAATGCATTGAAACAACTCTCTCAATCTACGTCAATAAATCAGATAATCGATGCAATCAAATTTTTGCGTAAGTTATACCTATAGCCTTTGTAATAAATTTCATCCTTTTTCTCTTCACCAGATAGACAATCTGCAATGCTTATTCGTATTATCTGTTTTAGAAAAATCTAATATTTGATTTATAGCCGTTTCTTTATTTCTTGTTCTTTTATTTGCTAAAGCGGAGGGGTTACAAGTTAAGTTAAATGAGAACTTTTTGATATGATATCAGGACCAACTGACTTCAAGATACTGTCTTAGTTCTTTTCATCAACTAAAATGTAACACCTTGCTATTGAACACATGTAATTTCGTCCCTGTCTGGGACTCTTTAGCAGTGCGCACTCGCCAGGATTCGAACGAATGACCTCACGGTTACGAAACGAGCTCACAGACCATTCGTCCACTGGGACCCAACCCAATTGTCCATGGATTCCAACTTCTGCTAATTCGTGGCAAATTTAGCGCAACTGCTGGCCAATGCTACAGGCGGGTAAACTGCCCTCTTGTCAACTCTTGATCAATTCTGTAACCAATCAAATCTGTGCAAACCAACAGTCGCTTGCGACTGGCTGAATACAGGAAACAACCTGGAGTTCTGGTGAGAAGTTGTAACAAGCGTGATCTATCAGGTCAGGTAAGAGGACAGTTATCCGCCTGGCGGTTGTCCTAAATTTGCCACGAATTGGGAGAAGTTGGAATTCATGGACCATTGGGTTGGGTCCTAGTGGCTGAATTGTCGGTCTGCGAACTCGCCTAGAACCCCACTGTGTGCATACTCATGAAGTGTTCCAAACTAGGACAAGACAGCTGTCCAGTACTCCCAGTTTTGAACAGAGAAAGAAGAAACATTGGTGCAGAATAATCTGGATCCATTTTATTTCGTTGGTTCTCATCAGTTGCATACAATCTGAATTTTTTAATAACAATTAAAAAATTGTACAATTTTAACAAACCTTTGTCCATTAGCAAGCATACTGTTAGAGCGTCATAGTAAAATAAGGCGTTAAGACTTACAGGGTGTCTAAAGTGTTACGATATATATATATATATCTTGGTAGAGAGAAGTTTCTTGAAAAAAATTACTAACTGTTGTGTTGTTGGGGTGGTAACAAAAGAAAATTAGCAATAGTTACGTAATTAGATAAGAGAAGATCAAAATTTTACAATTTCGGTGCACATGATGTCAGATGAGAAGTCGATGATGTAATGCAGTGAGCAGAAAAGACTTGAGGTACTTTGTCTGTTAATTACTTTGAATGATTCCAGCACATCTACTCCGTGTCCTGTGTCAATCAGGTGTTTGGCGATTGAAGAGCTGAAACGATTCGGTCCGTTTAACCGGAGGCTCCTTGGTACATGTTCCCAGTTTTCTCTATGGTGCTCTAACTGATGGCAACTGTTAATCACTTCTATAATCAATCAAATCTCTGCAAACTAACACTTGATCATTTTTCATGTCAGAATTGATACTGCATGATCCCGATTTATTGATCTGTTTATCTGACATCATAGTGATAACGTGGTATTTGTTAAATTCAATTATTAGTGTCTAATTAGGTCACCGTTATACATGCAATGCATGCAATTAAGCATATAAGGCTAAGTTCGGGTCAATTATTAAAAACTAATATGCTTAACTGAAAAGAATCTTTTCTCATCGAACCAACATCTAGAACATGTAGTAGAGTGATACAACACCAATCCCTCATATGTATATATATCCTGCATAATCATCTTGTGAGGCAACTCACCGGCATGCACATCTTCCTTGTGTTTGTGTAAATTCCACTTTCGAACAAACGATTGTTCCCACGTGTGGACCAAATCTCCGTACCTTACATAAAGACTGACTTGATATTAGTGTTGAAATTTCACTGATATCAGATCAGTTCAAATCATCACATTACATTAGTATTATTCTAATAAATAGGGTGAGGATATATGTTACTACAAACCAAATTTGCCCAGATTTCATCTCAGTGTACTTATATAGGTAGAATTAAAGTGGTCAATTACAACTTGAAATTTCCTTAGGTAGTTGGTTTAATATTATGTGCCTAAAGGAACACTAATCACATGAGATGTTGCTATGCGTTTGCCTTTTTAAAGTTGTTATATCAAATTTTCTGCACAGTCGAAATATTTGTTGGAGCGTTTGTTATGTACTATGCACGAAAATACCTTGCGATAGCTTTTATTCTCACCCACTAAATAGTGATCATTTTATCAATAGAAATGCTTTTTTGGGGGAAATTTTCAATGATACTCTGGGTCCATGTATGTATGTATGTGTGTGTTAAACTTATTTCTTTTCTTTTCATCATCTATCTTCTTGCTTTAGAAATGGCTAGTGGTTTGTCAGTGGAACTATGCTATTGGATTGTTGGCTTGCCAACTCCTAACAGTCTATCATCTAATGAAAACAATGAGAATTCACCAAGTGTACTGATTCGTTTCTTTCAAATTATGATGGCTTGTAACCGGTCTGTACCACATGAAGACATTTTTGTATCTATCACTGGGACACTCTTAAATATTGGACGGCATACAAATCTAGCCTGTAATACAGATATATGGTGGAATCCATTATTTTCTAAATTCAAGTCAAGTGATAATGAAGAAAATGCAGATAATAGTAGTAGTAATAATAATAATAATAATACTGATGATGTTGAGGAGGAATTCTCGACTCCAGCAATAGTACATTCTCTAAACGCCCAGTTACGACGTTATCAAAGTCTGCCAGGCCTAAATGCAATTGAATCAGACATCAAAGTGACACTTCCCCCATGTTCACTTCAAAGGACATCTATTCAACCTGTTTCTGCGGAGCAGAAATTAAATTCCTTGTCTATGTCACAGAATATGTGTTTAATTGAAGTTTTAGTCGGAATACTTCAGAGGACTTGGCGAGCTCGTCCTGGGACAGTGGTTAGTATCTTTTATATATTACCCTTGTGTATTACGTAATAATTTTGAACCATATCTGTATATTATAACCGTTGAATATACTTTCTCATAAAACTAATCTCCCTACTACAATTGATATGGAAAAGGCTATTATTTGTTTGTATTATAATTATTTGGTTATACTATTCAGTGTAGAGCTTTTTCTAAATGAACAAACCACTCACTTATGTTGTAAAAACAGGAATTGATTTCTATGGTGGGAGTGTATTTTGACGTAATGTATATCTGAGACGTGTAATATATTAGCCCAGCACATTTCAGATATTCTGTTAACGCACGTACTTGTCTCAATGATGTGCTTTCTCATAGATGACGTTGGGGATTTATTCTCATGTTCAGTTGGATTAGAAATTATTTGTTCTTACAGCCACTTAGGAATGTGTTCTGCACTCCTGATCTGTGCAGACCGATGGGTCCTTCCCATTTACATGTGGCTACACACAGATATAAAGTGATAAACACAGTGAGATATGACATTCTATGAAAATGAACTTGTTCCACTAAATACCGCTCTGGATTTTTGCATAGTGGTCAGACTTTGACCCTACCGATAGCTTCAACCTTGATATGCTAGTTGGGCGCTTACATATCTCTATTACCTAACGAGGTACACCAGCTGGAAATAATGCTTCTGCAGGTTCCTGTCATGCTAAAAAGGCCGCCGTTTGAATAGCGGTTAGATGAAAAGCAGTTTATGTCATAATGTAATTTGTTTACACTATATCGGGGAGTATGTGCACGAGTGGGGATCTGACAGCAGTAAAGTTGTTTCCCTTGGATAACCAGCCATGCTGCTTCCCCACTCTGTAGAGAAGGATTAGAAAAGGTCGAGTCCTAAAATTGTTCATCCTGACTCACCTTGCGGTTGCCCGTAGCTAGTAGTAAGATCATAATACAAACGCAATGCCAAAACCACTCCAAACAGACCGTGTGTGACCGGCTTCAAATAGTTGTCCCCTTCGCTCTGCTACCACGAAACACTAATATTCCTGTTTTGTGTGCTCCAAGAAGAAAGAAACTCCCACGGGTTTGGGCAGTCACGACATAAAGTTGTCAAATCAAACTTTTATAATTACAATTGTAGAAACTTCCTGTTTTTGGAGGGCCGATTAGATTGCTTGCAGCGAATACACTACACATTTCGTATAAAAATTACGTCTTATTGTTTTTTTGTTAAAATTCATAGATGGAACTAATTACTTTAAATTTCTGGAATTTATTTGTCAAGCTCACTGTGTTCCTTACTTAAAAAGCCATGTAAGATATTTCGTAAAAGAAAAGGCTCTACAGTCGCATATGTATAGTTAATTCTCTTAGCAACAAAATGCATGTTTCAAAAATTTGTCATCAGAATTGTAATTTTTAGGTAACAAATTTCGTTAATGGGTTAGAGAGAGACTAAAGTAAGATTAAATCAGCTAGCTGAATGACGTAACCTAATTGATGACGTTGAGTAGAAATCAGCTGAAATTGAACAAAAGTCAAGTTAACAACAGTGGTAATAAGGGGTGGGAGAAGAAATTAAGAAACAAACAATTTTTTAAAAAAAAGACGAAACAAAAATTACGCATTTATATTATATTTATATTTTTTGATTACAGCTTGTTTCCACACCGTATTTTTCGGTACAGGAATGGAATTTTCAGCATGTGATATCGGTAGCCCAAATTTTGCAGACCGGACCATACATATCAGGTGTGCATCGGCAGGGGATCGAACCCCGTGCCATGTGCATGATCGGAGAGAGTCCTAACCTCTGTGCTACCGACACACAAGATAAGTCAGGTCCACTGTAGATCTAATGACTGAACAAATTCCTTTTGTATGCAGAGTTCAGGTTTTAATATGTGAATCACCATCGCTTCTGTAGCAAACTGTAAGCAGTAGCTACAAAAGTATGATAAATAATTTCTCAAGTATCTATTTCTTATTTTTGCCCAATATAATTTTCTGCTTACATTTATCACGACAAAAAAAGTTCATTGAACAATAAACTATTGAACAGTTGCCCTTACTTATGTACATGTGTTTTTTTTACTCCTTCGCGTTCCCAGTGGAACATAGGGCTTCAAGCTAGTCACTTGAAGTTTCTGTAGCAGTTTTTATTTTACAGGATGGGGTTGCTAGCCTCAAGCCAAACCTTTCCTCTTAACCAGTCTTATTACTGACTTAGCGAGGTAAAGGAGTGCGTCGTTGGCCGGGGATCGAACCCCGGACCATGTGTACGGTCGGCGAGCGTGTCCTAACCGCTGTCCCACCGATGCACTAATGTATATGTTAGTCCCTTGAAAAAAAAACATTGTAGTTAATGTATGTTAAAGCTGAAGATTTTGCCCAGAAGAACAATCATTGAATAATAATCCAATTGTCCAACCATCTAATCAACTTGGCAAAACTAAAAACTCTAAATATTATAAACCATTTTAGATATTACTGGTATAACTGGAAGTCAAAACAAGGTCAAATCCCTGTATATGAATAGTTTTTTTTTCTTACCGAATAAAGATTACTTCGCCTCACAACTTCTAATTTGTCTCACCATCATCATGGCTTAGATTCGATGGGAAGAAGTTATGACTTTATGAGACTCAGTATCATAGAATAGATGAACACACCCGACCAACACCAGCAACAACAAGCATCAATCACGTTTAATGTGAGAAATCTGAAGGAAGTCGTCTCTTTCATTCTCCTGACCAGGCAGTATAGATAAATGAGAATGCCAAAGCCAGTTATCATCGGATCGGGAAGGTAAATCAATGGGATCATCTACAGCACTTTAGACAAAAAACAAGATCCTAATTTATAGAGTCGATGCCCAGCCAGTCTTTCCATATGGCTCACAGATTTCGCACTTACATCACGAACAACATTTCCAACATCCTGTAGCAGACTTTCTTCACTTAATACTAAATATTGGATGGCCAGTCAGAAAGGACAAACAGTAGCAAATACTGGCAGTAGAGAAAGCTAGCCAATAATCCTATTACCCAAAAATGATACAGAGGAAAATGTGGGTGGATTGGATACACGCTGAAGACGCCGTTAAGTAATATCACACTCCAGGCAGGTCGTTGATTGGAATCGGAATGTGAAGCGACGGTTTGTGCATGTGTCTTAGAGTGATATGAAGATTAAGTAAAGAAGAAATAAGCAGTTGTGGTGGAACCAGTTGAATACGATGGTTACAAAGGGAGTGGGGTGGATGTATGTCTCTGAAGTCGTTTGTTCGCCTCTCGAAATACAAGGAACGAATGATATTATATAAATATAATAATATAAGAGATCTTGACAGTTATCTGTGGATTATCCATGCCGTTTCGCTTAGTAGTTTAACAGTTTAGGTCTCATATTTGTTATTTTCACTTTTTCTTATTTTTTTTTAACTTAGAGTATACGTCTGTTCAGTCGAACGTGTTGCGTTCTCGCTCTTCTGTTCACTCCTGCTCCTGCTGACTTGTTCTTGATTAATTCTTCTCTATTGGCGATATTACGAGAAATTCATGAAGGTTTATATCGCCGAGCTGATCCACACTGTCAATTCCATTTGAATTTCGACCCCACTGGAAATACTGCTAATTCTCTTAGTGTTAGTGATTTACGCATCAAATCGTCAAGTGCTGTTGTGAATCAAATCCGTACACATCTCAGGTTAGCATTATTTTATTATTATTATTACTTTCTCTTGTTCTTATTATCTTCTTTATATGAATAGAAGTTGTACAATGAGGATAAATTCTCTGCGTGTTTGTGTACACATCTATATGAATTGACTTATATTTACACGGTATTCAAGTGTTGGTTTGTAGGGATTCGATTGGTTACAGGATTTCATCAGCAGAGCTGAAGAGTCCCAAACTAGGACGAAACAGCTGTCCAGTACTCCCAGCTGGTTTTCCAATGGTTCTCTAACTAATTTCAGCTCATGATGAAATCCTGTAACCAAATTACAGGGTACTCATACAAGTGCGTCGGCTATCCATTGATAGAGTGCCCTCCAACCAACCACGCACCTAGTCCGCGTCCAATTCCCGGAAAAAGAGGGAAAATTGCGCGTGAGGCTAGCAACAACCCTACGACTACTGGAACGTCTCGGAAGCTTGAAGTCGTATGTTACACTCGAAATGCAAAGGAACAAAAACAAAAACTTATACTAGTTAAGGGTAACCACTAACTAACTACGCATTGAATAGTCGTTTTTTTCTGACGTGAAGTTTATCAACGACTTGTTTGTTTTGATTCAGTCTTCACACCTTCATAGATTTTTTTACTGCAAATAAAATTCAGGATTGGATTTCAAATTAGTAGTAAGGTTTGTATCGACAGTTACGTTAAGGTATTGTTTTCAAGATGTGTAATTCATGATAAAATGGTCTAATTTCTCGATGATGTCAACTCTAATGACCACATGATCAGTGGTATCCTAATATTATATATATAGCTCCCGCTAAATGCAAGGTGATGTTACAGGACTGGACCACACTGACTCCTAGTTTAGAAATAGGGAGTGGAGTGGTAGAGCACGTCGACCACTTCCCTTATTTGGGAAGTACCATCAGCCAGTGCCAACGGGTTGACCTCTGGCGAAATCTCAGCACGGATACAGAGGGCTAGTTTCGCATATGCCAGTTTACGCCGTCTCTGGCGTAGACGTGATATCCGGTTAGCTGTCGACCGAAGGGCGGGTGTACTGCTCATCAGTCCGTCTTCCTTTATCGCTGTCGATGAGACCTTGCCATTGAGAGTGGAAGACATGAAAAGATTAGCTGTCTTTGATCATAGGTTCCTGCGTTCTATCTCCCGTGTTAAGTGGTAAAATAAGGTGAGCAATATTGAGGTTAGGCGTCGAGTGCTAGGTAAGGTGAGGAAATCACTGGACGAGGCTGTGAAATTACATCGACTTAGATGGTTAGGACATGTGTTACACATACATGTCTAGTCATCGCCTCCCTCGACTGACGGGGAATGTTAGCTGACATAGAGTCAGGTTGGAAAAGAGCTAGCGGCGGTCAAACCAAAACATGGCACCAGTCAGTGAAATCCACACCTGTTAGTTTAAGTCACGTAAGTCACAGATGTCAGCTCCCTAGTACAGGTGTTTAATGATGTCTGAGGGTTAACATGATGTCATTTGCTGGATGTTGATTAGCAGTGGAGTCCAGAATGCGCATTTCCTTAGAATTTTTCAGTCCATTTTTTGTGCATATTTATTTGTAACTTAACAATTTCCTAAATCTCCTGTTATGGTTCAGTTGATTATCTTGTTACCAGTAACAAAGTTAGAAGAGTTTTACTTACATTATCAGAGTCATCAATATTGTTGACGAAATCGATGGTGAAATTAATCCAAAATCAAAATAATGCCTACTGACTAGATGGATGAATTACCCGAAGGTTTGATAAGAGCTCGTGTCCCATGGGGTTCACCATATATTCGAGTGAATTTGGTGCTCATTAACGGCACAGGGTTGGCAATAGTGCTTTATCACAAATCACTTGTCGTGTCACTGAATTCCATCCAACCTAGTGACTGAATGGTCCACAGAGTAGTAGTCTATTAACTTGAAGGTCCTTGGTTCTACCCCTGATAGGTGTTTTGGCCCCCTCTGATGAAGGGTATCAAACTAAGACGAAACAGCTGTATCCAGTGCTTCAGCCACCCCACCCCACCCCCAAAATCTGAATACTCTGGGTTTCCTTTAATTTCATGTTTGTTTGTTTTTTCATTTTTCTCGCTTAATAATGAAATTATTTTATATTTATATTGTTTTCATGTCTATTTTTTGGTTTAGTTATGATTTAGACTGGCATTTCAAACCAATCAAAGCTCGTCCTAATCCCCTATTGGCTATTCATTATCTATTATATATTGTTGAAAAGAAAACGTCAACTGTGTAATTCTTATTGTTGTGATTGGGTGATTGGTTGCTGATTGATTGTGTTGTATAGTATGCGATCGAGAGATGGTTGTTGCTTTATTTTTGTATTTATAAAATAAACGGTACTATATTATATAATATTCCATACTTGGCATTTTATTCATTTCTTCTTTAAAAATCTCACATCTCTGTATATCAGCTTCTTTTATCCATTATATAAAAGAATAATCTGTAGTGTATTTTAATGAAATGATGAGTGTCAGTTGGATCGCTATTCTATCTTCCTACAAATTTCCACAATATCAACATTTGATGTAATATGCATTAATAATTTTGTATTTTTATGGTTTCTTCTTTATATTATTTAGGTGTATTTCTTTGGCTAACTTTTATTTTCAAGTGAAGCTTTTTCTCTCTTTCTGATCTGTTCTTTAACTACGTATATTTGTGTGTGTGTGTGTGTGCGTTTGTTGGTCTGTGAATGCTCAGTAATACTTCAGGAAACAATAAAGTCTGAACTGGATGCATCAGTCATTTTTGTGAATTTGAAGATATTCTCTCTTATACACTGGGTGATGACTGCGTTATACTGAACATTTACGGAAGTTGGGGAACGTTGGAGAAAGAGAGAAAGAAATAAAGAAAGAAGCTTCCTGCGAATTCTGATAGATGACATACCATCTTTTTTAACTCATGGTGCTGCTCAAGAGTTAGTTTCGCACTTGGCTGGATGATTGATTGTCTTGTTGAATGTTGTTTTGTGACAATAATAAAGAATAAAAGCTGTACAGAAATTAATTGATTCTTCATTAAATGTTTTGGTAGTTCGTTCTCTTCCGTTTGGTTAGTTTTTTATCGAATGTTCCCATCAAACCCTAGAATGTCCTTTTTTCTTACTTTACAGCTAAGAAAAGGTTGTTAAAAACTATTATCAATTTTATGCCATAGGTGTCTGTGTTTACTTGCCCACCTTAGGTGGAGAAGCGCATTAAATAGTGTGATTAGGCTCAAAGTGTTAGGGAAGGTAAGGCAGTTGATAAGGTTGTGATACTTTGTCCACTCAGGTGATTGGGGTATTTTACCCCTGCTGAATCACGCCATTTCTCGACTGACTATTAAATGAAGTACTGTTGGATTAGAAAAAACTTAAGGGCAATGAAAGCAAATCATGCTGTCGACCAACAAATTCACTGACTGTTGATTTGTATCACGTTAGGTGGTGTAGGTTGCCTGATTAAGGTATTCACTAGACTGTGATTTATTGGTTAAACACCCTTTTTGATGTGATGCAAATGTATTCACACTTCATCATTTTCTAAGTGTGAGACACTTTCATTGTTCGTGAAGGTATCATTCTTCCTACTGTTCACAGTAACATCACATTTGTTTTTCTGTCAAATGTGCATTCTCCAAGTATGGTAGTCTGGATTGATGTTCGGCTATACACAGTCCAATGCTCATTCGATTGTCTTTAAGATAACCCCTCTGTATATAGTTGTTTTTTTTATGTGGGCATTTTCTCTGTGAAACTAAGGCTTAATAATATAAGTATTCCACTTCATTTGTCTTCTGTTACCCAAGTATTGCTGATCCATGCACGACATTTGTTTCCACTGTTATATCTGACATATATCTGTATGTATTTCTGATTCTTATAAGAGTATCTGACTGTTGTTCTAAGATCCATGCAGATGTGTAGGCTGTTTGGATTATGGTGATTGAAAGCAGTGGTCTGAAACGTTGGGTAATGTGGAAGGAAAATGATAGTAGTGACGAACAAAATTCACTGTTCTTCATCTTCAAAAGCTTTTAATAATCTTGGCTTAGTCACTTTATTATGCTTCTGTCTATTTCCTCTTCTCTCACTATTATTACATTTATCGACCCTACATATAAAGTATTTTTGAATGTTGTCCCATCATTACAGATAATCTTATTATTGCCAATAGACCGCTTTTAACACATTAACCGACTTTGTAAGGAGGGTTTTCAGAATACACATATATCTAGTATAATCTCACTTGCCTTTTGTAAATAACAAGTCAGTCTTTTTCCAAACCGAATTGTGCAGCAATAAAAGGTATACAGTACTGTTGCCATTATGCCGGGTTATGCATCGGTAAAGTCTATGTGCATTGATCTAGGCTCTTGTCTTCTAACCAGTGAGCCAGGGGGTTCGAACACTGCTCCACCTACTGATGTTTGGACAGCAGGGTAATGACCGGCCCCTCACACAATAGTTGTGGCTCATTGTCATTCGCATATAGTCTGTCATTTTTAGTATAAGAAGAAACTATGAAACACGTGTTAACTACCCCAAGTTTCATTTACTAATCTTTTTGTATACTTCTATAAGACTTGATTTTTCAAATGAGATGCAATAGCATTAATAATAAGACATTTAAGGCGAATTCATATTTCTTTTGCTTTATTTATTTTATTTCTACAGTTTTCAACATTTAAAAGGCCAGGTTTACCTACCTGGACAGAAAATTCTTTCATTAAGCCAACTGAACGTTGTTCCAGATTAGATACTAGCAAAAAGGAGAAAACTAATATCCTCAGAAGTCGTTCCAATGTGAGTTATGAAGGCATTTTCCGGTTCATTTTTCTACCATTTTGTAACTGAATTAAAAAGTATTTCCCTCATTGAGTACTAACTACACCTTTTTGCACAGGATATGACACAAGAACAAGACAGATTGTAAGAGTAGTAGTGTTGCATTACAATAATACAATTACAGTATAATTACAGTAATCGAAATTCAGCCCGTCAAACAGGCAGTATTAGTAATAGTATTGGAGCATTAGAAGTGTGCGTAAATCCACTATATAGTCAGTTCATATATTCATTCAGCAAATTCAAACATACGGCATTAACAGAGGTACACTTAGACACTGTTAGCTGAATTGGAACAACCAATGGAGATAGAATAATGAATTATTATTTGCCTAGTGAAACATAGGTCTTCAATAGCACATATCCATTTCATCATGCTCTCTGCTGGTCCTCGTTAGCTGGGTCCACTTCTACCCATAAGCTCTCATTTCATCCATATCCCCCCTAGATGCCCAACTCGCTGTTTCCCATTCACGATGTCACTTAACGGTCTCCTCAAAGTGTGTCCGATACATCTCCATTTTCTTCGGCACATTTGTTGGGTTATGGGTTCTTGGTTGGTCAGTCTAGTGATGGAGTTCCCAGCTGCTAACCCTTTCTATCCGGTCATCGTATCTTCAGTATGGAGCGGAGGCAGCTGTTAATAAAAGTCTATACTAAACTTTTGGGAATGCTTTTGTTGACAAGCCAATTTCCTGAAACATACGGAAGAGCTAACTTGTTATTAGTGTTGAAAATCCGAATCTTGTTCTTGAAGCTAAGTCTTGTAGATCTCCAGACAGATTTCACACTAATGAATTAGTAATCTACTTTTTTCACCTGTTTCTAAATTGTTTGATAGCTTGTGTTTCCCGTGACAATACGACTGTTTCGCAATAAAGGCAGCTTAGCTTATAATCCAACATTCAGTGACTGGTGCCGTTCTCTGTGTCAGTACTTGAATCCCGTTTCGCATTATTTCTGTTTTAACAAAAAGATACTGTAAAATCACTTTTTGCATTTATTCCCCTTGATGAATTTGAATAAAGCTAGAACAACAGTGGTTTGTGCAGAATAATATGGTACTACCATTGTTTATTTCGTTGGCTTCTCATCAGCTGCTGCTTACAGCCTAAATAAATTATGAGGTTTACGTACAGAAAAGTTTTAACATACTTGCAAATTTTACATGTTGTCAGTTGACAGAAAGTTCCACAATTAGTGAACAGTGCTCAGAAAATTGCGCTTCTATAGTTTTTGCACAGGCAGTTCAAGTCGAAATAAATGTATGCATATAATGGTAAAGGAGTTACGTAATAAAGACGAGAGATGACTAAGATGATGAGTAACTAATAAATTAGGTAACAATGTACTGAGTTCAACTCACATGTCATAGAAACAAGAGAAAAGCAAAATTACAGATTATAAAAAGGAAGTGAGAGTGAGGTTAAAGACGAAGATTACGTAATCAGATGAGAGAATAGAGACATCCAGTTACCAGTGCGAGGAAAGACTAATGACTGCTTCTTTGTGAACACATAAATCTGGTTTGAAGCGTTTAATAGAAATTGCTTTGGCAAACTTGAGGAGAATGGTGCTCTTTTGTCTATTAATAATTTTAAAGGATTTCCCGATTTGCACCTCATGACCTGTGTTGAGGAGATGCCTGGCGATGGCATTGTGTGAAGCATTTGTTGTCTTTAGACTTAAGCTTTTTGGTACATGTTCAGAAAACCGTAGATATGCCCTTCTTTCTATCCTTCCAATGTAACTGCTCCCTCAGATACAATTTTCTGAGCACTGTTCACTAATTGTGGAACTTTCTGTCAACTGACAACATGTAAAATTTGCAAGTATGTTAAAACTTTTCTGTACGTAAACCTCATAATTTATTTAGGCTGTAAGCAGCAGCTGATGAGAAGCCAACGAAATAAACAATGGTAGTACCATATTATTCTGCATAAACCACTGTTGTTCTTGCTTTATTCACAGTATAGTGGATGTACTTTTCGGAGTATGTGGAACATACAGTCCTTTTATTTATTGAATTCTATGCTGAACTTTCTATATTCGATTAATGCGTATAATCCCGTTTATAAACTTCGAAAGAGCATGAATAACCATTTGTGTAGACTGAGATAGTTTCATTTTTACTTCGTGGGTTGTCTTCAGCTGCGTAAAACTCTGAAGATTTAATACGAGTTATGATAAAAGAAAAAGTCTTGCCTTACTTTAATTCGTTGATAGGAAGGAATCGGTCTCCCAGCAATGATCAATGTAATGTCATAGTGAAGTAGGACATAGTTGTGTATGTTATTTTGAAGTGTTCCAAATATGTGTATCTTACTAGAGTAAATATTATGCTGAAAAGAAAATCCTGCTGACTGCAGCGAAATGAAAGATCAAGGTATTGCGTAATAAGACGTAACAAAATGCAGTGAGTAAAGCTCAAACGATCAAAAATTGAAGTCCAATATGAAAACCAAGTGAGAGAATAAAACAAAGTGACACAATAAGCAATAAGTTAGGAAAAAAGTTACGGGGAGTTTTAAGGTTTAACGACGGATTTCTCTTGGACACATAAATTAGGTCTTTGGTGTTGTTTTGCGATAGCCTCAGAAAACCGGGAAAGACTGCCTGTTAATTATTTTGAATGCTCCCAATGCGTCTATTCTATGTCCTACGTCTATCAGGTGTTTGGCGATTGACGAATCCAAACTATCTAATACCTTTTGGTAGAGAGTTCTTTGGTATATGTTCACAAAATATTGTGTAAACTCTTCTTCCTGTTTTTCTTATGTAATTTCTTCTGCGAATTCGCGTGAATTGGTATATACAGTTGTAAGTAACATAAGTGAGATCCTTTCCGATTTTTAATTGTGCTCACGAGTGGGATGTCGAGAGCAGAGAGAGAGGAGGAAGTGTTTCGCTGCAAGTTATGTCCTGACCAGTTCTGTACTTCTTTATTTCTTCTTTATTATACATTTTGAAAAGTAAATTATGACTTTTCCCAAAACATAAACTTTACTGTAATTTTTCAGTTTACCTCACCTGTATCTGAGATTCGTCACTATCCACGCTCATCTAGTGAACGTCAAACCAATAAAAATGAGGGAATAGACTTGAGTTGTTCTACTGCTTTCTTCATATCTGGGGCATCACAGGAAAATGTAATCCCTCCTCCACAAACTTTGAGCGAATCATTTACTGATCCACAGGAGAAGACATATGATGCTCAGTGTAAGTGTTTACAAATGACAAGTAGTCGCGTTTTAGTTGTTTTTTTCTAACGGTATGAAGATTTAAAGCTTTTTTATGGTGGTTTTCTCTCAGAATTTTCATGATTTACATTGTGTCTTCACTTTACAACCTTAAAAATATTCGATTTATTGTGCTATGATCATTGATGAATAACTCTTTTTTTATTACTAGATCGGTTTGTCTTTTATAATGGTTTGCTTCATTATTTCTCATGTGTAATGCACTTGTTACTATAGTAACAGTTATATAAGCATCCAACAAAGCTACATTCCATTCATCTTTATTTGTAATAATGTTGATGTATTGAGTGACCTAGTCGATATTCGTCCAAAAACAACTGCTTATTGGTCAATAAATTGACTTTAAAGAATAGTATCAGTTATCTAAAAGCATGAATGAGTTTGTCGTTAAAAGTTTTATCCTGCAGAAAACAAGGCTGGTAGTCATTTTTTGTCTTTCAACAAATTTTAATCTCCATAAACACATCTGAAATGGATATCTTAACTGTTTTGTTAATCAGATCTATAAAGATGTAACTGTAGAACAAAAGAGTATTCGACAACGGAGTTATTTATTGGCAAATGAATATATATATATTATATATATATATATATAGGCAAAATACACCTACCATATGTTACAATCGCAGCTTGTACATGTCTCCGTATCGTGCTACTTTGTCTTCCTTGCATACTTCCAATGCTGTCTTACAAGAATCATTCGTTTCCTCCCTTCGCCATTAAATCCATCTCTCCGCTATTCGATATCTTCGCAAATCATATACATATTTATATCCGTATGTATCTGCTGCTTACAAATCTTGTCAGTAGCACACACCATAGAGAGAGAGATAAATAGTGAACAGGCCATTAACCATTTTTAAACGAAGTCTGTTGCTCAGTCAATGAAAAACACTGTGATATTGTTTTTACTGACTTTCCTTCAAAGTATCAGACACATTGAGAAACAACCTTGTCCATATAAAAGACCGAATCCCTAGAGATTCTTCATCTAATTGTGTCTATAAAATAAACTGCTTGGAATGTGATGCGATATACATCGGACAAACATCTCGAGAAATTAAAATCAGAAGAAATGAATACTGTAGAACATCTGTTCGACTACCGAGAAATCCAGTTGAATTAGAAAAGCCTAAAAAATCATCAGCCATAAGTCTACACGCTATAAAATCAGGCCACAAAATTGGTTTTGACAATATTGAAATAATCCAGAAAAAGCATTTCAAAAATCGCTAGGTACGTCTAATATCAGAAACACTTCATATCAGTGATGGACTAAAAGAGAATTTGACCTGTTTACAACACCTCCCTCCCCCATAAAGTGACAAAATCAACACGAATGTGATAAGCAATTTCATTATGTAAACACATGCTGCCTTTATAACTGTACACACTTATCAAATCCAACAATCTACACCTAGTTTTGTTATATTTACCAATTGGTCAATTTGACAACTCAAAAATAACTCCAGACTGAGGGACGATGATTAAGTTGTTATATACAAGCTGAGATTTTGTAAATTCTGGCTTAGTAATACTTTGACAGCTATTAGCACTAAATAGCGAAACGTCAGTAAAAACAATATCACTTAGTTATTCATTCATTGGAAAATATAAGAAAACCTTTATTATGCTGAATACCATATATCCAATGCCCAAATTTTTTCAAACTGTTAAAAGTGAACTTGGTTTGGACATATCAAAGTTTATCGTTATCACTAGAATTTTGAAAAAAACACGTAAGCATTGCGGGCTCACCTAAGTTAATACATAAATAATAATAATAATAATAATATGATAATAACAATGATTTACTTTATTCCAAAAACAGTACTTGTGATACAGAATGGAATTTTCAGCATTAATCACAATATTGCATCTAATTTCCTCAAATTATAAGTAAAAATTAATCACACAGAAAATTTTCCACATTTACAATAGAGGTAGCGTCAAAAACATGCAGCATATAAAAAAATGGAAATAATAATGATAACAGCTAGGGTAATAATAATAAGAATATAAGTGAAAATTGCCGTTGGCTTGTGTCACACAGTATTGGCAATGTGGTATAGAAATCCTAACATGTTTAAAAATATTGAATATATAATAGAAATAATAAAAGTAAAACTTGAAGGTATATAAGGATGGATAAATAAAATTTTTTTCCTTCACGTTCCCCAGTGGAACATAGGGCTTCAAGCTACTTGCTTGAAGTTTCTGTGGCAGTGTTCATTTTACAGGATGGGGTTGCTAGCGTCATGCCCAACCTTTCCTCTTTACTACCATCATTTCTGGCTTAGCGAGGTAAAGGAGTGCGTCGTTGGCCGGGGATCGAACCCCGGACCATGTGCATGGTCGACGAGCGTCCTAACCACTATACCGCCAACGCACATATAAGGATGGATGGAGGAAATTATTTATTTACTAGATGAAAAAAGGTTAGTTAATTCTTGTCTGACACTATTTTCATCACATAAAATACGTGCCAAGTATGGTATCATAGAATTTCTATACTTAGACGTGCGAGCATACAGTTTTCTGAAGTTACTTCTTGTTCTACCTGAGGAGATGCAAGGTGAAAGCTGAGGGTAAAGCGGATGCTCCAATTCAGACAAAATCCCTCTAGCAAATTTATTGCACGAAGTCAAGTGCCTATCGACAACGACGTTAACTATGTGGTCCACTGGGACACCACTCACCCTACTGACAGTCTTCAGCATTCTACGAGTTGTGACATAGTCTTTTTTAAGCAAATCAGGAAAGAATAAGGGTGAACAATAAAGAAGAATAGGTAGGATGCAAGAGTTTATGAACTGTAAGAGGAGGGGTTGAGTTATACCCGAGTGTCTTAACTTCTTAATGTAAAATGTCAGGCGGAATATTTTACTGGAGATTGCTAAGACATGGGAAGACCAGGAGAGATCAGAAGAGAGAATGAGTCCAAGATACTTAATTTCTGATTTGACTCCTATATCATTGTCGTCAATCTTACAACTGCCATGAGAATCGATGACTTCTTTTAACTGTCTTTTACATCTTGAGCTGAAATTAACAGTTTGACATTTAGAAGGATTCAGTTTAAGACCGTTAGACTCAGACCATTTGCTGACTGCCGATAGAAAGCTATTTATTTTGGTACAATCTAGCTGGGAGTTAACAGCCATTGAAACCGTTAAATCATCAGCGTACTTCACAAAGTTTATTTCATCAGAGTGAGGCAAGTCATGCAAGAAGAAAGAAAAAAGAAAAGGAGAAAGGACAGCGCCTTGAGGGACACCAGCTTCAGTAGGCAATGAAGTGAAAGACTTCCCTTTATACACGGTGTACTGCTTTCTTTCTGAGAAATAGGAATGTAACCAGTTAACAGCCCAACATTCTGTTTGACTTGCAGCAAGTTTATTTAATAAGATGTCCCTAGGGACCGAGTCAAAAGCAGATGTATAGTCTAGGAAGGCACAACGAACAAATTTAGCCCCCTTGTCTAGACTGCAAGCAATCTTATGATATAAGACGGCAGCTGCATCTAAAGTGCTTCTACTGTGCTTATAGGCAAATTGTTTAGGGTCATTAAAGGATTTAAGCGAAGGTACAAGACTAAGTAAAAGTAATTTCTCCATAGTTTTCAAAAAAGGAGAGGCAATAGCAATGGGTCTAAATTTGACACATGCTCCAGTAGAAGATTTAGGTATGGGTACAACTTTAATGTCCTTCCAAACGGCAGACACAATATTACTGGAAAAAGACTTGTTAAACAGATCAGTGAGAGGGTGACACAGAATATCAGAACATTAAAAAAAATAATACTAGGTACATAATCGGGACCTAAGCTCTGGGAAGGGTTGAGAAACTTGAGGCACTTTTGAACATCATTTGTGTTAAAACCGGGAAATGGGCTATTATTAACACAAGTGATGCTGGGAAGCATGGCATTTGAGGGAGAGTAAATAAAAGATTTGTTAAGAGTACATACATCAAAAGAATGTGGAATATTGTTTATCTGCTTACCACCAGTGATTTCCTTAAATAGTTTCCATATATTAGAAGCATTTTTGCAGGATATGAATTTCTGGTCATATATTACATACAACCTCTGCATTTCAGACTTAATTAAGAAGGTAGTTCTTTTTACACCACTTTTATCTTTCATCTTATACAGTTTTTCCTTCTCTCTACGAAGCTTTTTAAGTTGGGGTGAGGAGAAACGGTCAAATTTGACGAATAGTGTTTCTTTTGGACAGCAGATTTCAAAACAGAATTTCAGGTAGGATGTAATATTAGAGATATTGTCATCAAGTGAATCATCATTAAACAGATCCCATCTTGTGTCACTGAGGGGGTTTCTAAGATGATATACGTTCTCATTTGAGTAGCATCTGTGAACAACTTTCTTAGACAAGTTTGAGAAGGCTTTACTGTGTAACTTTCCGTAAATTTTGGGTAAAACTCGTACAATACAATGATCAGAATTGGAGAGTGGGGTTCTTTTACGAGCTTCGTATATTCCAGCATCATTTATAAATACTAAATCAAGTGAAGTATTTTGTCGAGTTGGGAAATTAACAACATTTTCATGGCCCAGCAATGTAATAAAACTGCAGTCACAGGAGTTGAAGTCGCCAGTCACTATAGATAGGAAGTTACCAAACGAAGCAGCAGCAAAAATATTGAATTCATCAGCGAAGATAGATAGTTCTGAGGGACTGCAACAAGGTGTGATATAGATATTTGTGACAAAAATGAAGCTATACTTAGATAAGTGTTTAGGTCGACATTTTACAGTTATACAATCAATATTGTCATTTGAGAATTTGAAGCAGACGTTGTTGGCAGTAGACCACTGAGAATTAATAAAAGTGGCTACACCACCACCTCTCTTCTTCTTTGAGCTGCATCGGTCTTGTCTGTAGATTGTGAACCCACTTAAGGAGACTAAATTATCGTCATATGAATCATGGAGCCAAGTCTCTTGAAGAGTGATTACACCAGTATTGCAATATACATTTGAGTATAATAGAGAATGCAAGTAGTTAATCTTGTTCGATAATGACCTGCAATTTGTGCTCATAATCACAGGAACAGTCATCTGATGCATTGGAGTACACTTTAATGATCTCTGCTAACCTCCATGATGCTTTATCTTAACGTTATTATATACTCGTAAATCAACAGGTTGAAAACATTTTAAATAATCGCGAGAGTAAGTAATGCGACTTGGATACATAATTGAATAATTAAAACAAAATAAATCCGAGGAAATAGATGCAATATGTAGGATGGAAATTTTGGTAGCCCAAGATTTAAGCAGGCCGCCTTTAAGTTATAGATAGCATAAACTTAAGATCATCCGTTTGTATCGCTTAATATTTAGCGCGACATAAGGTTCCTAAGTGTTAGTGTTGGAGTTAAGCACTTATAATGTTCCATCATTCTACATATACTTCAGTTATTACATAACGTGGCTTTATTGTGGTAAGTGTGAATTCTAAGGAGTTTGCTATTTGCTTTGCAACCATTGTGAAGGTTCTTCACCAGTTACAAAATGGATTCGAATTTCTACTACACGTAATTTCACACTGAACCTGTTAGTTTCCCCTGACCTCGAAAGTACTCCACATTAATTTCACTTGTATGCTTTTTCATGCCAAGAGTTTATTTCATGTTATTTGAGGTTTTATTTTTGTGTTAATATGTAGTAATATTCTAAATGTTATTGTTTTTCTATTATCATCATTTATGAAAAGTGAACGCTGCGAATAACCGACGTCGATCGTGTTCACAACCAGCAATGCTTACTCCTAATAAAGACTTACCGGTATTTGGTCGATTCCATGAAATGAAGGAACTAACTTCTCCTAGACGTTCCACATCTATTTCGAATAGGTTGTGCTCAGATATGGATTTAACAATGAATACTAATTTTTTAAACTCCACTGCAACTGCCTTTGTTTCACCGAAACTTGTGCGTTCACCTGCTCTCAAAGGAGGTAATTTTATGTGTTCAAATTGTGTTCTGTGGAATTCACTATGTATGTGTATTATCATAAAAACATTTTTTGTCAAAAACTCGACGTACGTCGGTATTTCCATAGTAGACAAACGAGTGAATCAAACTCAACTCCTGGCACATACAGTCCGAAACCTAGCCTAGTTTATCAGCTGGTAGTAGGTGCGGAAAAAATAGTAGGTTGAGTGCAAGGCTTGCAGCTCCAAGCCATAAAAACAATACTAAAACTTGAAGCCGTATATTCCACTTTGAATGCAATAAATCGAAAACCCCGACTAGTGTTTGCAAATGTCTTTTCATGACGTAAATTTCTACAGAGAATGGCTGCCCGTGTTGAACTAGTTTGAGTGCTAAACCCAGTACATTTGGTATCAAACTCAAGCATACGAAGTATCATGTTAGGAGTAAATCAACTGGACGCTTATGCGTACTGCTTATTTTCGCACACTTGAAGAAACGCATCTTCTTTGCAAATTTTAAACTTTTATTTTTCAACGTTGAAGGTAAAAACTAAATCACTAATCTCTTAGTGACTCCCTATATGATTGGGGTGGAGGGTAAGTCCACATAAGTAAACAATGGATCTACCTGGAGCCTAGAGATTAACCCCTTAATGTTTCGTACCAATTCACAGTGTTACGTGAATCCGTCCACAATCAAAATTCGATTGATAAGTACCATTCAGCATTAAACTCTTGTAATTTATATCAGTTGATATCGTGTAACTAAGTTGTATACTAGGAGATGTAAAATCTAAGTGAAAATGAAAGATCCCTTATCCAATAATCAGTTTACAGTGAATAACATTTAGATTATTTGAAATACCCTCTTAAGAATGTTTTCTTATTTTATCATAAGACCGAAAATAGCCATTGAGTCATAAAGAAGAAAAAATACAATTTAGCGAAGAAAATTTTCTTTATCGACAGAGTCATCTTCAAGAACTGTATTTATATTTACCAAAAACTTGTAGTAGTCTATTATTGATTAATAGGGGGAGGGTGTGACAATTAATATAGTTACTCAGAAGTAGTTTCTAGAGTAAAATTAAAGAAATATACCGTAGTCAACGATACAATGGATGAAAGGATTTGGAGTTTGATGAGGTTAAAATTGTTATCATAAAGTGCCAGTATAATACTTGGATACCAAAAGACAACTAATATGAAAGAGGAGGAACTACCATATTTGCACTATTTTCTCACCTATGCTGAAAGTGTGAGTTAGCAACCGACCTGATCTCATTCAGTATGAGTGATTATTGTTTCTTGGCTGATTTAAATCGGTCTAAAGTACTACCTATATCTCTGGGCTAAATGGCTTCAGTTTTAGTACACCTATGCTTTAATTTCAAGTTTAGGTGAAGATATGGTACATTAACCTAATCATTCAGGTATAGTTATGATCTTGACCCACTATGTAAAAGAGCATAAATTTGTTCAATAATCAACCACTTGGATAAACTTTACTAGATGCGTACTTGTACTTGAATTTTACGCCTAGGCGCCTTGTTGACGGCCTGGGCTATCAGAATTTCCATACATCAAAATGCTTAAACTCTTCTGCGTTTCGTATTATTTTAATCGTACAATTTTATATCAAATGCCCACTAGTTGAACGTGTGCACATATTTAATTAGCTTCCAACTCAACACTGTGAGATTCCCATAGGAAATGGAGAAAATACATACAGAATTGATTCTCTCTTCACATGCAACAAAGCTACGTTACGTGATATACTTCAGATTATTACTTTACACATGTAAATCCTGTACGAAGACGAAATACTTTGGAACGCTGAAAATTTTTGTACTAAATGTGTTCACATATTGTCTGAAATAAAGCCGTATCATTACACTATTAAAATTACTTAATAAATCCGAAAATCAGGTGGTCAGAAAAGATGAGAAATAAGGAACTCTGTCAGGCAGTGAACTAACCAAGAATTTATTGCCCACCACATAAGCAGAGGAAAATGGAAATGAATTGAACACGCAGTGAGGAGACCGTTGAGTGACATCACATGCCACACAGGCCCTCCAGTGAAACCCAACTGGAAAACGATTAGTTGGACCTCTGAGAATGACATGGGAAAGATTATGTAAGAGGAAAATGAAAGCTTATAGGCGGTCGTGGAGTCAGTCAGCTAAAAAGACACTGCAGAGTACAGAGTTAAATGTATATCTGTTGCTATAGCTCCGTGTTCCAGTCGAAACCCAAGGGGACGATAATATAATAATCTGTTGAATCAGTTTAATTTTACTTGCTGATTGAAGGTTAAAACAGATTGGAGTATTGATATTGATGCTCCATGCTTTTTCCCATCACATGGTTGATTTTACTCAGGTTCTTCATTTAGGAAAGGAAAGAAAAATAACATTCTGGATTTCTTATAACGTAGGAATAATGCGGCGATTCATGGTTATTAATTTCATTATTGTCGGTTTGATCTTTCTTTTTTTAGCTGCCCATTCTGTTACATCTACTACACATAAAAGAGATCAAGACGGAAATTTGTTCTACTCGAATGTCACTTCTGTTTTGTCTGAAATGAGTGTTTTCGGCTTAACACAATGGTTAAATGGTATTTTCGCCCCGTGTATCGCAGCCAACTGTTACAACGGACATGTAAATAGTGGATCTAAAGAGATTTGTGTATATGGATCACCTATATATCATTCGACAGTGAAAAAAGCTGTTGAATTACTAAGTTCAACTGCTCTCACAGTCCCTGGAGAGCGCATTGAGCGTGAAATAGACACTGGAAAGTTGATACCCATTCAAGATATATTACTTCGTGTTGATAAAGGTAAGAATTAATTTTTTTTTCTTCTCTATTGATCGGCGATCTGCTTAAATCTTGGGCTACCAAAACAGAACCTCCACCATTCTATTACGTCTAATTTCTCGTGTTCACTTAGTTATAATCTATTAAAATGTGCTCTTTTATCACGCTTTGTTTACTCCCGCTAATATTAAAAATGTATACAACCTGCTGATTCGCAAGTTTCCACTCAACTTAAGAAAACATAGGATTCTAAGTGGCAATGTGCTTTAAAACGTATCCTGACACACCAAACGACTATTCCTGAGATTATGAGTACAAACAGCCACTCCCTGCCTAATAAAATTAACTACCTGCAATCTCTCCTGTCTTCTATTGCATGTCGCAATACAGGGGTGATACCCGTCTGAAAAACTAGGCTCCATCATCTATATGGTGATAATGTAGTCTGTCTTAAATGGTTACAGATTGTTTAGACAAGGTCGGTTCAGTTCTAAGAGGAAGTGCGGTGTTGGCGTCGCAACCGTTTTCAGTTCTCAGGGGTGCACTTCCAGTAATGTATGCTTTTAATTCTAAGGTGACCAAAATTAACTAAAGTTGAAACTAAGTTTTAAATACCTTGGATTATGTCTTTCCTGGTCTTCTTATATCATGTTAATTTCTAGAAAGATATTTCATCTAACCTAATAAGTAAGGAAGTTAGGACCATCTAGTAACATTATCTCCACTCTTATAATTTGTGAACTCTCTCGTACCCTACATATTGTTATTTATTGTCCCCCCCTTAGTTTATTTAATAAAGAATTTGTTACTTCGTGAAGAACACCAAAACCTATCGGTAGGGCAAGTGGGGTGTCGCTAAGCCAACTCATTAATACTGTTGTGGAAAACTACCTGAACTCATGCACAAAATTAGTGAGTATCATCTTGTCGGACTCTGAGCACCGTCTTTATCACTATTATTATTATTTCTCGTATAATGAATCTTTATTGTTAATTTCTGTCACACACACACACGTATTCCTTTTTTTGATAAATACAAGGTTCTCAACGTCGGATTCAAGACCTCTTATTGAGTAACTATGCTCCTATATGGCTTCATCTGACAGTCGATTCATTATCAAGTATTTCGTCAGGCAAACCGAATTCTTCGACGAAGTCGAACAACCTTCAGTCTACAGTTATGACAGACACTACTGAGACATCTAACGTGGAAGACGATAAAAGTAACAATACCACTAGTTTACCAAAAAAGATACACACTTATTTGTTTGAATCTTTTATTCCAAATAAATCAGTTTTAATGAAATCAGATTCAAAGGATACGAAATCGAAACAGGTCTCTCATACTGCTGCTTCAGTCAAAAACAACAAAACTTCAGCGAAACCCAGTAAGTGTATTTACAAATTCTTTTCTGAAATCAATGTGAAAAAAGTAATCTACTATTATTGCCATTCACACAGCTTTGTGTCAGTAAACGAGTGAACTATTAAGCTATATATATATATACTGCATTTATTCATTATAATCTATTTATTCCTTACAGATGCACCAAGTCGTGATGTTTTGTTCAACCGTCATGTCGTTAAAAGATTCATTATATTTGTTTGGATTATGGACTACTTTAAAAGTCATATGTTGATTAAATATGATCCATGCCTATTTCGTGTTAAATCTCATATTAAAGTAAGTTATTTCTCTCTATTGTCACTCATCTGTCCTTTTACCTACAAATATGAATTAAATTTGTGTACAGGTGTCTTTTGAATTTTTGCAGAGTTTTTCGTGATTTTTCTGCCTAGATGCTATCGGTAAATAATACAGATAAATATTTTGATTGGTAACTAGGGTGTAACCAGTGTGTCATAAGTCTAGTCGTTTGGTGTTGGCGCTCACTGAATTCTACCAGTCAAGTCCTAAATGTGGTCACCCAGCTAGGCAACGTGCTGTCACAATGCATTCTGAATCTATTTTAGATGGTCGTAGGTGATCAAGAGGAAACCGTGGACCTAGATATCGTACTTTTCGGCACTCGTCAACAAGGTGTATCCAATCATCTTGCATCAGTTGAGAGAGGATACCGCAATGTCAGATCGACTACCTTGGTAACAAATCGCAACCTTGACTAAAATCCAGCCAGCAATATCGCTAAAGACTAGATGTATAACGTTGGTTACTCCCTAGTGTCCAATCAAAATATCCATTACAGTCCCACAGGAGACCAATCGTCAGACCGAATAGCTCTCTGACTGTAACAGTGCCAACAAGGAAAAAATCTAAATCCAAAGCTTACAGCTGATTGCCTCCAACCATCTGATACATAAATAATTTTTACACGAAGATATAAACATATACATCATTAGTAGTGAGTTTCTGAGTCCTAATTATGGCCATTTTTGTTGGACCTAAAAGTAGTGCCTTGTCGCTTTAACTGAAACCCGTTTTTTTTAAAAAAATTTTTATTCCTTCACGATCCCAGTGGAACATAGGGCTTCAAGCTAGTGGCTTAAATGAAGCTTAACTTCAAGCTCCCTAGTACAGACGCTCTAATGATGTCTGAGGATTAACATGATGTCATTTGCTGGATGGTGACTGGCACTGGAATCCAGAATGCGCATTTCCTCCTGGATGTACCTGCGATCCTCAGTAAGTGATGTTCCCACTGAGACTTGAACCCTGTATCCATCCTTCCAAATGCCAAAGTGTTTATGTGCATATGTGCGTTTGGGATATAGTTTTTTTCCCTCTGAAGCTAGTACTCATTGATCCCTTTGTCTCTTTTCTTCATCTCATTTCAGTCGACTGCATCGCTGCTTATGCAGTTTGCACAGTATTTTTTGTATGGTGTGAATAATCTAGTTCGTCATATATCCTACTTAGGAGCGGAAGTCAAAGTGAATCAAACACAACTAGATGAGTATCAATTTAACGTTGAAAATTTGGCTGTTGACCTAAGAGATGGTGTCCGTTTAGTGTAAGTTATCGTTGTATAACTAACTAATGTAATGTGTGTATCCATTTTGATTTTTAAATATTGTTTTCTGATCTTAATCAATGCATATGACATATGAGTTATGGTTATAATAAAAATCAGCATTACACAACAAACACAAAAACTTATTCAATCAAGTTCACGATTTACAATTTACACAGTTCAAGGTGAAATTTCACTACTATCTCCTTTGGAAACCGAAATTATTCATATCATCACAATATCTGATCTGCTTAATGTCATGAAAATGGTAATCAAGAAAGTAAACAAGACTGCATGATGATATATACTTTTTTTTGTACTGATACTGTTGATATGATTAGTTGGATATTACTCACATCAACTCTCAGGACGAATGCAGAAGGCTCATATATAGCATTTGCCATTACCTCCGCTTGTCGATCAACAGATATATATATATATATATATATATATACTTGATGCAATTCTTCTCATTAATAAACTTGAACAAAGCAAGAACAACAATTGTACCAGGATAATATGAGCTCATCTTTTATTATTTAATCGAGGATTCTTCTCAACTGGTTACACCCTGAACTTTAAAAATTATGAATTACATTAAAGATATGAACATACTTTTCCACGATCGTAAGGAGTAATTGGTAGGAATTAAGAGTAACATTAGTCCGGAATGATTTAACTGATTAAGAGTTACAAACACTGACTATTTATAGAATAATTAGACAATTAGGCTTGGAAACAAAAAAATAAACAGGGTTGTGTTTATTTGTGTGTGTGTGTAGAAACAAGGTTTAGGTAGAAAGACCATAACAAAAAAGTAGATTACGTAACTAAAGAAAACATTTTATCTAATAGCCAATAGAAAAAACGAAAGAAAATAAACAAGGTAGGGTGAGTCATGTTTAGATGAGAGAGTAGAGTTTTCTAAACATGAAAAAGGTGACTCATGAAAGTTGTATATTTTTTGTTACCACCAGGGCAGTGCAAGATTCACCACTGTCTCTTTCTGCGTACATAGATTTAGTTTAAGTCGTTTGATGGCAATTGCTTCAGCAAAGCGTAGCCAGCTAGGTTTCTTTTGCTTGTTGATTATTTTGAACGACTTCAGGTTGTCTACAATATGATCAGTATCCAAAAGATGACGAGCAATAGCAGTGTTTAATGCATGCTCGTGGACCTTTCAGTCTCAAGTTCTTTGGTATGTGTTCATAAATGCGGAAACTAACCCTTCTCTCTGTTCTTCCAATGCATGTGCTTTGGCACGTGCATGTAAATTGGTAGATACAGTTGGAGGTAACATGAGGTGGGTATTTGTTCACTTTTGATTGTTCTCAAACAACTAGTTGTTTGATAAACCTATACAAGCTTTGCGGCTGGATATGTTCTTTTCAGGGCAATGTTCAGTCTACATCTTATTCTACTAGCAGTATCATCACCTTTGAATGCAAGCTGCAGAAAGATAGGCTTTTTATCTACTGTGCTGCTTTTCACTTTTTCAACATGACGTCTCCCATACTTGTCTATGAACTTTTGTGGGTAACCATTGTCGCGTAGGCATTTCTCCACAATGGATAGTTCTTCTTAAATCTTTTCTTCTGAACACAGTTTCCTCACACGATCAAATAATGTTCTCACCAATCCATTTTTGCACCTTTTTGCTCTGTCCTTCTTAATGCCTCTGTCTGTCTGTCTGGATTCAACATAGAACTTGGCACCGAAGTGCAGCAGTTCAAGTTGCCACGTTCCAAATAGCACACAAAGGTAGACAAGAAGATGAGTGAAGAGAATCAATAGAGTTTCACAAGTGTAAGAGTGAAACAGAATGGGTAATGGTAAAAAGGAATATGAAAGATTACAGAGACTGAATACATCTGCGCTGGCCATTGACAACGATTTTGAGCCATGTCACCTATTGTCTCCAGCCATTGATTCATAGAGTCAGTCCCGAGGGCCCCAACCCGGGAGTCTGCATCTCCCTACCTGACTCAGTTTAACTGTCAAGGATTTCATGGATTGATGAGGCCATGTTTTTGTTTGGCCGCCACTCACCCTTTTCCAACCTGCACCTATATCAGCTAGTAATGCCCGTCGGGGGAGGCGGTGGTTAGGCATGTGCAGCACGTGACCTAGCCATCTCAGTCTATGTAACTTTATAGCCTCGTCGATTGATTTCCCCTCTTTGTCCAACACTCTACGCCTAACGTCAACATTACTTACCTTGTGAAACCACCTAACATGAGACAGAGATCGCAGACATCTATGATCGAAAGCAGTCAACCTTTTCATGTCTTCAACGCGTATTGGCCATGTTTCAGAGCCATAGACAAGGACAGAGCGAACTGATGAGCAGTACACACGTCCCTTGGTTGATAACCGGATGTCACGCCTACTCCAGAGATGGTGTAAGTCAGCGAAAGCAGCTCGAGCTTTTCGGATCCGTGCTGAGATTTCATCGACAATCAGTCCGTTGGTGCTAATACAACTTCCCAAATAGGTGAAGTGGTCAACATGTTCCATCACTTCACTCCCTATCACTAAGCTAGGAGTTGACGTGGTCCAGTTCTGTAGTAGCATCTTACATTTTGTAGGGGCGAATCGCATGCCAAACATACGAAGATTGCTGCTCAAGGTGTTCAGAAGACTCTGCTGGATTTTGTCAGCATCCTCCCCTAACAGGACTATGTCATCTGCATATTCTAAGTCCATAAGACTATTCCCTGGTAACAGGTCGATTCCTAAGTCATTACGTTCAGTTAAGGATACTTCCATCAGCATATCTATGATGAAGTTAAACAGAAATGGGGAAAGTGGACATCCCTGTCGGACACCACTGGTTGTTACCAATTCAGATGACAATTCCCCATAAGCCCTTACACGACTACGTGAGTTTGAATAGAGTGCCTTGATTAGTGCAATGTACTTTCTTGGCACTCCCTTCACAGTCAGACATTGCCATAGTACTTTTCGGTCCACGGAGTCAAAGGCCGCCTTCAAGTCAAGAAATATGACAATTGTTGGACGCCGAAAAGTGTGTCTATGTTCTAGAATCTGTCGAAGAGTGAAGATATGATCTATGCACCCTCTACCTGGTCTAAAGCCTGCTTGATTTTCCCTTGTCTGTTCCTCCCGAGTTCTGCTTAGTCTATGCATGATTACTGAGCCTAGGATTTTAGAGACTATGTTCGTTAGGCTGATCCCCCTATGATTATCACACGAGGACTTGTTTCCCTTCTTGAATATCGGTATAATGAGTGACTTACCCCAGTCTGATGGTACTGTCTCTGATTCCCAGACTTTGCCTAGTACCTCAGTTAATCTACAAATTAGTATGTCACCCCCATATTTAAACATCTCCGGAATAATTCCGTCGGGTCCTGCCGCTTTGCCTCGTTTCAAATTACTGATAGCTTTTGTAACCTCACCTACAGACGGCGGACCAGTGTCTATATCCCATTCGGGTACGTGGTGGATGGCGGGGAGGTTCAGTGTGGCTGTAGGCAAGTTAAACTGTTCCTCAAAGTGTTCTTTCCAGCGTTCAAGGCGTCTATCCTTGAAGCTAATTATAGTGCCATTTTTTTCCGAGATTGTTTCACCAATGATTTGTCTTCTCCCACTCGTTTCCCTGATGAGTCTAAATAGTTTCCTGGTGTTGCCTATCCTCGAAGCTTTCTCCATCTCTTTGGCTTTTGTCACCCACCACTGTTCACGGTCCTTGCGGAGACTTTTCGTGAGTTTCCTTTTGTGCAGCTTTCGCTCCTCATTGAATTCGAAGCTCGCCGGAATAAGTCTTCTAGCATCTATCAGATCGGATGAGGCGGTGGAGATCCAGTGGTTTTTACTCACCTTTGGGTTTAGCTTATTCACAGCTTTTACAGCTGTATCTATGGCTGCCTGGATATTCTTCCAGGCTTCTCCAGGGTGAGCACAGCTGTCGAACTCAAATATGCGTTTAGCTATGCCTCTGAGACATAGTCACTTAAAGTGGAGAACCTGAAGAAACTGTTTGTCTTCAAACATAGGTATTTAGCTTCTGTCATCCGTGTTAAGTGTTATAATGTGGTGATTAATATTGAGGTTAGGTGTAGAGTGTTACGCAAAGAGGATAAGTCACTCGATGTGGTTGTGGAGCTATATACACTGATATACTGAAGACACTTGGCACACATACCAGGGCATTGCTCTCTTCATCACGCAATGTTAGATGATATAAGATTGGACTGGAAAAAAGTTACGGGTGGTCAGACCGAAACCTGGTATCAATCCGTTAGGCCTTTAACTGTTAGTTTAAGCTAACTACGAGGGGAGGTGTAGACTATCATGTGGTCGGGGTCCTTGAGACACGAAAAACTAGTGACAGGAGACTGTTGGTAAAATGGCTCTAAATCTTCCTCAATGGCGTAGATGTATTCACTCTCTAGAATCTCCCAGATCCATTAAACCCTCATGTACTTCCATGTTACTATTCTCTCTCCAGTATATTTCTGTTCATTATAGTTGTCTTGAATATTTTTTTCTCTTCTTTTTGTCTATCTTTGTGTGTGCTATATAAAGTGGGGCAATATGAACTGGTGTACTTTTGTACAAGGTTCTATGTTAAAACTCAGTCAGTTATTAGTACTATTGTGATTCTCACTTAGATTTTGCAATTTATTACTTCTGTAGAAAGCTTGCAGAACTGTTGATTCCTACACTATCACCTGCTATGTCTACTCAAAAGCAACCTACTATCGTTGTTGAACCTGGTAGTCTTATGTCAATGGTTCGATTCCCTGTTATAAGTCGTCTTCAGAAAATACACAATGTTGGACTTGCTCTTAAAGCTTTTCAACAGTATGGTGAGATTTCAATGGTTGACGGTGAGTTGGGGTTACTTTTTATTTAAAACTGAAATTTTTTTCTTGACTTTTTAATGGATTTGTCCAATTTAATTTGTTATTTGAAGTCCTGTAGATTTCACCTTGTTCAACAGCGCCTTATATTATTTCACAGAAGTAAAGTGAAATGAGTAATGTCTTACCTTCGGTCTTTGCTTTCCTGATCTACCAGATCAGTTGACTAACATGATGTTCTCATTGTTAAATACTGACATCTGTTGGTGAAGAGTTTTAGGTATATTACTAGCTATAAATACTGGTCTCAGATGTGATTGTGCTATCTGAGCTGGGTGGTTTAATCACAAAGCCTTCATTGTCCTTTTGTTTAGCGCTAGTATAAAATGGACGCATTTGAATTCTTCATAAATAATACAATTGTCTTTCTTGACGATCTTGATTGCAACTGGTCTTTAATTTGCACCAATGTTGGTTGTTTTATTGACTTGGAATTCGGTCTTTTTTATCGTGTGATTATGTATTGATTAGTTGATAATACTAATGTGTCTGTTGATCCCTGATTCGTCTGAATGTCAGGCTTGTATGAATTCCCTTGCATTTTCGATGTTCCTATCGTCTAAAATTTCTACATTTTCCGAGTCAAACTGTGTCCATAGTTATCCACATGAATATATATGAAGGGACACATGAAGTATCCTTTGACGGGTAGCTTATATTCCTGAACTGTGTTCCTCCTTTAGTAAATACAGCGCTTTTCAAAATTGATTCAGTTTTCTTTGTAGAGGGTGCTATTAGTTGTTTTAGTCTGCACTATTATTGATTAAAGCGATTGTGTTAGTTTGTGTGCGATATATATTCCAAATGGTCTTGGTATTCTAGCGGTTATTTATTTATATATATAGTGGGATGAATTTCCTTGTGATTTCTGAGGATCGTTTGTTGCCGGTGATTTGATTCTAGTTTAGACACTTTTTTATCGAATTGTAAGGGTATCGATTTTACTTGAAGACAATTAATAGGTGTTTCTCTTCTCTTCTCAGGACTGGAGGACTGCAGTGTTTTTTTTCGTTTTTGAACAGTGTTTGTACACAGTTTCCTTTGTGTACTGTTGAATTATCATTGTTTTAGTTGAGTATTTGGTCTGTGTGGGTTGACTTCTTGGATAAAAGGTGATCAGTTATGAAAAATGATATGTCTGCTTGGACTCAGTTCTCGGTACAGATCTTTGACGTTTTGTGACGGTTGATAATACTACACAATTGCTCAGGCTGAAGTGGTATGTGGCTCGGACGTGAAACCCAATGGCTGAAAGCTGAGGGCTTAAACCATTAAGCCAACATCTGTACAGTTCCTATTGTATGCTCTATTGATTAGCTTCAATCCACTTACTTCTCCGATAATTCATTAGTTGAATGGTAATCATATGAACCATTTTCTTTGGCTCACTGACAGTGCAATTAAACAAATACATGCAATATGCTTATTTATTTGGTGTTGAAGACACCTTTTAAAATTATATTTTAACGTTTATTCTGAAAAATATGTGTATAGGAAGTCTAATTGATCCTCGGGATATTGTTGATGGACATCGGGAAAAAACACTGACCTTACTTTGGTGTATATTGCTGCGTTATCAAGTCCTCGCCCTACTTGATCATTCTGCTCTTGAAAATGAAATTCAACTTCTTGAAGTTAAAGTCAACTCTCTTGGCAAAAATGTTGATGAAGTGAATAACTTTAAACCGAGCACTGTTGCAAATAGTCCAGATGAAGATAAATGTGATGCTGCCCATTTCAAATTACTCTATTGGGCTTATTTAGTTTGCCAGCTATATGATGTAACAGTAAGTCTTTCGTCATTTGATTGCCTTTTTAATTGTTACAACTATTTCCTGGAGTTCTAATGTAAAGTCATGACCAGTAGGAGTGTGAGGACAAATACTTACTGATGACTTTGACTAATAGATATTCTACACGTTGCGAGCCGTCCGTCAAGGATGCCCATTATCCCCTTTTCTATTCAACTTCATCATAGATGTGTTAATGGACTTAACCCTAAGTGATTTCAGAGACACAGGGATTGACTTGCTACCGGGGAATAATCTCGTTGACTTGGAATATGCAGACGATATAGTCCTTCTAGGCGAAGACGCTGACGAAATGCAGAGTCTTCTAAACACCTTGAGCCGCAATCTACGAATGTTTGGCATGCGATTCGCTCCCGCCAAATGCAAGATGATGTTACAGGACTGGACTACATCGACGCCTAGTTTAAAAATAGGAAGTGAAGTGGTAGAGCACGTTGACCGCTTCACTTATTTGGGAAGTACCATCAGCCAACGCCAACGGGCTGATCTCTGACGAAATCTCAGCACGAATACAAAGGGCTCGTTTCGCATTTGTTAGTTTACGCCGACTCTGGCGTAGACGAGATGTTGGACTATCGACCAAAAAGCGAGTGTACTGCTCATCAGTCCGCTCCGTCCTCCTTTATGACTGTGAGACCTGGCCATTGAGAGTGGAAGACATGAAAAGATTAGCTGTCTTTGATCATAGGTGCCTGCGCTCTATTCCCCATGTAAAGTGGCATAATGAGATAAGCAACATTGAGGTTAGGCGTAGAGTTCTAGGTAAACAGAGGGAAATCAGTCGACGAAGTTGTGAAGTTACAAAGACTGAGATGGTTAGGACATGTGTTACGTATGCCAAGTCATCGCCTCCCTCGACGAGCAATGTTAGCGGATATAGGGTCAGGCTGGAAAAAAGCTAACGGCGGTCAAACAAAAACTTGGCATCAGTCAATGAAATCCACAACAGTTGGTCTAAGCCACGTAGGAAGGTGTAGACTTCCAGGCTGGGGTCCTCGGGACGGTAAAAATCTATGGTTGGAAACAATTGGTGACATGGCTCAAAATCGTTCTCAGTGGCCAGCGCAGATGCATCCACTCCTTGTGACTTATGATCTCCAATGAAACTGTGTTGTTGTTCGTTATTACTCCTCCTTTGTCTCACACCTCTGCTGACTGTTTCTGTTATGCTTTTCTTGTACTTTCTTCTCTTACTTCGCGTGCTACACGGTGTGTGGCGACTTGAACTTCCGCACATTTGTGCAAAGTTCTATGTCGAAAACAGACAGACAGACACGTTGCGAGTTAGCGGAAAGAAAGCTTTCACGGACCATTAGACTCTGCTCTGGAGCAGTCAACAGATTTACCTCTTAACCTATAGATCTTGGGTTTGATCCCCAGTGAGGGATAGGTGCATGCCACTGAAGAGGATGGAAGGAGCTGTGCATTATCCCCTAGTGTTATACGGTTCTCTAACTGAAGTCATTTCGTCATACAATTTGAAATCTATGAAATTCGTCATATGAGTTTAGAATTTCGGCACTGTGATGGAGTATAACTCCATTATAGAGAAGATTTTATTTTGATAAATCACACAGTGTTGTACAGTAATGTTAACTGATGACGTTTCGAGCGCAAACTGTTGCTCATAATAATCACATCAAATCACCCACACAACTTTTTACTTCATTTATTTACTACATGTGAGTGGAATTGCTTAAATATATGAATAAAAATCAATGTGGGATAATTTACATTCAGAAATATGGTTATTAGCAGTAGTTTGTGCTCGAAACGTCATCAATTAATATTACTGTATAACACTATGAGACTTTATCAAAATAAAATCTTATCTATAATGGATTTATACTCTACCACAGTGCCCAAGTTTTATACTTATATCAACATACCATTCAGTTATTGGGTAGTTAGTTGTTGTTTAATATCATCATACTATGTAGTTCTCCAAAATAAAATAGGTTTAGTGAAGTTTGTATCTGTTATGACTGAAGTGAACTGAATAGATCCATCGCCACATTGTGTTATGTGTACGCCGGTTAATTTTACTATAACGGTAATGAACTCGACTGGTACGCTAATACGTCTATTTGTCCGTTATACCTTCCGATTCATTGAGCCACGCAAATATCATAAAACAAAAGCCGACCTCTGATTGTAAAACACTGTACCGTACAATTTAGGGAAGAAAACATGACATTTACACATTTTCTTTACCATAATAAAGTCGGCTCATTCAGGTTGTATGCAGTGAAAGCATACCAACGAAATGAAAATGGATCATTCTTATCCTGCTCCCCATGTCTTCTTGTTACTTTGTTCAAAATCCTGATTCTACTATAGCATGAAAGATGACAAGGTATATATCACGGAAACAAATCTGTAACTAGTACATGGTACTGTGGGTAAGACAGTAATTCACGTGAAAATGCGGCTATTTGCATTGAATTTTAGGACTTTAAAATTAGGAGTCTAAATTCTGATAAGACCCAGCATAAAATAGTATATTATCCTTTCTCACGAATCATGTGACTTATCTTATGATCGAGTTACTATGTGAATGTATAATTTCTCACGCATATTGTGATTTAGTGTGTGATTGATTCATCGTCTTTTGTCTCACCTTGGTCTTTGTAGGATAGCCAACCAATGAGAATAGCCATTGCTAGCCAAAAAGAACAATCCATTCTCAGGGGTTGTGAGCCGGATTTAGAGGTTTTGTGTGCATTTCGGATGAGAATGGATTGTTCTTTTTGGCTAGCAATGGCTATTCTCATTGGTTGGCTATCCTACAAAGACCAAGGTGAGACAAAAGACGATGAATCAATCACACACTAAATCACAATATGCGTGAGAAATGATACATTCACATAGTAACTCGATCATAAGATAAGTCACATGATTCGTGAGGAAGGATAATATACTATTTTATGCTGGGTCTTATCAGAATCTTAGACTCCTAATTTTAAAGTCCTAAAATTCAATGCAAATAGCCGCATTTTCACGTGAATTATTGTCTTACCCACAGTACCATGTACTAGTTACAGATTTGTTTCCGTGATATATACCTTGTCATCTTTCATGCTATAGTAGAATCAGGATTTTGAACAAAGTAACAAGAAGACATGGGGAGCAGGATAAGAATGATCCATTTTCATTTCGTTGGTATGTTTTCACTGCATACAACCTGAATAATCAAAGATAATAGTTTCATTACAATACTAACATACTTTAGATCATCAAAAATAGAGTGGAGCAATCATTCAGAATGACCATGATACAGAGGTGAATCAAAATGTCTAGTCTGTATGTTGGGAAATACGGTTGTGTTTGAGTATGTAATGTGGTCGAAGTTTTTCGAGGAAGACAAAGTGGGGGAGGGAGTGAGGGTAGCCACAAGAAGTTTAGATACAAAAATCACAAGACTACTTCAGGCAGTAAATAATTGTTGGTAAACAACTGGGACATAATAAACTGTTGTAAGGTATGCTCATTTTATTCAGTATCAGACATATGAAGTCTAATAAGTGATCGTGTAACCAGGTAAGAGTGAAAAGAAACCAACATTAACATACAATAAGGGGTGATGCAGTCTTTTAAGGTTAAGTGATGAGTTACCAAGGTAGAAATACATAAGTCAGGTTTAAACCATTTGAGAGCGATGTCTTCAGCGAGCTTCAAGAGACTTGAAATCATTTGTTTGTTTATTATTTTAAAGGAATTCAAGATGTCTGGTTGATGTCTTGTGTCAATCAGATGTCTCGTGGTTGCACTGCTCAAGGATTTACATCCTCTTAATCGCAAACTGTTGTGTATGTGTTCAGAAAATCTATGACAGACCCTTCTCTCTGTTCTTCCAGTGCATCTGCCTTTGGCAGCTTCATGTAAATCGACATAGACAGTTGGAGCTGAGAAAAGGAAGGGTATCTGCCGAATTCGTGTATGACAGAATCATGACTGGTTATAGGATTTCATCATGAGCTGACATTGGTTAGAAAACCATTGGAAAACCAATACTTGAATATCGATGAGATGCTCACTGGTGACTGGCCCTATTCAGGTAGGTAGCTATCTGGGGTTCTTGTGGGAAGTCGTGACCTGTAGGGTGCAGCAGGTCGGATGTGAGGACAAATACTCGCCGAAGACATTGGCTAGTGGTCGCGCTATGTCGTGAATTGACAGAAGTTAGCATTCATGCACTGGCCATTGGATCGTGTCCCAGTGGCTTAATGGTCTACGAACTAGCTCGCCTTGTAACCAGAAAGTCGTAGGTTTGAACCCTGTTGGTTGGTGCGTGCTGATGAAGAATCCCAAACTGAGCTGACGAAACAGCTGTCCAGTACTCCCTGCAAGTTTTCCAATGGTTCTCTAACTAACGTCAGCTCATGATGAAATCCTTTAACCAGTCAAATCCCTACAGACCAATACTTGAGAATCATGATTATTGTTTGACTTCAATGGTTTGCTAGCTAAACGCTGTTACTCAAGAACTACTTGCAGTTCTATTCGTTTGAAAATGAGCCACACCTATCACATGAAGGCAAGTGGTGCCACCTGACTTCTCAAACCTCGGTAGGTAGAGTACGTTTCGAACTTATGACCTGCTGATTGGAAGTCGAGCGCTTAGACCACTGAGTCACAACTGTACTTGATTTGTTGACTGTCCCTCTATGAATATCTGATTGAACCTAACCATATTTTCATTGTGTACTTGATGAATGTATTGTCTATTATATTTCAATCCAGTATAATTTCTTTTTTCTGCAAATTGTGTGTGTTAGAGATGTACGTGCTTACGGAGTCTTTCATTGAAATAAGACAAGATAGCCGTCACTTGTACAAATGTTGAAAAATTAAATTAACAGTTACTTTGTAGATATCATGTAAACACCTCCAGGTTGTGATTAGTGAAATGAAACTACACAGCATCAGTCTCTGTCTAAATAGCCTGGTGGTGAAGTCACTAACTTCTGCACGGATTGTTCAAATTGCATGGTTGGGGGGGGGGAATATGAATGTTCTCGTCTTTACAAATAGGCTTCCAATGAATATAGAACCTTGATTCAGGGCTTCCAGTTGACTCACTCTTACTCAGTAATACAGAAAAGTGTATCACAATGTGCAATATTGTTGTGTTACTTGGCTAATCAAACATATAACACACCTAGTCAACATTTTTTTAATCAACACTCTTAGGAGTAGATAGCTACATCTGTCGACTGGTTTGTCAAATTCTCTTTTCCAGAGAAAAGGCTAACTTTTATACACACACGTCGATCTAAAATTCTGCTTTGCACAGTTGCTCATGTTTTTAGTTCGATACATTTACTTATATTATGAAGCATCCTGTACATTTGAGCTCTACAATGACTCTGTATTTTAGAGTATTTAAATTTGTGGTAATAATTGTGAGTATACTTCACTTAGTGTGTAAAGCCATCATTCTTTCGCTGTTAGCGTTTCAGTCTTAATTGTTTCACAAACACCCTGGTATAGCAATAAATGAAAAAGCGATTAAAGATACTCATTAATTGCAAAAGGCAGAGATTAGTGAACGTAGAATATTCTTTTCGATAACTTCTTCATCAAGTTCTACAATTATTTATCCATTACAATAAAAGAATTATTGTTATTGAATGATTAACTAAGTTCCGTAGGTTATAGATCTAAAGCATCCGTAACTAGCACTATGCATAAATGTGACACTGGACTCAACATCAGATAAATTAGGGAAAATAATATGGAATTTAAGGATGTATATCTTTCGCAGCAGGCCAGTGTAGCAATAGTGACTGAACATGTTTCTTTTCGTACTCAGTGTTCCGGTTGCTTCAAACGAATTGCAATAATTTTTCCCCTTTTGAGGTATTCAGTATCTATAGCGGCATTTGGCACCCGACAGACGATAGAAAAGGATTCTTTAATGCTACCCTTATGGTCTGTTTAGACCAGATCTTACTGGCTTTATCACTATCATGTGACTGTTTCTTATATTGATGATCAGTTCATTTCTAATTATTATTTCATATGGCATGTCTACAACTGATCATTGTTTTAATTTTTACCACATTCAATTTTCTAGATTACCAGTTTGGATGAATCGTTTGCTGATGGGAGAGCATTATGCTATCTACTGCATCATTACTTACCAACTATCCTACCTCAAGGTTTAATTCGTCAGTTTACAACACAGTCGGCCAATTCGTCCATCCCCATTCCAAATTCTATACTTATACGGAATAATTTGTTTAATTTATCATTGTTTCAAAGAAAAGTATGTTAGAATATTTTTTTCGTTGAGTTTCACTAATTGTTGTCCTTCAAATGTCTCCCATTGATTATCAATAAGTTATAAAAATTAACCCACTGATTTTGATTTCAGATCAGAGTCTTTTAGTGCTATATATATATATATATATATATATATATTGTGAAAAAGGTCTTAGAATATCACTCTTTCATAGCCCAAGTGAACATTTATTTGGAGGTTGACTAGAAGTTGAAACGACTTGAGAGTGTTTTCAACAAGAATGTAATCTGGGATTTTAAGAATATTATTTATATTATTATTATTATTATCCCCTAGAGTTCCGAGTGGAACACATGGCTTCATCAGCACATCGCCATTTCACTCTGTTCCCTTCCTGAGGTCCTCTTTAAATAGTCCCTTAACTGCTCATAATCTCTGATCTCCTCCATGTCACCCCCAAACGCCCCACTCGTCGTTTCGTATCCGGGTTCCACTCGAGCAGTGGCCCAGCGTGTGATGTCATTCGACTGTCTCTTCAGCGTGTGCCCAATTCATCTCCATTTTCTGTGGCATATGTGTTGGTCAACAGCTTCTTAGTAAGTTGATTGCTAGGGTTCCTCGTCAGCTATCCTTTCAGCTGTCCATCTAGCCTTCAACATGGCGCTAAGGTAGTCGTTGATAAAAGTTCGTATCAACCTGCTGGAAATCCTCTGGGTAGCGTGCTATATCTGTGAACTATGCAGAAGCATTGAGCTGAGACTAGTGTTAAAAATCTGAATCTTGTTTAAAGTGCTGACTGATTTCGAATACACGAGGTTCTGTAATGCTTTTCCAATCCTGCCTGACTTTGACATTCTTATCTGTGCCGCGGATTTTAAGATTTTAAGCATCATACTTGCCCAATCTATCTGTGGAAATTTTGCCAATTTCTCTTGGTGTTATAAGAAATACATATTTCAATAATATCAATCGTTTATATATATGTGGAAACTTTATAATTTCATAATGAAAAATTATGGGTATGAAAACTCAGTAAGATATTCAACCAGATAATACACAACTCTGCTCATGAATTAACTAGTTTGATTTGTTAAACTCTGATCACTTCTGGGTTCGGAGGCAAAAAAACGTGGCACTGGTCGGTGATTTGATTGCAGAATGCTCGCCAACCACTCACGTTGTCCGGGTCCGATTCCCAGACGAAGCAATCATTTACCTCGCGCAACTGGTAGGGAAAGGAAGCTGGGTGTAGGGCTAGCTACCCTTCCCCTTAAGGAAAAACAATACCACCGCTATTGGAACTTCATAACTCGAAGTTGAAGCCACGTGTTCCATTTGAACGCAAAAGGAATAAAACAAGACATTCTGCAAATCATGGTAAACTATGATTTAGGTAACACTGTTTCAGTCGTGGGTGATTGTACGCCTTTCAGAAGGCACATAACTCAATTGATTGAGTTGTGAATCATTTTGTTCTTGTTAAAGCGCGGCTAGTACTTAACACATAGATGTATATGCATATCTACTACAATGTTTTGGTGTACTAGATTAATATCAAACTGTTGTTTCTTCTTTACCTCTAGCTTGCAGTATTAGGTGATGTACCACTTCTTTTAACCAATTACGCAACAAATCCTACTCCATTATTGACCAGTGCAGATAGTATTCTACCACCAGGATTGGTATTGACCACTTTAGCGTATCTTGTGAATAGATTAGTCGTTGGTCCTGAAGAGAAACAAAAGCTACATCTACTTATTCGTGATAATGCTGCATGCATTATTCAAAATGCATGGCGTCGTTTTCAAGATCATCTGAAATTCTCAAATTTTAAATTGGTACCTTATGGAAGGTATGTTTGCAATGTGTTGTTTAAGATAATTCATTGTTAATTCTTTTTACTCTGATATTGTCCCACTGTACCAATTCTGTAAAAAGTTAACTGTTTTGATAAATCTTAATTGTCTTTTTTGTAATAGCTGCACCTGCGCTCTGAATTAGATTATTGTAAGATTGGAAAGCAACATGGAAAAATCTATTTTTTATTCAATCCGTCTGTTAGTCGGATTATTTCCGCAGTTCAGTAGTGATTTCTTATATCTAACCAACTGTTTAAGTGTGCTAACGCCTGTCTTGGCGAACAGTGTCTATAAACTTGGAAAAGGGTTTAGATAGGTGGTTAACCGGAAACACAAAATCTATTCATGAGGACGTTAGTTATTATCTTGATTTGGCTGCGTTCCCTTAGCTGGGTGATGTAATTGTGTAGCTTCTAATGTCCTTCTAAACAGTATCTCCAGCTCCAGCTTCAATATGAAGTGAACTTGTTTGAATTATCAATGAACGTCATAATTGTCTCCTAGCTCAGAGAACATAGCCACATCGAAATCATCCAGTTGAGCTACAAAATTCTATTATTTCGTTAATTATTATTTTGAACAGTGTAAAGAGAGTCCTGGAACCAATCGTTGGAGATTCCCCGATATCCTGATATCCGTCGTCAATCTCGTAGATGTATCCTTTGGTTGTCATCCTCCAGATTCTGAAAATGCTAACTAATCCCCACTTATTCTTTTTCTCCTCGACACGTTGTCGTCCTTCGTGGTTTGGTTGCATTTATTTTCTCCATTTTAATGTAGCCCTTCTTAAAGTAGTGCAGCTTGAACTAATGCACTTTTGTCCAAAGTTCTGCGCTATTTAGTCATTCAGCACAACGTATAATCGAAATTGTTTAGTAGTATGCGCGGATATAATGAAGGTCATCATTCAGCAGTAAGTGATGTTATCTGTAAACAGTGAGCAGCTTTCGAGTGACTTATCAGTTGTTTACTATTCACTTGCTATTAATCATGAAGAGGTAGCTGGAATATAATTGTGTGATCAATGATAGTTCTGTTGGTGCTTCATAACTCTATTTTATGATCCAAGCGATTGTTTGACTTAGCTGCTTAATCAGATTTAGCTCACAATCGTGCTAACAGACGCCATTATCAATATATGCGTAAAACTTGGACACTGTGTGGTAGTAAGTAATTGCATATCACTTGCTACAGTATGGAGTTTCCTGGAGTTCTAATGAGAAGTCGTGACCAGTGAGGTTCAACCAGTCAAACGTGAGGGTGGATTTCCCACTAATGGCATTGGTTGGTGCCAGTCGCGCTAAATCATGAATTGATAGAAGTTAGAATTCATGGGTTCATTGAATCGGGTCCCAGTGACTGAATAATATGCGACCTTGCCTTCTAATCGGGAGGGTCCTAGGTTCGAACCCTGACAGTGGGTGCGTACTGTCGATGATTCCCAAACTAGGATGAAACAGCCGTCCAGTACTCCTTGGTTTTCAATGATTCCCTAACTGTTATCAGTCCGTGATCAATCCGGTAGAAACAAATCTAATCTTTACAAACCAACTATTGAAAATTCCATATTAGTTGGTTTATTAAATATGTCACACAGTATTATTTACTGGATGACGTTTCGAACACAATTAATTATTCATAATCATATCACTTAAAGTTACACGACTTCCAAACCTGGATTTTATAGTTTTCTTTGTTCTCTCTTATTTGTCGTAGAGGTAGTAGAATTTTCCAGATATCTGGGACAGGTCTTGAATCATTCCTATTACACGTGTTTGCAGTTGATTCGATAAACAAAGCTCCCGTTATCAATCTCTCCCTTCACCCTGTGCCATTAGATTTTAAAACTGTCATCCTATCCCATCCTGTTGTACAGTTGTGTGCAATTGCATGTAGTGCCATGGCTGAACTATTCTCTAGATTTCTTATCTTATTCTGGTCAACTAATCTAGATTTTGCTAGGTTTTTATACTCGGCTAGTCTGACTGCATCTGTTCTACTAGTTTGACCTATGTATTAGACCTGACAATCATTGTAAGCAGGGTATGAAATAAACTAAATTGTTTTGTTTTATTGGTTCTACAGGATCCTTTAACCGACAAGGCGTGTTTCTAATTGAGTTTGTGGGTTTAAATGACACTTCTACTTATTTTGATTTCTTTCCAAGCGTCATCCATTAAATAATAATGTTTCAATGTGTAATACATCTAATAAACAAACTAATATGGAAGATACCATTATCCTTCTCTTTCTTGACACAATCCTTTTGAGGATAATAAAAGTGAAAACTTGTAAACTTAGCTTGACGTGACGTATCCTTCGCTGTGATGATTCTGTCATTCTCTTTCTCCATATCTTCATAATAATCTCGTGTAAAATTTGCATAGTGCATTTACTGGTTTCAGTGTGATGTTGAAATCGTCATGATAGTTAGACAAATTTCTTCTTTTCGTCCTACTGTCGCACTGATATCTTCCAAAGTGGTTTATAAAAGGAAATCTATTGTTGTTAGGTTGTTAGAACACGATAACTGGAACAGACTTTTAGTCTACCACGTTATGTGCCATACTTTTTGTATGAGGACAAATTATACCATTCGATTGTCTGGGCTAAACACTGAATCTTGTTGACTTGATTTCGAATGCTCAAACCAATACCCTAGTAGTCTAGTGAGATAACATTTTTGCTTTTGAGAAGATGGATTTAAGTTCGACTGGAGAAACCATTAGTTATTAGGAAGGCAAGCACATCAAACTGACAGGAAATGCACCTCCCGGATTCGAATATTGGCTGTCACCATCCAGAGAGAATTACTGCTTGTGTTGTGTTTTTTTCTCATGTTAGCGCAAATACATCAATTAACTTTTTTGTTGGTGAGGAATATGACCCGAAATCGAAAGAGATTAGGAAATCGAACAGAATCAAAGTACCACTGGAGCTTGAGTTCCTTTGTGAATCAGTTGTTTTAGTTTATGCTTAACTTGATTATTATTATTATTGTTCCCTTGGGTTCCTAGTGGAACATAGGGCTTCAAGTGCACTTCTCCACATGCTTCTGTCTTCTACTATAGTTTTCACCTGCATCCATGTTAGTCCATACTGTCTCAACTCCTCTTCACACGATCTCCTCCATGTCACCCTTGCACTAACGTCCCACTCGCCGCTTCCCTTTCGGGTTCCACTCGAGCAATGGCCTGACGTGCGCGCGATGTCACCCAGTGGTCTCCTCAGCAAGTGTCCAACCCACCTCCACTTTCTCCTACATATTTGTTGGGCGATTGGTTTGTTTGTTCCCATAGTTTCTTGTTGGTGATTGTTCCCGGCCCGGCCATTTGATATTCAGTATAGATCCAGCGAAGACAGTAGTTGATAAAGGTCTGCAACCTGTTGGATTAATTGTAAAAAGATTCGACAATGTTTAATATTATCATTTCCGTCTATTATTTTATTCCTCAAAACGGCCTATTTTGATCTCATTTTGTTTGAACTGTCTTTTTTTCAGAGAATGGAGGATGCAGAGAAGAATGACTAGAGTAAGTTAACTCAAATCTATCTGCATTTATTATTATTTTTTTGAAATAGTCTCTTTTATATATATATATATCCCAATGGTTATTATTGATTTCCAAGACAAGAAACGTGTTTTGTGTTCACACTATTCGAATTCAGCTCATCAGCATGTGTTTTTATATTTATTTAGGTTTTGATGTGAACAATATAGTCTTAACTATAATCACCTCTACACATGTTCCACTTAAAGCGCCAGTACTGTTGCATCATAATTGTATTGTTCACTGTAATAATACATCAACTTTTCTAGCCTCTTTATGAACTGATGCATGTCATACAAAAATTTTCCTCATGCTGATAAGATGCATACTGTACAAATGTCATCCCAGTAATAATAACGCATCATACATTAAGCAATGATTGATGATGAAACGAAGATATGGGCCTTCGGTAGAGTATTCAAATCAGGGGCTAGTGAATTGCTAGTCTAGTTTACGAAATTCAGATTTTAACTATACTTTCAGTTATCAACCGTTACATTAGTAGCAGTCTTCTATGTCTAGATCGCTCCAGACAGTCTCATCATGGATGGCACGTTGTGATGCTTCAATGTGCTCATTTCACGTGATGTGATATTATTATTCCGTTGGGTTCCGCCGACTGGAACATAGGTCTTCTTCTGCACATCTCCATTTCATCCTGCTCTCTACTGTTTTCGTTAGCTGTCTCCACAATTGCCTATAAGATTTCATTCCTTCTTTACGCGATCTCCTACACTTCACCATTGAATGACCAACTCGTCATTTCCCATTGAAGGTTCTACTCTACAGTGTATCTGGTATGTGGTGCCCAACTCAACAACCAACGCGTGTATCCGATGCATCTCCATTTCTTCCGGAATATTTTTTGGTCAGTAGGTTCTTGGTTGGTTGGTTGGTTGGTTGGTTGGTTTATTACTTGAAAGATTTCCTTGTTTCTAGATTAGTCCTTTCTGGCCGGCCACCCGATCTTCAGGATGAAGCGAAAGCAGCTGTCGGTGGAATTTTACAGTAGCCTATTGGAAGTGCTTTAGGCGGTTCGTGTTCCAGGTGTCTGAACCATATAAAAGCACTGAATTGACATTAGTGTTAAAAATTAGTCTTTTTTCTTATGCTGAGTGCAATAGACGTCTTGCTTTTTTAATCCCTGCTGGCTTTGTTATCCTCATCTGTGCCGGCAGTAGTTGAACCGATGCTGCATAGGTAGATGAAAGAGGTGATTTCCTTTGGGTGTGATATGATACGCCATTAGTATCGTTTTGATAGCATGGTTTTATGTAAATACTATATAAATATTGTATTATATAAATACTAGGTAACTTTCGACGTTAAAATTCTACGAATGATCCGAGATCTTACGGTCGTTTGAGTGACTATTCGTGACTATCGACATCACTTGTGGGGTTACCCAAGGCTAGATTGATAACTGTAACGTATTCTGTTGTTAGATTATGAAAAGTGTTTCATCATTCCACGTATTGTACAGTCTTTATCTATTCAAACAATCTGTGGGAAATGTTCTTTATTTTTCAGGCATGCATTAAGATTCAAGCTTATGCACGTGGATATCTTGCGCGTAAATATGTTGCACAGATTCGATTGGCTAGAAATACTGCTGCAACTGTAATACAGTCTTATGTTCGTCGATACTTGGCACAATGTTATATTAAGCTTTTACATAAATCAGCTACCTTAATTCAGTCTACCTGGCGTGGATATGTGGTACAACGAAGTTACACATCAATAAGAACGGTAATTCACTTTACATTCTTCTTTTTCTTGAACGTTATTATTAACTTTATTCTTAGTGTTTTCAATCATTTCAACAGTAAAAAAAATTATATTTGTAAAATGTCAGCGAGATTGAAATGAGTGATTCCAAAGTTTCGTTCGGCAATCTGGTCCGAACTTCTTCAGGGAAATTAATTGAAATTAACATAACAGAGGCTTATATATAAAAGGATAAATCTCTTGTTTTTAAAAATTTTGTCCAATCATGACTCATAAAACAGGTATCAAAGTGTTTAACAAAGGTAGACCAATAGTTGTAAGTCCGAGGTCAAATTTTGATCACAGCTCATACAATTTTGTTTATTATGCTTGTTGATACTTGTTTTATGACTCATTATTGGACAAAGGTTTTAAAAACAAGAGATTTATCCTTTTATATATATACCTGTGTTATGTTAATGTCGATTAATTTCCCTGAAGAAGTTCGAGTCAGATTGCCGAAAACAGGAAACGTTGGAATTACTCATTTCAATCTCGCTGAGATTTTACAAATATAATTTTTTACAAATGTCTACACTCCTCACTCGGTGCCAAATATTTTAGAACTATTCTGTCAAATCTTGACGACAGTTCATTTGAATCATTTCAACAGTATTTGTTTCCTTGTAATTTAAAAGTAATATGCTGTGTGTTGTTATTGTTTTGTGTTCCTACTATTAATCTATTTCACGCATAACCCAAACTCCATTTAGTATAATCATTAGTAATTGTAGGTCATGTGACAATAACGTAACACTATAAGGACTTAAAATCCACAGGAGTAACTTCAGCTACCTTCAGTTGAATGATCACATGACCACTCGAAACAACAGACATATCAAAACACAACGCAGTTATCATTCAGCTTATGTTATCAATCAGCTCTTCTTTGCTCCTCTCTAATAGTCCCAAGTTGATATCTGGTTGTTGATCAAAGAACGTGTGTAGTGCTCAGCAGTTCACTCTGCCTCCCTTAAAAGATAAAAGATGTGACCGTTGAATTTGAAAAATATGAAAAGGCTAGCTGTCTTTGATCGCATATGTTCGCCTTCTATCTCCTGTTTTAAGCATCACAATATGGTGAGTAATATTGAGGCTGGGAGTAGAGTGTTTGGTTAAAAAAGACTTTCCCTTGGTCAAAACCAAAACCTGTCATCGATCAATGAAATCTTTGACAGTTGTTTTTAGCCAGCTATTTAGCGAGATCTAGACTGCCTCAGTGGAGGCCCTCAGGATTCTAAACACCAATGCATGGAGAGTAATGCAGTATTAAGTAATTGAGCATTGAAACTACAATTTGATCTACTACACTTTTTAGCAGAGTTCTATATTTAGACTCATCCAGTCAGAATATTCCCAAGGCTAATGAGTAGTATTCATAATGAAAGTCACTATTCTGGCGTACTATAAACGTGTTCAAATCAGCTAAGGTTGTTGTTTCATCATGACTTATTTTATGCTGGGATTTCCATGATCTATCAATAGGCTCACATGTAGTTATCGATTTAATCATAGTTGATATAACTTTTTTTTAACACGACTGTAATCTTTCACCACCTGTAATGGTAAAGCCCATATGTAAGCTGTACTTGTGTCAATATTTTGTTCTTATTTTTGTTTCTTCTCTGCAATCTAGTTCTTTATCATAGTCCAAGCCTACTCACGAGGTTTCTTGGCTCGTAGATATGTTGCACAGTTACAAGCGAAGAGGAATGCAGCCGCCATAGTAATACAGTCGTATTTCCGAAGATTTATTGTCCAACGTGATGTATGTAATTGGCACAAATCAGCTATCCAGATTCAGAGTGCTTGGCGTTGTTATCATGCTCGTCGAGTATATCTCCAACTGAGAGAGGTGGGTGGAAGTGTTTTAGGACAATGCTAAGGTTGTGGTATCATTCTTTATGCATATCATCATTCAATTAAATAAGAAGAGAGTGTTATGGAGTTCCTCCTAGATGGACTTTGTGGAATGGAACCGTTAAGAGTCTTCAAGTTGTCCTAGGGAAATCTGATTGGCTAACTTTTTTCACTGTATGCTCTACAAGTGATTTCTGCGTATGGCCGTAGAGAACAATACTTTTTAGTTACATGGTTAATTATGTTTCAACATCTCATGAAACTGTGAATTGGAACCCCTCTGCGTAATACGATTTTGAAAATATTATTGAATGATGATGTTTGTGAATTTCTTATTGTTAAAAACACTGACTTGCTGCATTGTGAGGCACCGATGGACGCATAGCATTAATTTGTTCAAGAACTGAGTTACTGCTAGGACCTCAGCATGTGATTGTCTTAGTGGACCACCGTCCACCAAGCTACTGACTTAAATCCTTATCCACATAACAATACAGTAACGTCAGGAGCTCTGTTCCCATGGTTTGCGATGACCGAAACAGGTTCACACATCATTCAATCCTTTCGGATTATGGAGCCCATGTTTATCAGGAGTTTAAAATGAGTGTTTTCTAGCTCTTCTAGGTGAACCAGCATATCTACCAGTCTGATTGCAAGCATGAGATGTTCACATTCTCCCTTTCACTTCTGCGTTAGTAACACCCGCAAATGTTGAAGGCAGTGAATAGGATTTACCTTTCATTCAGAGGTTATGAATGCATGGTCACATGAGAGCATTTTTTGGCGAGGACTGGAGCCTACCCACCCTTTGTCGTATCAGGTAGTTATGGGGTAAAGTTGTAGCAACAGAAGACTAGAGCCATGCAACAGATTGTCTATTTACGAAATCAACAGATATTTATAGATTTCCATGTACATTATTATAGATTATTTTAAGGAAACAAACACAGTCTTCAGATTGGTTGTTTCTCTCTGAGAGTTAATCTTTCGTCTCTTTGCAGCTGTTTCTTGAAGTTCAGATTATCTATCTGTAAATTGTATCCACCTACGCAAAGTCTGCTGTGATTGGTTGTTGAGTCAGTCTTTGTTCTTATTTTTCTCATGACCAATATTGGGGACACAAACATTGACGTAAATTACTATCTACGAATTTTGGCTAGCAGCCAGCTCTCACCATAATGTTTATAAAATAATTTCTGGAATGTAGGCATTGCATATGAAGTTTCCAGCAGAAGTTCAAGAGAAAATTTAATGAGGCTTAAATTCCCTTTACTTTTGTCGAAATAAATCAACTTCGTTGATTTGTTCACATAGGAAGTTTTCTAGCCTACTACCTTAAGCATATTCTTTCGGTTTCTTTCATACATATATATCACACTTCATATATCTCTGCAATCTACATCGCTGTTATTTTTGCTTTCAAATCACTTAGGCATGTCTAACAGTTCAGCGATATGTACGCGGTTATTTTGCTCGCAAATACGCTTTAGAAATGCGTAGAAAAATGACTTCAGCAGCTATAGTATTTCAATCACATTTCCGAGGTTATTTGGTTAGAAGACTAATTTTGTGTTGGCATAGTGCAGCAATTCACATCCAGAAGACTTGGCGCTGTTTTTATTATCGACAACGTTTTCTGTCATTGAAATCGGTAATTTCCTTATCCAAAAAGTGGAATTTTTATGCATTTATTGATGAACATTAAACTACTCCCTATGCAGAAAATTAAGGATAGTGTAGAGCATCCTCAAAGGGTTGCACAGTTCTACTTGTATTTACTAAAACGCATAGCAGTCTATTACTGACTGTGTAATATAACTGACACAATTACTCACAAGTGATTCCTACACATAAAAAGAAATCACGTAATAATTACTGGCACAATGAAAATAAGTGGGTTTAGAATTTCATAAGTGTAAATTGTTGGTAGATGGCATTCAAGATGTTTTGGTGTCCTCCTGTCAAGCATGAAGAAGGTAAGAACAGAACACGTAAGGCTGATAGTAGTGATATATTTACCAGAAATAGAAACAGATCAGTAGAACAGCATGGTGGAATAAGAGACTAACAAGTGTTTCCTGTCTTCTGAGTGGAACATATAGCTTCCGGTTTTAAAGTCTCATTAGCGGTGGTGCATTCGTATGGAATGGGTTTGCTAACCTCACCCTTAGCCTCCAAGGGAGTTAACTAGGCCAGGTTTCTGTCTGTTTTCGACATAGAACTTTGCACCGATGTGCGGCAGTTCAAGTCGCCACACTCCCTGCTTGTAGCACACAAAGCAAGAGAAGAAATGCATAATAGAGACAGTAAGCAGAGGTGTGAGACAGGAATAGTAATAACGAAGAGCAAAACAGTTTCATTGGAAATCATAAGTCACAAGGAGTGGATGCACCTGCGTTAGCCATTGAGAACGATTCTGAGCCATATCACCAATTGTTTCTAGCCTTCATTAGTTTCTACCGCCCCGAGGACTCCAATCAGGAAGTCTACACCTTCCTACGTGGCTTAAACTAACTGTTGTAGATTTCATTGACTGGTGCCATGTTTTCGTTTGACCCCCTCTAGCTTTTTTCCAGCCTGACCCTATATCCGCTAACATTGCTCGTCGAGGAAGCCGATGACTAGACATGTATGCGTAACACAGGTCCTAACCATCTCAATCTATGTAACTTCATAACCTCGTTGATTGATTTCCCCTCCTTACCTACAACTCGACAGACGCCTGCCCTCAATATTGCTCACCTTATTATACCACTTCGCACGGAAGATAGAACACAGGCACCTATGACCAAGAATAGGTACTCATGATTTTCATGTCTTCCACCTTCAATGGCCAGGTCTCACAGTCATAAAGGAGAATGTAGTGGACTGCTGAGCAATACATACACCCTTTGGTCGACAGCCAGATATCACGTATACTAAGCCAAAGACGGCGTGAACTGGCGTATGCGAAACGAGCCCTCTGTATCTGTGATGAGATTTCATCAGCGATCAACCCACTGGCACTGGCTGATACAACTTCTCAAATAAGTGAAGCAGTCAACATGCTCTACCACTTCACTCTCTAATTCTAAACTAGCAGTCAGTGTAGTCCAGTCCTGTAACTTCATCTTACATTTGGCGGGAGCGATTCGCATACTAAGCATCCGTAGATTGCAGCTCAAGGTGTTCAGAAGATTCTGCATTTTCTCAGTGTCTTCACCTAGGGGGACTATATCATATATTCTAAGTCAACGAGATTGTTCCCTGATAACAAGTCAGTTTTTGAGTCGCTGAGGCCAGTTAGGGTTAAGAAAATTAGTAATGCATTTATGATGAAATTAAACAGAAATGGGGAGAGTGGGCAGGGCATCCCTAATGGACACCACTAGTCGTCACCACTTCAGATGACAACTCGCCGTAAGCCCTCACCTGGCTGCATGAGTTCGAGTACAGTGAGTACCTTGTTTAGTGCAATGTATTTTCTCGGCATTCCATTTACAACCAGGCATAGCCAGAGTACCTCTCGGTCGACAGAATCGAATTCCGCCTCTAGGTCAAGAAATATAATGATTCAAGTGTTGGTTTGTAGGGATTTGATTGGTTTCAGGATTTTATCATGAGCTGACATTAGTTAGAGAACCATTGGAAAACCTGGGAGTACTTGACAGCTGTTTCGTCCTAGTTTGGGACTCTTCATCGGTACGCACCCACCGGGTCCAGTACTCCCAGGTTTTCCAATGGTTCTCTAACTAATGTCAGCTTATGATGAAATCCTGAAACCAATCAAATCCCTACAAACCAACACTTGAATACCAATGAGATGCTCACTGACGACTGACCCTATTCAGGTAGGTAGTTACCTGGGTTCCAGTGGGAAGTCGTGACCAGTAGGGTGCAGCTGGTCGGGTGTGAGGACAAATACTCGCCGAAGACATTGGCTAGCGGTCGCGCTATGTCGTGAATTGGCAGAAGTTAGCATTCATGCATGACCATTGGATCGTGTCCCAGTGGCTTAATGGTCTACGAACTAGCTCGCCTTGTAACCAGAAGGTCCTGGGTTCGAATCCCGGTGGGTTCGTACTGCTGAAGAGTCCCAAACTGGGCTGACGAAAAAGCTGTCCAGTACTCCCTGCAAGTTTTCCAATGGTTCTCTAACTAATGTCAGCTCATGATGAAATCCTGAAATATAATGATTATTGGACGCCGGTAAGAATGCCTATGTTCTAGAATCTAGGCCAGGTGTAGGAGTGCTTCGGTCGAGGACTGAACCCGGAGCAATCCATGAAGAGTGAGTGAGTATTCTACCATTGAATCACAATACATCTCTTTAATATTCTGAATAGCTTAATTTCCTCAGTTGAAATACCACTCATCGTCGTTGTCCAGTTCAGATGGTATTTGGCGAAGATCTAAAATCGCCATGGCTACTATTTTCATAATTTATTGGCTACATATAGTGTACAATAAGTGGTACTGTAAAACAGTTCCTAATATTCTAACCCAAGAGTTGACAGCTCTTTTTCTACACTCACCATAGCATATTTGACTGATTGTTTTGTGTTCTTTATCTTGCCACATATTTCTGACTTATTTTCTCCTGTTTTGTACGTATTAAACTTGCAACCTAGCATTGATTCTTTTTTCTTTAAATAGACATGCATCTCTGTCCAACGGTATGCACGAGGATATATGGCACGTAAACGTCTTGCAGAAATACAATCTAGACGAAATTCAGCAGCTATAGTTATTCAATCCCACTTCCGTAGATATTTAGTCTGTCGTGAAATCAATTTGTGGCATAGTTCAGCACTACAAATACAAAAGTGTTGGCGTTCATATCGCCATCGTAAAATCATTACACAATTTCAAGAGGTAAATATTTTCTTTTGATGTGAAAATAGAAATACCTACAACCATAATACATAACATGGTTGTTATATATATGTATATGTATATATATTTGTACATTATTATTATTATTATTATTGTATCCTTTAGTTCCTAGAGGAACATAGGGCTTCAGCTGCGCACCTCCATTGACTTCGGTTTTCTGACAACTTTTTCACCCTGCTCCAGGTCTGCCCACATGCTTTCATCTCCTCTTCACATGACCTCCTCCAAGTCACCCTTGGACGACCAACTCGCCGCCTCCCTTTCGGGTTCCACTCGAGGGCTTGTCTAGTGATGTCACTTGATGGTTTCCTCAGCGTATGGCCAATCCATCTCCATTTCTTTCTGCCTATTTGTTTCACAATCGGTTCCTGATTGGTTCGCTCCCAGAGATCCCTGTTGCTGATCTTTTCTGGCCATCTGATCTTGAGTATTGAGCGGAGACAGTTGTTAATGAAGGTTTGAAGTTTGTTTGAGATGCTCTTTATGACTCGCCAAGTCTCTGATCCGTATAGTAGCACTGACTTCACATTGGAGTTGAAAATCCGGATCTTATTTTTGATGCTGATTGCTGTTGACCTCCACACAGATTTGAGAGTAATGAAAGCTTGTCTTGCTTTTCCGATTCTGGCTTTGATGTCCTCGTCAGTTCCGCCTGTAGTTGAGACGATGCTTCCCAGGTAGGTGAAGGAGGTTGTTTCTTTCAGGTTCTTCCCATTTATGCTTATTGTGGTCTGTTGTTGCTGTTGATGTTGGCAAGGAATCTTCATCATCTCTGTTTTATCTATGTTCACGTGAAGTCCTATCTTTGATGCTTCTTCTGCCAACTTGTTACTTTTCATTTGCATATCTTCCAGTTTATGGGAAATCAGACATATATCATCGGCGAAATCCAGATCCTCCAAGTCTTTTGTGTCAGTCCATTTTATGCCTGTTCCCTCGTTGGTTGCCGTTGTCTGTCGCATTATCCAATCAATTGCAATCAGGAAGATCATTGGTGATAGTAGACAGCCTTGCCTCACTCCCGTCCTCACTTCGAAGGCTTCCGTAAGTTTCCCGTTGTGGATTACTTGGCATGCAGCATTGTCGTATAACTGTTGGATGAGGTGTATAATTGTCGATGGGACCCCGTAGTAGCGAAGTAGTTTCCAAATGACCTCTCGATCGACGCTGTCGAAGGCCTTTTCAAAGTCGATGAAGTTGAGATAGAGAGGTGACTGCCATTCCAAGCTTTGTTCAATGATGATCCGTAGAGTGGCGATTTGATCAATACATGATTTGTTTCTCCTGAATCCAGCCTGTTCCGGACGAAGTTTTTCATCTAGGGCTTGTTTGATTCTCTCCAGGATGATGCGACTTAGTATCTTGCTTGGAATGGACAGAAGCATAATTCCACGCCAGTTTTTACATTGACTTAAGTCTCCTTTCTTTGGAAGTTTGAATAAGTAACTGTTCTTCCAATCCTCGGGTACTTTGCCCTCTTTCCACACCTTCTCCAGTAGTGGTGTCATCAAGTCCGCTGTTGTCTCTGGGTCTATTTTCAAAGCCTCTGCTGGGATTCCATCTGGTCCCGGTGTTTTCCCAGCTTTAAGCATCTTGATTGCATTCAGGACTTCTGATTTCGTCGGGGGGTCAGTGTTCACTGGTAGTTCTGCTTCCGTTGTTGGTATTGCTGGACGTGTTGTAGGTGGCGGACGATTTAGAAGTCTTTTGAAGTGTTCAACCCAGTGCTTTCTCTGTTCCACCTCTTTGGTGATTGACTTTCCATTGTCGTCCTTTATTGGCTTAATCTGTGTCGAACGTTTGCCCGAAAGGTGCCTAGTTGTTTGGTAGAGTGTGGCGAGGTCTCCTTTGCCTGCAGCTTGTTCTGCTTCGTTTGCCATGGTTTCATAATATTTTCTTTTGTCTTCCCTGGCACTTTTCTTCACTCTTTTGTTCAGTGTATTGTAGCTTGCATTCAGCTCCTGTTTTTGTTGCTCGTCAGTGCACTGGATAATCTTTTGCTTCACTGTCCTTCTCTCTTCTATTAGTTTCCAAGTGTCCGTAGTGAGCCACTGTTTGTCCTGTCTCTTTTTTCTGCCTAGAATTTCTATGCAGGTTTGGCTCCACACCGTTTTCAAGTTGTTCCAGTGCTTTTCAACGCCGACCTTTTCGCTAGTGTTGATTTGTGTCTCAGCTTTGTCCTTTATGCTTGCAATGAAGATGTCCTTTGTAGCCTGGTCCTTCAGCTTTTGAGTGTTGAACTTGGCTTGTGGTCTATCTGCAGCTCCTGATTCCCTGAAAGCTTTTAATTTGATTTGGATTGTCCCTTGTACGAGATAGTGGTCTGAGCCAACGTCTGCTCCTCTTCTTGCTTTTGTGTCCAGTAGGCTGCGCCTCCACTTCCTTGAGATTGAGATGAAGTCGATTTGGTTTTTGGTTTGCCCGTCTGGTGACACCCATGTAGCCTTGTGGATATCTTTGTGCTTGTATACACTGCCACCAATCACCAGTTCGTTGAAGGCGCAGAAGTCGGCGAAGAGTTCTCCGTTTTCATTCATTTCTCCTAGAGCTTCTCTACCCATGATGAGTTCCCTTCCCGTATTGTCTGGTCCCAGTTTGGCGTTCATGTCTCCCATTAGTATTTTCATGTCGCCAGCTGGAGTATTGTCCATTGTTGCCTGTAGTTGCCTGTAGAATTCTTCTTTCTTCTCGAGGTCTGCGTTGTTTGTGGGTGCATAACATTGTATGATTGACACTTTCCTTCCTTTGGAGTTGAACCTGGCGGTCATTATCCTGGACGAAATCGCCTCCCATTGTATCAGGGCTTTCGTTGCCGTTGGTGACATCATGATAGCCACGCCCTCGGTGTGCGTGTGGTTATCTTCTGGGTGACCGGAGTAGATCACTGACTCACCTGTTGACAATTTGGTGAGTCCACTCCCATTCCATCTGCTCTCACATATTCCCAGCACTTGTATTCCGTATCTTTTCATCTCGTTGGCGATCTGGGCAGCTTTTCCAGTCTCGTACATAGTTCGGACGTTCCATGTTCCTACACAGACTTTTTCTTTTGGTGCAAGGAGGTTCAACATACTGAAGATTCTGTAGCAATTTTTGTTTACAGGGTGGGGTTGCTAGCCTCACGCCTGAGAAAAGAATGATTACATTAAGTAAAAGTTTAGAGAGAAGCAACTTTTTGGGTTGCTCCCCTCAAAATCAGAAAATAACGGACAAACAATGAGAACAACATCAACAAAGGAAACAGTTCACAGAAAAAAGGGCAAAAAGCGACGACAACTATACAATAAGACAACATGCAATATAGTTCAGTACATTAAACTAAAATGATATCTTAACCATAAACTCACTGACTTGGAGCAACTTGAACATATAAATCCAACAATATATACAATTATAGATGTGTTTATGTTTAAAAATTCCACAAATCCAAACAGTGAGTTATGTGTATTATCTGTCAATAAGATTGTATTTTTTGGATTCAGTGTTCGAAAGGTTAATAATTGTGATAATTTCCGCAAACACTTTGCATAAAATTTTAGAGTAATAAGAGATTTTATTTATGACCAAAATGTAGCGTAATAGTCGAAAAGCGCGCGTTATATATATATTATATTTGTACAATTTTCCTCTTTTTAAATTTCCACACTTACTTTTAAGAGGAAACTCCTCATCTGCTATCCAATTCCTTCAAACGTTCTATCTCCTATGTTGAGTGCTAGATAATGAAGGAAGATCAATCAATAAAACTGCGGATAGACATCGGTTGAGATGGTTAAGACACACGTTATGCATGCCAAGCTACTGTCTTCTTCTTTGACTAACAGTGTTAGCTGACATAAGGGTGTGTTTGAAAAGAGTTGAAGGTCGTCAAACCAAAACCTCTCATCAGTCAATGAAGTCTTTAACAGTTGGTTTGATCCAGCCCCATAAGTAGTTATAGACTAAGGGTGGTCCACCAGAATCTAAAGACCAATGGCTCTAAAGACTGTTGGTCTAAATGGTTCTTAGTGATGCAAATGCATTTACTCTTTGGAGGCTACCAGATCCATTAGACTGTCATGTATATATTTCCATGTTACTGTTCTTTCACCTGTACATTTCTGCTCATTGTTACTAGTTTGAATTCTTTTCTTTTATCACCCTTTGTGTGTTAAATGAAGTGTGGCAACTTAAAGTGTTGCAGAGTTTCATGTTGACAGTCAGTCAGGTTTACTAAAATGGTGAATTAGTAATAGTTCAAGCCACTGAATTATTGACCTCAAAGATTTCCAGTATATTTTGCACCTATCAAGTGTAAAATGTTAGAGACAGGTTTAAACATATTCACTTTTTGTAATATTTAATCAAAGAGGGAAGTAGAGTAATACTTATATTGGCTATGATTCAGTCTTTTCGGTGATACGTCCGACTTTTCTTGATTTTCTATTTTATGAAACATACATGTATATGTGCGGACTGGGAAATCTCGTTGTGTACTGGTCTGTTTATAGCTCTTCCGGTTGTTATTTTACTGATAATTTAAAATATTTTCCTTAACATGTTGGAATGAGGTCAAGAACCTAGGTGTTCCGAGACAGGAGACGATACATCACGAGTCAGTGTTTCCCACATGACCTGTAAATCAGACATTTAACTCTAATATTCATTAAGGATCACGTCACTGAATTGCTATTGGTGCATGTTGTCCAGTCAGAACATGGTTTGTTATATTTGAAAGTAGTAATTGAGTGGTCATGTGGAAATATAACTGTGTAATTAGCTGTAATTTCTATTCCACTTGCCCTTCCCATACAGCAATAAATGTTTGCCTCCTCAATCAATCTTTGGTATCTTTCTCAGTGTGTAGGCGTAATAAGTCTCAGTAGCCTTTCGTGGAGTTGACCCTAACTAACCTTATCGGTTTAGGAATTGATTGGCTTCCAGGGAACAGCAATTTGAACAGGAATCTTCGAATGTGTGACATGCAATTCGATCCTTTACGAGTCTGTAATGCGAGATGGCTAGGACACGTATCGCCTTCCTTGATGTGCAGTGTTAGCCGACATAGTATTAGGTTGGAAAGGAATTCGGAGTGGTCAAACCGAATCCTTGCACCAGTCCAAGAATTCTTTGACTGTTGGTTTGAGCCAGCCACATAGGGAGATGTCGGCCGCCTGGTTGATTGGGTTCCTCGTGATTCTACAAACCAATGGTTGGCTGGAGACTGTTGGTGGTGTGGCTCGAAATCGTCGTCTTTCGCTCAGATACATTGGTTCTGTGGTCCCGCATATCCACTAAATCGTGATGTTTTTCCATGTTATTATTCTTTCTCCCTAGCATTTCTGCCTTTTTCTCCTTTTGTCTACTGTTGTATGTTACATTGAGTGTGACGACTTGAACTGTTGCACTTCTGTACAAAGTTCTACGTTGAAAATCAGTCAATAAGTCACTCTTGGTTTACCATCGATGAGGTTTACCGGTGTGTCAACCGCTAATTGAATGCTGACCCTCTGCGTAGTCAGCGAACATTCGACCATTGAATCATCAGCAAATATTCGGAGTAAGCATGATTAATTAGGGTGTGTTGCATTCTTTTAAGGACCATTGTAGTTCTCAACTTCATCTCGTAGGCTTTTTAAAGTAAAATTCATCTGATGTTTTACAGTTAATATTGTTTCATACAATTATATTTTGGTCAATCACAGCAAACTTTTTGTTAATTATAGAGTATATTTCTCATCTTCATCGCCCCAAATTGATTTTATGCCAGAATTAAGATATGAATTTCCTTGATTGATGATCAAAATGAGTATTTTTCTAGTTTGTCACTAATTAGTTTTTCACCAGCAGTACCATTCATTATGATCACTTTTATCTTCTCCTTGTAGATTGTTTCACTGGTACTAACGCATCACAATGCATCTGTTAAAATTCAAAGCTGGTGGCGTGCCTGTTATCTTTCACGATTATTCAATAGACAACGTCTTTCTGCTCTACGAATTCAAGCCGCATGGAGAGGTTTTCGACTTCGTAAACATCTATTGACTTTGACACAACCGTCGGAAATTTCCACCAACACAACAAAAGTATTATCACATCAGACAATTAATCGAAAAGGCAATTTTACCGCCAGTATTCCACTCAAGTTAAAATCTGCTCCAAAAACTGGTGATATTAAATCTAAACCTCAAAAACAGAAAGCCTGTTTATTATCACTTTCATCATCTGAGGCGACATCTTTACTAGCTATACGTTCACGCTTGAATAAAGCAACACAACGTGCACGTATTCATCCAAATTTGACATTGGCTGCAAAAGCTCGAAATGCATTGAAACAACTCTCTCAATCTACGTCAATAAATCAGATAATCGATGCAATCAAATTTTTGCGTAAGTTATACCTATAGCCTTTGTAATAAATTTCATCCTTTTTCTCTTCACCAGATAGACAATCTGCAATGCTTATTCGTATTATCTGTTTTAGAAAAATCTAATATTTGATTTATAGCCGTTTCTTTATTTCTTGTTCTTTTATTTGCTAAAGCGGAGGGGTTACAAGTTAAGTTAAATGAGAACTTTTTGATATGATATCAGGACCAACTGACTTCAAGATACTGTCTTAGTTCTTTTCATCAACTAAAATGTAACACCTTGCTATTGAACACATGTAATTTCGTCCCTGTCTGGGACTCTTTAGCAGTGCGCACTCGCCAGGATTCGAACGAATGACCTCACGGTTACGAAACGAGCTCACAGACCATTCGTCCACTGGGACCCAACCCAATTGTCCATGGATTCCAACTTCTGCTAATTCGTGGCAAATTTAGCGCAACTGCCGGCCAATGCTACAGGCGGGTAAACTGCCCTCTTGTCAACTCTTGATCAATTCTGTAACCAATCAAATCTGTGCAAACCAACAGTCACTTGCGACTGGCTGAATACAGGAAACAACCTGGAGTTCTGGTGAGAAGTTGTAACAAGCGTGATCTATCAGGTCAGGTAAGAGGACAGTTATCCGCCTGGCGGTTGTCCTAAATTTGCCACGAATTAGGAGAAGTTGGAATTCATGGACCATTGGGTTGGGTCCTAGTGGCTGAATTGTCGGTCTGCGAACTCGCCTAGAACCCCACTGTGTGCATACTCATGAAGTGTTCCAAACTAGGACAAGACAGCTGTCCAGTACTCCCAGTTTTGAACAGAGAAAGAAGAAACATTGGTGCAGAATAATCTGGATCCATTTTATTTCGTTGGTTCTCATCAGTTGCATACAATCTGAATTTTTTAATAACAATTAAAAAATTGTACAATTTTAACAAACCTTTGTCCATTAGCAAGCATACTGTTAGAGCGTCATAGTAAAATAAGGCGTTAAGACTTACAGGGTGTCTAAAGTGTTACGATATATATATATATATCTTGGTAGAGAGAAGTTTCTTGAAAAAAATTACTAACTGTTGTGTTGTTGGGGTGGTAACAAAAGAAAATTAGCAATAGTTACGTAATTAGATAAGAGAAGATCAAAATTTTACAATTTCGGTGCACATGATGTCAGATGAGAAGTCGATGATGCAGTGCAGTGAGCAGAAAAGACTTGAGGTATTTTGTCTGTTAATTACTTTGAATGATTCCAGCACATCTACTCCGTGTCCTGTGTCAATCAGGTGTTTGGCGATTGAAGAGCTGAAACGATTCGGTCCGTTTAACCGGAGGCTCCTTGGTACATGTTCCCAGTTTTCTCTATGGTGCTCTAACTGATGGCAACTGTTAATCACTTCTATAATCAATCAAATCTCTGCAAACTAACACTTGATCATTTTTCATGTCAGAATTGATACTGCATGATCCCGATTTATTGATCTGTTTATCTGACATCATAGTGATAACGTGGTATTTGTTAAATTCAATTATTAGTGTCTAATTAGGTCACCGTTATACATGCAATGCATGCAATTAAGCATATAAGGCTAAGTTCGGGTCAATTATTAAAAACTAATATGCTTAACTGAAAAGAATCTTTTCTCATCGAACCAACATCTAGAACATGTAGTAGAGTGATACAACACCAATCCCTCATATGTATATATATCCTGCATAATCATCTTGTGAGGCAACTCACCGGCATGCACATCTTCCTTGTGTTTGTGTAAATTCCACTTTCGAACAAACGATTGTTCCCACGTGTGGACCAAATCTCCGTACCTTACATAAAGACTGACTTGATATTAGTGTTGAAATTTCACTGATATCAGATCAGTTCAAATCATCACATTACATTAGTATTATTCTAATAAATAGGGTGAGGATGTATGTTACTACAAACCAAATTTGCCCAGATTTCATCTCAGTGTACTTATATAGGTAGAATTAAAGTGGTCAATTACAACTTGAAATTTCCTTAGGTAGTTGGTTTAATATTATGTGCCTAAAGGAACACTAATCACATGAGATGTTGCTATGCGTTTGCCTTTTTAAAGTTGTTATATCAAATTTTCTGCACAGTCGAAATATTTGTTGGAGCGTTTGTTATGTACTATGCACGAAAATACCTTGCGATAGCTTTTATTCTCACCCACTAAATAGTGATCATTTTATCAATAGAAATGCTTTTTTGGGGGAAATTTTCAATGATACTCTGGGTCTATGTATGTATGTATGTGTGTGTTAAACTTATTTCTTTTCTTTTCATCATCTATCTTCTTGCTTTAGAAATGGCTAGTGGTTTGTCAGTGGAACTATGCTATTGGATTGTTGGCTTGCCAACTCCTAACAGTCTATCATCTAATGAAAACAATGAGAATTCACCAAGTGTACTGATTCGTTTCTTTCAAATTATGATGGCTTGTAACCGGTCTGTACCACATGAAGACATTTTTGTATCTATCACTGGGACACTCTTAAATATTGGACGGCATACAAATCTAGCCTGTAATACAGATATATGGTGGAATCCATTATTTTCTAAATTCAAGTCAAGTGATAATGAAGAAAATGCAGATAATAGTAGTAGTAATAATAATAATAATAATACTGATGATGTTGAGGAGGAATTCTCGACTCCAGCAATAGTACATTCTCTAAACGCCCAGTTACGACGTTATCAAAGTCTGCCAGGCCTAAATGCAATTGAATCAGACATCAAAGTGACACTTCCCCCATGTTCACTTCAAAGGACATCTATTCAACCTGTTTCTGCGGAGCAGAAATTAAATTCCTTGTCTATGTCACAGAATATGTGTTTAATTGAAGTTTTAGTCGGAATACTTCAGAGGACTTGGCGAGCTCGTCCTGGGACAGTGGTTAGTATCTTTTATATATTACCCTTGTGTATTACGTAATAATTTTGAACCATATCTGTATATTATAACCGTTGAATATACTTTCTCATAAAACTAATCTCCCTACTACAATTGATATGGAAAAGGCTATTATTTGTTTGTATTATAATTATTTGGTTATACTATTCAGTGTAGAGCTTTTTCTAAATGAACAAACCACTCACTTATGTTGTAAAAACAGGAATTGATTTCTATGGTGGGAGTGTATTTTGACGTAATGTATATCTGAGACGTGTAATATATTAGCCCAGCACATTTCAGATATTCTGTTAACGCACGTACTTGTCTCAATGATGTGCTTTCTCATAGATGACGTTGGGGATTTATTCTCATGTTCAGTTGGATTAGAAATTATTTGTTCTTACAGCCACTTAGGAATGTGTTCTGCACTCCTGATCTGTGCAGACCGATGGGTCCTTCCCATTTACATGTGGCTACACACAGATATAAAGTGATAAACACAGTGAGATATGACATTCTATGAAAATGAACTTGTTCCACTAAATACCGCTCTGGATTTTTGCATAGTGGTCAGACTTTGACCCTACCGATAGCTTCAACCTTGATATGCTAGTTGGGCGCTTACATATCTCTATTACCTAACGAGGTACACCAGCTGGAAATAATGCTTCTGCAGGTTCCTGTCATGCTAAAAAGGCCGCCGTTTGAATAGCGGTTAGATGAAAAGCAGTTTATGTCATAATGTAATTTGTTTACACTATATCGGGGAGTATGTGCACGAGTGGGGATCTGACAGCAGTAAAGTTGTTTCCCTTGGATAACCAGCCATGCTGCTTCCCCACTCTGTAGAGAAGGATTAGAAAAGGTCGAGTCCTAAAATTGTTCATCCTGACTCACCTTGCGGTTGCCCGTAGCTAGTAGTAAGATCATAATACAAACGCAATGCCAAAACCACTCCAAACAGACCGTGTGTGACCGGCTTCAAATAGTTGTCCCCTTCGCTCTGCTACCACGAAACACTAATATTCCTGTTTTGTGTGCTCCAAGAAGAAAGAAACTCCCACGGGTTTGGGCAGTCACGACATAAAGTTGTCAAATCAAACTTTTATAATTACAATTGTAGAAACTTCCTGTTTTTGGAGGGCCGATTAGATTGCTTGCAGCGAATACACTACACATTTCGTATAAAAATTACGTCTTATTGTTTTTTTGTTAAAATTCATAGATGGAACTAATTACTTTAAATTTCTGGAATTTATTTGTCAAGCTCACTGTGTTCCTTACTTAAAAAGCCATGTAAGATATTTCGTAAAAGAAAAGGCTCTACAGTCGCATATGTATAGTTAATTCTCTTAGCAACAAAATGCATGTTTCAAAAATTTGTCATCAGAATTGTAATTTTTAGGTAACAAATTTCGTTAATGGGTTAGAGAGAGACTAAAGTAAGATTAAATCAGCTAGCTGAATGACGTAACCTAATTGATGACGTTGAGTAGAAATCAGCTGAAATTGAACAAAAGTCAAGTTAACAACAGTGGTAATAAGGGGTGGGAGAAGAAATTAAGAAACAAACAATTTTTTAAAAAAAAGACGAAACAAAAATTACGCATTTATATTATATTTTTTGATTACAGCTTGTTTCCACACCGTATTTTTCGGTACAGGAATGGAATTTTCAGCATGTGATATCGGTAGCCCAAATTTTGCAGACCGGACCATACATATCAGGTGTGCATCGGCAGGGGATCGAACCCCGTGCCATGTGCATGATCGGAGAGAGTCCTAACCTCTGTGCTACCGACACACAAGATAAGTCAGGTCCACTGTAGATCTAATGACTGAACAAATTCCTTTTGTATGCAGAGTTCAGGTTTTAATATGTGAATCACCATCGCTTCTGTAGCAAACTGTAAGCAGTAGCTACAAAAGTATGATAAATAATTTCTCAAGTATCTATTTCTTATTTTTGCCCAATATAATTTTCTGCTTACATTTATCACGACAAAAAAAGTTCATTGAACAATAAACTATTGAACAGTTGCCCTTACTTATGTACATGTGTTTTTTTTACTCCTTCGCGTTCCCAGTGGAACATAGGGCTTCAAGCTAGTCACTTGAAGTTTCTGTAGCAGTTTTTATTTTACAGGATGGGGTTGCTAGCCTCAAGCCAAACCTTTCCTCTTAACCAGTCTTATTACTGACTTAGCGAGGTAAAGGAGTGCGTCGTTGGCCGGGGATCGAACCCCGGACCATGTGTACGGTCGGCGAGCGTGTCCTAACCGCTGTCCCACCGATGCACTAATGTATATGTTAGTCCCTTGAAAAAAAAACATTGTAGTTAATGTATGTTAAAGCTGAAGATTTTGCCCAGAAGAACAATCATTGAATAATAATCCAATTGTCCAACCATCTAATCAACTTGGCAAAACTAAAAACTCTAAATATTATAAACCATTTTAGATATTACTGGTATAACTGGAAGTCAAAACAAGGTCAAATCCCTGTATATGAATAGTTTTTTTTTCTTACCGAATAAAGATTACTTCGCCTCACAACTTCTAATTTGTCTCACCATCATCATGGCTTAGATTCGATGGGAAGAAGTTATGACTTTATGAGACTCAGTATCATAGAATAGATGAACACACCCGACCAACACCAGCAACAACAAGCATCAATCACGTTTAATGTGAGAAATCTGAAGGAAGTCGTCTCTTTCATTCTCCTGACCAGGCAGTATAGATAAATGAGAATGCCAAAGCCAGTTATCATCGGATCGGGAAGGTAAATCAATGGGATCATCTACAGCACTTTAGACAAAAAACAAGATCCTAATTTATAGAGTCGATGCCCAGCCAGTCTTTCCATATGGCTCACAGATTTCGCACTTACATCACGAACAACATTTCCAACATCCTGTAGCAGACTTTCTTCACTTAATACTAAATATTGGATGGCCAGTCAGAAAGGACAAACAGTAGCAAATACTGGCAGTAGAGAAAGCTAGCCAATAATCCTATTACCCAAAAATGATACAGAGGAAAATGTGGGTGGATTGGATACACGCTGAAGACGCCGTTAAGTAATATCACACTCCAGGCAGGTCGTTGATTGGAATCGGAATGTGAAGCGACGGTTTGTGCATGTGTCTTAGAGTGATATGAAGATTAAGTAAAGAAGAAATAAGCAGTTGTGGTGGAACCAGTTGAATACGATGGTTACAAAGGGAGTGGGGTGGATGTATGTCTCTGAAGTCGTTTGTTCGCCTCTCGAAATACAAGGAACGAATGATATTATATAAATATAATAATATAAGAGATCTTGACAGTTATCTGTGGATTATCCATGCCGTTTCGCTTAGTAGTTTAACAGTTTAGGTCTCATATTTGTTATTTTCACTTTTTCTTATTTTTTTTTAACTTAGAGTATACGTCTGTTCAGTCGAACGTGTTGCGTTCTCGCTCTTCTGTTCACTCCTGCTCCTGCTGACTTGTTCTTGATTAATTCTTCTCTATTGGCGATATTACGAGAAATTCATGAAGGTTTATATCGCCGAGCTGATCCACACTGTCAATTCCATTTGAATTTCGACCCCACTGGAAATACTGCTAATTCTCTTAGTGTTAGTGATTTACGCATCAAATCGTCAAGTGCTGTTGTGAATCAAATCCGTACACATCTCAGGTTAGCATTATTTTATTATTATTATTACTTTCTCTTGTTCTTATTATCTTCTTTATATGAATAGAAGTTGTACAATGAGGATAAATTCTCTGCGTGTTTGTGTACACATCTATATGAATTGACTTATATTTACACGGTATTCAAGTGTTGGTTTGTAGGGATTCGATTGGTTACAGGATTTCATCAGCAGAGCTGAAGAGTCCCAAACTAGGACGAAACAGCTGTCCAGTACTCCCAGCTGGTTTTCCAATGGTTCTCTAACTAATTTCAGCTCATGATGAAATCCTGTAACCAAATTACAGGGTACTCATACAAGTGCGTCGGCTATCCATTGATAGAGTGCCCTCCAACCAACCACGCACCTAGTCCGCGTCCAATTCCCGGAAAAAGAGGGAAAATTGCGCGTGAGGCTAGCAACAACCCTACGACTACTGGAACGTCTCGGAAGCTTGAAGTCGTATGTTACACTCGAAATGCAAAGGAACAAAAACAAAAACTTATACTAGTTAAGGGTAACCACTAACTAACTACGCATTGAATAGTCGTTTTTTTCTGACGTGAAGTTTATCAACGACTTGTTTGTTTTGATTCAGTCTTCACACCTTCATAGATTTTTTTACTGCAAATAAAATTCAGGATTGGATTTCAAATTAGTAGTAAGGTTTGTATCGACAGTTACGTTAAGGTATTGTTTTCAAGATGTGTAATTCATGATAAAATGGTCTAATTTCTCGATGATGTCAACTCTAATGACCACATGATCAGTGGTATCCTAATATTATATATATAGCTCCCGCTAAATGCAAGGTGATGTTACAGGACTGGACCACACTGACTCCTAGTTTAGAAATAGGGAGTGGAGTGGTAGAGCACGTCGACCACTTCCCTTATTTGGGAAGTACCATCAGCCAGTGCCAACGGGTTGACCTCTGGCGAAATCTCAGCACGGATACAGAGGGCTAGTTTCGCATATGCCAGTTTACGCCGTCTCTGGCGTAGACGTGATATCCGGTTAGCTGTCGACCGAAGGGCGGGTGTACTGCTCATCAGTCCGTCTTCCTTTATCGCTGTCGATGAGACCTTGCCATTGAGAGTGGAAGACATGAAAAGATTAGCTGTCTTTGATCATAGGTTCCTGCGTTCTATCTCCCGTGTTAAGTGGTAAAATAAGGTGAGCAATATTGAGGTTAGGCGTCGAGTGCTAGGTAAGGTGAGGAAATCACTGGACGAGGCTGTGAAATTACATCGACTTAGATGGTTAGGACATGTGTTACGCATACATGTCTAGTCATCGCCTCCCTCGACTGACGGGGAATGTTAGCTGACATAGAGTCAGGTTGGAAAAGAGCTAGCGGCGGTCAAACCAAAACATGGCACCAGTCAGTGAAATCCACACCTGTTAGTTTAAGTCACGTAAGTCACAGATGTCAGCTCCCTAGTACAGGTGTTTAATGATGTCTGAGGGTTAACATGATGTCATTTGCTGGATGTTGATTAGCAGTGGAGTCCAGAATGCGCATTTCCTTAGAATTTTTCAGTCCATTTTTTGTGCATATTTATTTGTAACTTAACAATTTCCTAAATCTCCTGTTATGGTTCAGTTGATTATCTTGTTACCAGTAACAAAGTTAGAAGAGTTTTACTTACATTATCAGAGTCATCAATATTGTTGACGAAATCGATGGTGAAATTAATCCAAAATCAAAATAATGCCTACTGACTAGATGGATGAATTACCCGAAGGTTTGATAAGAGCTCGTGTCCCATGGGGTTCACCATATATTCGAGTGAATTTGGTGCTCATTAACGGCACAGGGTTGGCAATAGTGCTTTATCACAAATCACTTGTCGTGTCACTGAATTCCATCCAACCTAGTGACTGAATGGTCCACAGAGTAGTAGTCTATTAACTTGAAGGTCCTTGGTTCTACCCCTGATAGGTGTTTTGGCCCCCTCTGATGAAGGGTATCAAACTAAGACGAAACAGCTGTATCCAGTGCTTCAGCCACCCCACCCCACCCCCAAAATCTGAATACTCTGGGTTTCCTTTAATTTCATGTTTGTTTGTTTTTTCATTTTTCTCGCTTAATAATGAAATTATTTTATATTTATATTGTTTTCATGTCTATTTTTTGGTTTAGTTATGATTTAGACTGGCATTTCAAACCAATCAAAGCTCGTCCTAATCCCCTATTGGCTATTCATTATCTATTATATATTGTTGAAAAGAAAACGTCAACTGTGTAATTCTTATTGTTGTGATTGGGTGATTGGTTGCTGATTGATTGTGTTGTATAGTATGCGATCGAGAGATGGTTGTTGCTTTATTTTTGTATTTATAAAATAAACGGTACTATATTATATAATATTCCATACTTGGCATTTTATTCATTTCTTCTTTAAAAATCTCACATCTCTGTATATCAGCTTCTTTTATCCATTATATAAAAGAATAATCTGTAGTGTATTTTAATGAAATGATGAGTGTCAGTTGGATCGCTATTCTATCTTCCTACAAATTTCCACAATATCAACATTTGATGTAATATGCATTAATAATTTTGTATTTTTATGGTTTCTTCTTTATATTATTTAGGTGTATTTCTTTGGCTAACTTTTATTTTCAAGTGAAGCTTTTTTCTCTTTCTGATCTGTTCTTTAACTACGTATATTTGTGTGTGTGTGTGTGTGTGCGTTTGTTGGTCTGTGAATGCTCAGTAATACTTCAGGAAACAATAAAGTCTGAACTGGATGCATCAGTCATTTTTGTGAATTTGAAGATATTCTCTCTTATACACTGGGTGATGACTGCGTTATACTGAACATTTACGGAAGTTGGGGAACGTTGGAGAAAGAGAGAAAGAAATAAAGAAAGAAGCTTCCTGTGAATTCTGATAGATGACATAGCATCTTTTTTAACTCATGGTGCTGCTCAAGAGTTAGTTTCGCACTTGGCTGGATGATTGATTGTCTTGTTGAATGTTGTTTTGTGACAATAATAAAGAATAAAAGCTGTACAGAAATCAATTGATTCTTCATTAAATGTTTTGGTAGTTAGTTCTCTTCCGTTTGGTTAGTTTTTTATCGCCATTCATTAATTATAATATAAAGCAAATGTGTAATTCATAATTTTTCAACATGTTGTTGTTGTTGTTACTTTGGAAATCACGGTCAACTATATTTGAATTGTAGTTGTGATCTCTGATCACTGCTCTATGCAGATAGTGTGTGTAAAATTTTTTCGATGGATTCATGTAGGATATTATATCACGCACGCGCTTGTAGGTGCTGTTATATCGATCTCATATATATATATATATATATATATATATATATATATATTCTGAAGTGAAATTAAACAATACACTAAAGTATATCTTTCCGTTGAAAAATATAAATAATCTCGTCAAATAATAACTGTATAATGTAGACTTTTCAGAGCTTCTTATAAATAATGTTTTAAGGTGAATTTATAATTGTTTCTTTTGATTCCTAGTGGAATCTACGGCTTCAGCACCATATGTTTATTACACTGGGTTCTCTGACTGACTGATTGGTTTCAGTGTAGAACTTTGCACAGAAGTGCCAGTATAACGACAGAAGACAAGGGCCAAGCAACAGATCGTTTACTGAAAAAATCAAGAGATATTTATATATATTTTACGTACATTATTATTCGTTATTACTAGCGGAGAAACAGTGTCTTCTCTTTGGTTGTTTCCTCCCTGAAAGTTAATCTGTCATCTCTGTGTGGCCGTTTCTTCGAAAGTCAGACCATATAACTGCGAATCATATCCGCCCACGCGAATTCTTCGTTCTTGTTTCTCTCATGACCAAGATTTGGGACGTAAATTGTTGTCGACCAAGCTTGGTTAGCAGACAGCTCTCACTACACCAGTAGTTCAAGATAGTAAACAACACAGATTCATAGCAGAGATAATAAAAAGAATTATGAGGCAAAAAGAATAGTAATATGGAGGAACAATAGAATTTTATTGGATATCAGTCAGCTAACATCGCCCGTCGAGGAAGGCGATGGTTAGGCGTGCGTAACACATATCCTAACCGTCTCTTTCAATCGGTTTAACTTTACAACCTCGTTGATTGGATTTTCTCTCTTTACCTAGCACTCGAGCGATACCCAATTTCAATATCGCTCATCTTATTATACCACTTAACACAGGAGATAGAAGGCAGACGCCTATGATCAATGACAGTGAGCCAGGTTTTTCATGTTTTCCACCTTCGATGGCCATGTCTTGCTCACAGCCAGCCATAAAGGAGGACAGAGTGATCTGCTGAGCTGAGCAGTGCACACTCCCTTTGGTCAACAGCCAGCTAGCCGGTTATCACGTCTACTAAGTCAGAGATGGAATAAGTTGGCATATGCCAAACGAGTCCTCTGTATCCGTGCTGTGATTTCATCAGCAATTAGACTATTGGGGGTTATGCCACTTCCCAAATAGGTGAAGTGGTCAATACGCTCCACCAACCACTTCACTCCTGTCTATCCTTAAGCTAGGAGTGAGTCAATGTAGTCCAGTCCTCTAGCCTGATCATCTTACTTTTGGCAAGAGCAAATCGCATGCCAAACCATCCGAAGATTGCTGCCCGTCAAGGTGTTCAGAAGACTGCTCTATTTTGTCAGCGTCTTCACCTAGGACGGAGGACTATGTCATCTGCATATTCTACGTCAACGAAATTATACCCTGGTAACAAGTCAGTCCTTGAGTCGCTGAGTTCAGTTAGGGTTGATTCTGTTAGCATATCTATGATGGAAGTAAACAGAAATGGGGACAGTAGGCAGGGCATTCCTGAGGGATACCACTAGTTGTCACCGCTGCAGATGACAACCCCCCTCTGTAAGCTCTCACCTGGCTGGCTGCATGAGTTCGAGTAGGGTGCCCTGATCAGTACGATGTACTTTCTCGTCACTTCCTTCATTGCCTTAATACCTCTCCATCAACGGAGTCAAATTCCGACTTCAGGTCAAGAAATATGACGACTGTTGGAAGCCAGTAAATATGCCTATGTTTTAGAATCTGTCGGAGGATGAAGACATGTTCAATGCACCCTCTTCTTGGTCTAAAGCCTGCCTGGTTCTCTCGTGTTTGTTCCCCCTGGAGAACCGCTTAGTCTCCGCATGATTCTTGAGCCTAGGACTTTAGATACTATATTGTCTGTCTGTCTGTTTTCGACATAGAACTTTGCACAAATGTGCGGAAGTTCAAGTCGCCACATTCCGTGTAGCACGCGAAGCAAGAGAAGAAAGTACAAGAAAAGCATAATAGAAACAGTGAGCAGAGGTGTGAGACAAAGGAGTAATAAAGAGAAACAAAACAGTTTCATTGAGATCATAAGTCACAGGGAGTGGATGCATCTGCGCTGGCCACTGAGAACGGTTTTGAGCCATGTCACCAATTGTTTCCAACCATAGATTTTTACCGTCCCGAGGACCCCAGCCTGGAAGTCTACACTTTTCTACGTGGCTTAGACCAACTGTTGTGGATTTCATTGACTGGTGAGGCCAAGTTTTTGTTTGACCGCCGTTAGCTTTTTTCCAGCCTGACCCTATATCCGCTGACATTGCTCGTCGAGGGAGGCGATGGCTTGGCATACGTAACACTATATATATACTATATTAGTCAATCTAATCCCCCTGTGATTATCACAGGACGACTTGTATATCGAGATAATCACTGACTTACGTCAGACTGATGGGAATATCTCTAGTTCCTAGAGACTCTCTAATACTTCAGTTAATGCAGATAGTAGGCTTGGAATATGCAGACGATATAGTCCTTCTAAGCGAAGACGCTGACGAAATGCAGAGTCTTCTAAACACCTTGAGCCGCAATCTACGAATGTTTGGCATGCGATTCGCTCCCGCCAAATGCAAGATGATGTTACAGGACTGGACTACATCGACGCCTAGTTTAAAAATAGGAAGTGAAGTGGTAGAGCACGTTGACCGCTTCACTTATTTGGGAAGTACCATCAGCCAACGCCAACGGGCTGATCTCTGACGAAATCTCAGCACGAATACAGGGGGCTCGTTTCGCATTTGCCAGTTTACGCCGACTCTGGCGTAGACGAGATGTTCGAGTATCGACCAAAGGGCGGGTGTACTGCTCATCAGTCCGCTGCGTCCTCCTTTATGGTTGTGAGCGAGACCTGGCCACTGAGAGTGGAAGACATGAAAAGACTAGCTGTCTTTGATCATAGGTGCCTGCGTTCTATTTCACGTGTAAAGTGGCATAATAAGGTGAGCAACATTGAGGTTAGGCGTAGAGTTCTAGGTAAACAGGGGAAATCAATCGACGAAGTCGTGAAGCTACAAAGACTGAGATGGTTAGGACATGTGTTACGTATGCCAAGCCATCGCCTCCTTCGACGAGCAATGCCAGCGGATATAGGGTCAGGCTGGAAAAAAGCTAACGGCGGTCAAACAAAAACTTGGCCTCACCAGTCAATGAAATCCACAACAGTTGGTCTAAGCCACGTAGAAAGGTGTAGACTTCCAGGCTGGGGTCCTCGGGACGGTAAAAATCTATGGTTGGAAACAATTGGTGACATGGCTCAAAACCGTTCTCAGTGGCGCAGATGCATCCACTCCCTGTGACTTATGATCTTTAATGAAACTGTTTTGTATTTCTTTATTACTCCTTTGTCTCACACCTCTGCTCACTGTTTCTATTATGCTTTTCTTGTACTTTCTTCTCTTGCTTCGCGTGCTACACGGAATGTGGCGACTTGAACTTCCGCACATTTGTGCAAAGTTCTATGTCGAAAACAGACAGACAGACAGGCGGTCTCCACCGTCCTTAAACACCTGTGGAGACAGTTCATCAGGCCTCGCACCTATGCCTCGTTTCAGACTAGTGACAACTTTTGTAACCTCAGTTAGGGACGGAGGACCTGTTTCTATATCCCATTCAGAGAGGTGTTGAATGCTGGGTAAGTTGGGCGTGTCTGTAGGCCAATAAAGTTGCTCCTCAAAAGGTTATTTCCATTATTCCAGTTGCGTATCCTGAGAGCTAATCATGGTTCTGTTTTTCTCGAAGATTGTTTCCCTCATCCTTTACCTTTGACCACTTGTTTCGCTGATAAATCGAAATAGTTTTCTGGTGTTGCCTATCACCGATGCCTTTTCCATCTTTTTCGCTTTTGTCACCCACTACTGTTCCTGGTCGTTACGAAGACTTCTCGTTAGTTTGCATTTGAGTAGCTTTCGCTCCTCA